CCGTCTCTTTTCCTTCTTTTAAACACTCTCTACCTTTTCATTTCTTTCCCTTCTTCCTTATTTCCTTCAACCACATCCTCCTTTCCAACCCTAAAACTACTTTCTCACCAGACCTTTGAAACTGGTTTCTTACCTTCCACCTTCAACACTGACGGCTGAGCTGTGTGGTTTATACTTGTTCTGTTGTCTGAGGATTTAACCGAACTCATTACCTGAGTTAGCGTTTCGTAACTTATTAAAATGAAGAAAACTCTGAGCTTTGTGTCTTAACAGTCAAAAAACAGCCTGGTCTATTGATATACAGTATCTCACAAAATTTAGTCCACCCCTGACATTTCTGTAAATATCTGATTCTATCTTTTCAACACTGAAGAAATGACCCTGTGCTACAATGTAAAGTAGTGAGTGTGCAGCTTGGATAACAGTGTAAATCTGCTGTCCCCTCAAAATAACAAAGAAAAGATGGTCGAGGCTATAAGAAGACTGCCAAGACCCTGAAACTGAGCTGCAGCACGGTGGCCAAGACCATACAGCGGTTCACCAGGACAGGTTCCACTCAGTGTGCAAGTGCTCAGCATTATATCCAGAGATTGTCTTTGGGAAATAGGCGTCTGAGTGCTGCCAGCATTGCTGCAGAGGTTGAAGGGGTGGGGGGTCAGCCTGTCAGGGCTCAGACCGTACGCCGCACACTGCATCAAACTGGTCTGCATGGCTGTCGTCCCAGAAGGAAGCCTCTTCTAAAGATGATGCACAAGAAAGCTCGCAAACAGTTTGCTGAAGACAAGCAGACTAATGACATGGATTACTGGAACCAGGTCCTGTGGTCTGATGAGACCAAGATAAACTTATTCGGTTGACATGGTGTCAAGTGTGTTTGGCGGCAACCAGGTGAGGAGGACAAAGACAAGTGAGTCTTGCCTACAGTCCAGCATGGTGGTGGGAGTGTCCTGGTCTGGGGCTGCATGAGTGCTGCCGGCACTGGGGAGCTACAGTTCATTGAGGGAACCATGAATGCCAACATGTACTGTGACATACTAAAGCAGAGCAGGATCCCCTTCCTTCAGAGACCGGGCCGCAGGTATTCCAACATGATAACGACCCCAAACACACCTCCAAGACGACCCCTGCCTCGTTGAAGAAGCTGACGGTAAAGGTGACGGACTGGCCGAGCATGTCTCCAGACCTGAACCCTACTGAGCATCTGTGGGGCTCCTCAAACGGAAGGTGGAGGAGCGCAAGGTCTCTAACATCCACCAGCTCCGTGATGTCGTCATGGAGGAGTGGCAACCTGTGAAGCTCTGCTGAACTCCAGGCCCAAGAGGGTTAAGGCAGTGCTGGAAAATAATGATGACCACACAAAATACTGACACTTTGGGTCCAATTTGGACATTTTCACTTAGGGGTGTCCTCACTTTTGTTGCCAGCAGTTTAGACATTAACGGCTGTGTGTTGTGTAATTTTGAGGGGACAGCAGATTTACACTGTTATACGAGCTGCACGCTCACTACTTTACACTGTTATACAAGCTGCTCCTACGCTCACTACTTTACACTGTTATACAAGCTCCACGCTCACTACTTTACACTGTTATACAAGCTGCACCTACGCTCACTACTTTACACTGTTATACAAGCTGCACGCTCACTACTTTACACTGTTATACAAGCTGCACCTACGCTCACTACTTTACACTGTTATACAAGCTGCACGCTCACTACTTTACACTGTTATACAAGCTGCACGCTCACTACTTTACAGTTATACAAGCTGCACGCTCACTACTTTACACTGTTATACAGGCTGCACCTACGCTCACTACTTTACACTGTTATACGAGCTGCACGCTCACTACTTTACACTGTTATACAAGCTGCTCCTACGCTCACTACTTTACACTGTTATACAAGCTCCACGCTCACTACTTTACACTGTTATACAAGCTGCACCTACGCTCACTACTTTACACTGTTATACAAGCTGCACGCTCACTACTTTACACTGTTATACAAGCTGCACCTACGCTCACTACTTTACACTGTTATACAAGCTGCACGCTCACTACTTTACACTGTTATACAAGCTGCACGCTCACTACTTTACAGTTATACAAGCTGCACGCTCACTACTTTACACTGTTATACAGGCTGCACCTACGCTCACTACTTTACACTGTTATACAAGCTCCACGCTCACTACTTTACACTTTTATACAAGCTGCACCTACGCTCACTACTTTACACTGTTATACAAGCTGCACGCTCACTACTTTACACTGTTATACAAGCTGCACGCTCACTACTTTACAGTTATACAAGCTGCACTCTCACTACTTTACACTGTTATACAGGCTGCACCTACGCTCACTACTTTACACTGTTATACAAGCTCCACGCTCACTACTTTACACTTTTATACAAGCTGCACGCTCACTACTTTACACTGTTATACAAGCTGCACGCTCACTACTTTACACTGTTATACAAGCTGCACGCTCACTACTTTACACTGTTATACAAGCTGCACGCTCACTACTTTACAGTTATACAAGCTGCACTCTCACTACTTTACACTGTTATACAGGCTGCACCTACGCTCACTACTTTACACTGTTATACAAGCTCCACGCTCACTACTTTACACTTTTATACAAGCTGCAACTACGCTCACTACTTTACACTGTTATACAAGCTCCACGCTCACTACTTTACACTGTTATACAAGCTGCACCTACGCTCACTACTTTACGCTGTTATACAAGCTCCACGCTCACTACTTTACACTGTTATACAAGCTGCACCTACGCTCACTACTTTACGCTGTTATACAAGCTCCACGCTCACTACTTTACACTGTTATACAAGCTGTACGCTCACTACTTTACACTTTTATACAAGCTGTACGCTCACTACTTTACACTTTTATACAAGCTGCACACTCACTACTTTACACTGTTATACAAGCTGTACGCTCACTACTTTACACTGTTATACAAGCTGCACGCTCACTACTTTACAGTTATACAAGCTGCACGCTCACTACTTTACACTGTTATACAAGCTGTACGCTCATTACTTTACACTGTTATACAAGCTGCACGCTCACTACTTTACGCTGTTATACAAGCTGCACGCTCACTACTTTACGCCGTTATACAAGCAGCACGCTCACTACTTTACGCCGTTATACAAGCTGCACGCTCACTACTTTACGCCGTTATAAAAGCTGCACGCTCACTACTTTACGCCGTTATACAAGCTGTACTCTCACTACTTTACGCCGTTATACAAGCTGCACGCTCACTACTTTACGCCGTTATACAAGCTGCACGCTCACTACTTTACGCCGTTATACAAGCTGCACGCTCACTACTTTACACTGTTATACAAGCTGTACGCTCACTACTTTACGCTGTTATACAAGCTGCACGCTCACTACTTTACGCTGTTATACAAGCTGCACGCTCACTACTTTACACTGTTATACAAGCTGCATGCAAAGTGTCATTTCTTCAGCGTTGTCTCATGAAAAGATAGAATCAAAGGTTTACAAAAATGTGAGGGATGGACTCACTTCGGTGTGATACTGTATGTGCAGCTCATTAAGAGAACATTAGAACATTCTGATTTCCTCGACGTCCATGTCAACAAACTTGTCTGAGAGATGAGAAACTGCTGAACACGTGTTCGTCTTCTTGCTCCTCTGTGAGTTCAATGAATAAAGAGTGTCAATAATGTAAATCTACTCTAACACATGTTAAGCCTGAGGGATCAGACTGCATTGATTAGAGATGTTTGATCAATTAATCAGCAGCTGTGGGACTGAAGCTGCCGCAGAGCACCTCCGTTAAGAATCACTGAACACTTCCACGCAGCGCTGCTATCATTTGTGGCTACACGAGGTATTGATCAGCAGCCTCATCAATTAATAAAAACAGCTTCAGGGTCTTCAGAGCAAAGTGATGAAACAGAGACTCAAACACACAAACCCTCCTCTGGTCTGATCTTACTTCACTTTAAATCAATTCATCAGTGTATTTTATTCATATGATAGAAATCTGAAACTCATTTAGAAATAAAATTCACACGGTCATCGATTCCTCATAAATCACAATCATGTAAATTTTGTGACATAATAAAGCCACTATTATGGGTACAAATTCACAATTTAGACTAAGTGATAAGTATGAAACATTAATGATGAAAATTAATTACCATTATTAAGGGATCTTTTATAAGGAGTTAATATGGTGTAAATATTGACTCATTAATTAATAGTTGATAAATCATTTACTAATGCTTCATGGGTGTTTTTAAAAGCCATTAAAACCTTCTGGTTGACGAGATTCGAATTTTTATTTTTAAGTTAACAGATTTTATAAGCTTCATGTACACAAATTTAAAATTTTTCATGACACTGAGCAATTTTATTTTTTGCTTGGTATTTCAATTGGAAGAAACTTTCATGCCTGCAACACATTTCTTTTTGCAGCTATAATTCAGCACAATAATAATAATATTAATAATAATAATAAGTCCTGAACCATCCCTTAGCCATGCTGCTAGAGGTCTAGACTGCCGCGGGGCTTCCCATAATGCAATATGCAGTATATCTGAAGTCATCAAATCATGGTAGTGTAGTGAAAACTAAAACATTTCCCGTAAAGTACAAAAAATAGTTCGTTAAACAGTTAAAGTACCTCAAAACTACTTAATTGCAGTACTTGAGTAAATGTACTTGCTGGCCATGCAGACGGCAGTGTGTCCTCATGTAGAGAGGCAGAAAGTGAACTTTAGCCTTCTTCTTAATGCATAGAGATTTCAAAAGACAGTGAATATAAGCAGCAGTGCATTATGGGAAGTGTCAGCAACTCTCTCTCTCTTTTTCTCTCTCTCTCAGCCTGATCAGAAACCTGCTCAGGTCTTCTCAGGGTTTCATCTCCTTCATTAAAATGCTTCGCCCTCGGGCGGCTTGCGACGCTTCACAGGCTTCATGCAGTTACGCAGGTGTTAGATAAGGTAAGACACACACACACACACACACACACACACACACACACACACACTTTAATCAAGGTGAAGCCAGGCGAGTCAGCATGGACCTTCAGCAGGGTTTTAAAGCCCAGATGTGTGAATACTATATTTGAACTGTCCTCCTCCTCATTCTGTCCTGTTATCTCCAACAGTCCAGCCTCTCAGCATCACTTTATTCAAATTCAACGTGATTTTAATCGTTAACACCTGACCGCCCAACAGATGCAGGGGATACAAAACAAAATTAAAGACATAAACCAAACATAAATAAATTAACTTGATCTTGTGTGTGTCTGTGTCCTATATTGTCACAGTAGGAGGACGACTGTTCAGCCCGTTCTCATTCTCAAAGCGTCAAATAGCTACGCTTTGTCACGACTTCCGGCGTCTGGTACCAACACGCCCGGCACCCTGTAGCACAACAGAAAAGTCTGATACATTCATGCAGGAGACCGATTGTTCGTTCCCTGTGAGATACAAAAAGTCAACATTTTAGTGACGTTACATAACTTAAGTCATGTAATTTGACCCAAACCATGATCTTTTCCTAAACATAACCAAGGAGTTGTGGTGTGTAAACCTTACCAAACTGTGAGGTTTCACAACGTTAACCACAGGTTTTATTGGAACATACTCATTTATATTCTTGACCCCGGAGCCCTACACGTGCAAATACTATGCTAAAAGGTACCCGGGGCGTCAAAAAGCAATTGAAAATAATAAAAAAATAGAAAACTTCTGTTACAGCCACCACCACGCTAGTTACAACAGTGTTTGCAGTGTTGTTTTTTTATTGAATTTGTCTGGTGCAAAGGTTTTTCTTCCAAAGTGCTTTGGAACCACCAAAGACGAAAGAATGTGAGTTACCTAAAACAATAATGATATATAATGAAGCAGAAAGATTCAGGATGGATTTCCTTCTCGCCGGTTGAAACAGAAACCGTCAGAACTTTTTGTTAGATATTAGTTTGTGACCCAAACATGATCGCTGGAGAACAGAAGTTTAGGACCCAAATGCAGACACTGACACGGAAACTGGAGAGTTGGTGAGGTTTATTGCAACTAAGGTGAAAACTTACAGCGCAGATGAAAACAAAGTCCAAAAATCCAAAATGAGAGAATTATCCACAAGGAACCGAGAGACGTGAAACTAAACAGGAGACTAAACTTGAGACACAAGGAGACTCCTGTAGAGAAACTAACACTAGAAACACGGGACAATACAGGAAACAGCAACATCAAAAATGAACTGGCAACAAGTGAAAGACAGACAGACAACCACTTAAATACACAGATGAGACCACTAAGACAATCAAGGACAAACACAGGAAGTAAAACATGACAAGAGACACGAGGGCAGACAAACTACAAACTAAAACAGGAAGTAAAGCCAACTGAAACACTCAAGGAATAAAGTGACATAACAGACAACGTAAGTGACTTATAGACAAAACCCACAGAAGTAAAGAACATAGAAACAAGACTAGAAACACTGATGAACTCATAACAAGTAAATCTAACTAATAAACAAAGTAACATACTACAGAAGAGCAAACACAAGGGCAGGGAATGAACACAGAAACAAATACAAAACACCCAACCAACCCAAGCCTGTGACACTTTAACATGACCGCTTTTATGATCAATCTGTCACTGATGTACGGACAGAGACAGTTATCTCCGGACATCATGGATTTATCCTCAGCACAGAATAAAATCTATAAGCTGCACTGTCCCTCTTTATAACACTTTTACTCTTTAAGGCTGTACGTTACTGCAGTAATCACTGAAAATCAAGCTAATCTGTAGGAAGCTGTGATTAGTCGCACCGATGGAACATTTCTGTGTGAGGATTGTGATGCAGCTGAATTTCAATATAAGCTGCATAGTCTTCATGTGTTTTGACATTTCAATAAATATAATATAATAATGTAAAGTAGACGTTTTCAACTTTACAGTCAGTTGTTGTTAATAATAATAATAATAATAATAATAACAGCTTATGGGTCGGACTATGACTTATCTGTTTGACCTGTCAGCTATTGCCACCGGCATTTTGTTCCATCAGGTTACAGCTGTAGCCTATAAATATAATTAAAAAATTTTATGTAAACTCCAGAACTTTATCATTCAGTAATGGGATTAGGAGCTTTATAGTTGCTAGATGTTTGCAAGATGTTTGCAAGAGGCCTGATATGATCCACCAGGGAACCAGAAGATGGCAGTATTTGCTTTGCCATTTGCAGGGACCCAATGACCAGCATCTCTTCTTTAGTATTCACTAGGTTCATCACAAGAGCAGGCAACAGCAAAGGAACCAATATCTCAGTCTGCATGTCTTCTATGCTGCTAGTATAAATGTAGAATAAATGACTGGGGTAGTTATTAGATGAGGAGCCTGCAATCAAAACTATGAAGTCACTGTTTTAGGCAGGACACTGTTTTCATGTAGTGGTCAATTTTGAGATTTTGGTCTGTTTTGCTTCCATGTCTTTTTTTTTTACTGTAATGGAAAGAAAATGTCAAGAATACACATTTAGATGTAGTCTTGTTCTAAATTAACCAAAACAAGTTCATCTGCATATGTAAACAAATCATGTCAGGAGAAATTACTCTTCATGTAAGTCATTAGCTAGGGAAGTCAAAGGGTACAGATGACTCCTGCCCGGGCTCAGGGGGCCCATGCGAAGTCTATGGTTGACTCTTAAATGTATATATAGGAACCCTGCCCTATATTGGAAAATGTATGTGCCTAATTCCCTCGTCCTGCATGGTTTAACAACATTTAAGATATGCAGTAAATGCCTAACCTACTTACTTTAAAGCTCCTAAAAACTATTTCTTGTCCACATTAACATGTTACACACATAACACGCACTCCAGCTGCAGCAGCCCAAAGTTCCCTGTAAATAATGGAAAACCCCAGGAGCTTGTGACTCTGCCACCAGCTGCTGCTGCTATAAAGGCCGGACGACTCTGTGCTGGTTTCCACTTCTGAAGCTCAACAACTGTAGCATCATGAATCGATAGTTACGCATTGTAAGATTCTTTGAGTATAGGCGCAGCCCTCTAAGGCCCTCACTATTGGTTTATCCCCTACACGCGCACACTGATAAAACTCGTCTACGCCTACCCACAACGTGGGCCTCTCCTACGTCTGCACCTTGTATATATACACACACAATGGTGAGACCCAGCCTTCGGCTCCCATAGTGCCTTTTCTTCAGCACTGAAAACCAAGGCCCAGTGAGGCCTGAATCTGGAGTTACAATAAGTACCTATCATTCTATGTTGTGTAGGCTTCGCCCTCTAAGGCTATCGCTGTTGGGTTTAGAGGCGCGAAGCGGGACGAGTCAACGCCGCACTGGGCTCATACGGTACCACCAATCAGAGTCATCTGCCCAGAGCCAACATTAAAACACTCAGTCCCGCGCAACCTGCAGCATTGGTGTCGGCGTGTGCGCAATCAGCAGTGGCGCAACATGGGAAGGCGGAGAGCCAACCCATGTGTAAAAGTCTGGGAATCTGATGGGGGGCCCCGCAGTTATGCAGGTGCAAGCTAGGTCACTACAGTGACCGCATCAGCTTCGCACAGCACAGAGCCAGCGTGAGCACCAGCCGCTCCCCCCACCATCCAGATGGGAGAAAGCACACCACGCACTTACCGAGACTTACCGAGGAGGAGTCAACGAGAAACGGGAGACATCCCGCAGGTAGAAACAGATGAAAGAGCACAGAGAAGACCAAGAGGCCGCTGTGCAATGCCACAGAGGAGGATACGCCTCTCGTGGAGTGTGTCCTGATAACGTCCAGGGCAGATACACCGGCTGACACATAGGCCTGTGAGCCTCGCACAGCCAGTGAGACAGGCGCTGAGCTGACAGGGGAAGCCCCTTGGACTGCTCCCTGTAGTGCACAAACAGCCACAGAGAGGGCAGCCAGATCGCTGACCTCTTGGCCAACCTCAGGGCCACGAGCAGGGCGACCTTGGCTAAAAGGAACCACAGGTATCTAAAGGCTCAAATGGGGCTTCGGTCAACGCGCGTAAAAGCAGCACCAAATCCCACTGTGGAGCAGCAGGCTGCAACACTGGCCTGTGCCTCCAAACCCCTCTTCCGGAAACGCTTCACCAGCGGGTGAGTGAACACCGTCCTGTCCCCGAAGCCCTCGTGACAGGATGAAATGGCGGCCGTGTAGGTGTTAACTGTACTGGAGGCCAGACCTCTGTCCATGAGCGGTTGGAGGAACGAAAGCACCCCCGGCAGCGGGCAGGTCACTGGGTCCAACTCCTGGTCCAAACACCAACGGCAAGCATTTGGAGGAACCGGAGCAGCCTCCTCATATGCAGGAGGCCCAGGGGCACCACTATGTGAGCCACTGACATGAGGCCCAGCAGCCTCATGTCCAAAAGTGCCCTGACCACCCTTGACGCAACTTTGTCAGGTCGATGGAGGTCTCCCTGGCGTACACATTCCAGCACCTGCTGGTCTGTCCATAATCGCTTTGTTGAATAGTGACAGATCCAAGATGGGTCTCACCCCCCCCTCTTTTTCCTGAACAGGAAATAGCAGGAGTAGAAACCCTTGTTTTCCTCCCCCAGTGGTGCCCTGGAAATAGCCTGCTTCTCCAGGAGCTCCAGGAGAGGCAATCTGAACTGGAGAGACGAGAACTGTCTCCACTTTCCCGGCAAAAGGGGGAGGGTGGGAGGCGAACTGCAGTCTGTGGCCACGGCGGTCCAGACTGTTCATCCACCTGTCCATGGAGCAGGAACTCCGAGTGGCGCTCTGAGTGTGGTTGGACCTGCTGATGAGGTGCCCTGGTGGCCATGAAGTGTAGCCACTCTGTTGCCCCTACCACTGTAGCAGGTGGAGGAAAACCACCTTCAACCCATAGGGGGCCGCCCCAAAAGGGCCGGAGCCGGCCACGGGAAAGGCTGGCAGATGGCGGTCTGAGTGAGCCGCCGATCCAGAGAAATTTGCCCCTGTCTGTAGTGGGGGAGAAGGATCATGGGCACCTACACGCACCGTCAGGCAGGGGGAAGCGCTGTCCTGCGTGGCGAGGTCGTATGAGTTAGCCTGACAGCTAGGCGTGTTTCTCTCCCCTATTACCGAGGGGAGCAAGCCCACGCTAGCCGAGGCAGGGACAGCCGGGCGCCGCTGCTTTGGAGGGGGGTCGCACCATGTCAGACACAGATGGGGAGAGCTAGAACGACCACCAGTGTGCGGTGGAGAGGGCACAAGGCAACGTGGCACTCGTGAGTCCACCCCCCTTTCGCTCCCATGGAGAGAGGAGGGGAATAGGGGGAAGACACTGCCCCCTGAGGGTCCACACGAGGCGGGAAGGCCGTGCGCTGGCCCCTTTGCTGATCTCCTCCGGAAAGTGTGGAATAAAGGTCAATCTACTGCTTGGACAGTGTTATGGGCCAAGAGCATAGACTGTATATAAAAATAGACGTGGTGTACGTGACATTACCTGTTGGTTTCTGAAGAGCAGTTTTGAACAACATAATTTCCCGATGGCCAGTCCACCGCTGGTTCTGTGTGTCTTCATAAAGGCCCCAAACCCAAATAGGACAGTTTCTCCAAACACAACAAACGCCTGAGCCCCTGTTTACACATGGCGTCACAATTTGCTTCAAAGTTCAGTTTTGAAACTATAATTGTACCCAGATCTTTGTGAGATGGCTTAATGGATGGGACTGCATGTGTGAGGGGATGACTGCTAAAATCAATGATCTTTGGTTTTAGACTGACCGGGCTGTGGCTGCTCTCACCGTCCTGCATCCCGTCTGCAGCCTGTTCTCAAACCTGCTCTGACACATGACTGTGTAGGGCAGCGGTTCTTAACCTGGGGGTCACAAGAATGCTATTATAGACACACACAAAAAAAACTAGACTGGACTATAGTTGTGAATGGAATCACTTTGGGTAGACACTGTAAATATTTTGCACTGTTCAAACCAGTAGGTGGCAGTAATGCCAACCGCTATAAAATGCCAAAGAAGATGTTAAGCCTCAAAACGGTAGTCCTCAATCTAACAACATTACAGTGGCTATGTTGTTAATGATTCTGAGGATGTTCCATTAATAGTTTTCTAATAAATAGAGCAACTTCTGATCAACCTATATCAATGTCAGGCTTAAATACCAACTTCCAGATAGTCGCACCTGTTGCTAGTATGGCTGCAGATCATTTAATCTGCTGAACAGATACAGATACAGTTAGTGGCGAACTCGCTCATCCTCCGGAAAAACATGTGAAAGCCCAAAAGAAATGTTGCTTGTTGGTCCTTTCACACATGGATCAGTTTTTATGGATGGACGTTTTAATAGTCCTGATGATACATGTGCCTTGCCGTCTTATTAATTAAACTATTTACATTCAGTCTAATTCCTCGTCAGCACAGCAGGCAGAGCCTCCCAGAGTCACAGCCTTTTGTTAATGTTCTCATTAAGGCCGTAATGTTTCCTCCTCAGTGACGGTAATAAAACTCTCTTACAGTGTTTGTTTTTATTTGACTTTTGGTGAAAAGATGATTGTGTTTCTTTCCTCTGCGTGATGCTTTTTAAAGCCGAGCTGCTTTATCAACCCACACGAGGATTTGACGGTTTAACTTTTTTCACAGTGGATTGGTTTAATTAGGATTTGGAAGAGAAGGCATTGAATTGGAACGTCAGACAGAGAGAGGAAAGGAGGTTTGATTTCCTGTAGCTCATTTAATTTAAAGCCCATAAAAAACAGATTATTATTACACTTTATTTCTCACCCTGCATTTAAACCACCAGGGGAAATAATCTTAAACTGTAAAGCTGAAGGATTAACCCTCTGGAGCCCAGGTCGGTTTCAGTTTTGTTCTGCAACTTTCAGAAACGTTCAGTGTCAAAACTAAAACAAAATGAGAAGTCAGCTAAAACAGAGTTTAGCTGACTTCTCATTTTGTTTTTGGAATTTAACAAGTACGACTGTTGTTGTACATTTCACTGAATTGACTTCAAAGTAGGGGTGGTCTTGCCTTCATGATTTGTTTGTGCAAATTCAGAAATGGTTGGGTGCTAGTTGGTAACTTACTATATATGCAGCACTACCTAGACATTTCAGTTCCTGAGATATAAAATACATTTGAATATCACTTTATAAATGGCAGGTTATTTTACAAGTTGAAGTCCTTTTTGTTTTCCCCCAGACTGTCACCGTAAAACCTTCCAGACTGCAAGTTCAGCATGTTGTGGCTCACAATCAGGTCATCAGCCAAAAAAAACCTCTGACTGGACATCAGAGCTCCACCTCTACATGAGAAAACGCTTCAACAGTGTCAGTCCACAGAGACAGAAGAACCGAACGCAATGAGTCAAAAAATCATCGCCTTTATCGTCTTGGCTCTGCTCCTCATTGCATGTGAGTAATGATCTTCGGTTCATTTTTACATCTTTATTAACAAACAACATGGAACAATGAGCCGTCACATCTCTCTCACATGAATGCAAAAAATGCATACTGTATTTAAAAAATAATGGGAAAAGATACATAAGATGTGACAGATGTGATGTCTGACAGCGTTATTTCAGAGTATTTCAGGCTCTCTAACTGGTTTTGCAATGACATCACTCAAGGATTAAAATTTCATTCGATTGATGATTGACATTCTCAAACTTTCACATTATAATTTTGGACTGTTGGTTGGACAATACAAGACATCTTAACACATCACTTTTGGTATTTTCTGCTAATTTTCTGACACTAAATTGGCATCAAATTATGAAAGGCCTCAGGGTTCATGTGTACACATGTTGCCCAAATTTGGTCACAATTCCATGTTGCATTCAAGGGTTACGGCAAGTTTATGTCAATGAGGCCATGCATGCCAGATTTTGGCAACCAATCGAAGGAAAAGTACAGACAGAAAAAAGCAATGTCTGAAAAAATGTTCCAGGCTGATCCCAATACGGTATGTATAGCATTTGGTAAAGTAATAACATGTTGGAGAAGATCAGAAATCAGACCGGTGATTCAGTTCATGAGTTCCACATGTTGATGGTTGAACGCATGGTGGCGCTATAGTTAACATGTGTAATGCTGAGCACATGGCCACGGGCCTTCTTTAGTATACTGCATGGCAGTAGATTTAAACCTGACTACTGCTGAACTCATGCTGAGAGCATTATTTCTCTGTTGCAGGTGAGGTTGAAGGGCTTGTACATTGCAGGGTGTTCGGTGGATTCTGCAAACTTCCTGGGACATGTAGCGGGTACTCTTACCATCATGTTATTATATCCAAAAACTTTGTATCGCTGCTTTGTTTTGAAAGAGCTGTTCAGCATTGCGGCCAATTCTTTTATTCTCTTTTGTTCTTTCAAAGAGTGAGATGTTCAGATGGACGTCAACTCGTGTCTGTGTTCAGTACAGAGCTGGAGTCAGGATGTGGTTAGCCTAGCTTAGCATAAAGACAGGAAACCTGTGGGGGCGGGGGCTGGCTCTGTACAAACACATCTAAAGGTCACTGATTAACACGCTGTTGCTTGTTTGTTTATTCGTACATGAACAGGAATGGAAAAAATGTACATATGACATTTCTTCCTCTCAAAGACTGCACAAGGAAAATATTTTCAATGTAGTTCCACTTTACACTAAACAGGATTTTCTTTAATGTTATGAAGGGGCCCTGTGGAGTTTTGACAGCCAGTAGGGCTATGAAGCAATGTTTTTATAAACCCCCCCCCAACCCCTCACAAATGCTAAGGTTAGCATGCTGATACAAGGTTTTTAGACTGACAGATTTTCCTGATCATCATTATGTTTTCCTGCAGGGGGGGGCACCTGAATGCAGCATGTCCTTATGGATTATTGTAAGTTTGACCATCAAAGAAAGAAAGAGAAATACTTAATGATGTCACATGTTAGCATAAGCATGAATTAGCTCGTCTTATTTCTCAGTGTGATTCTTAACAATATGCTTTGTTTTGCAGTTGCTGTTCTTACCCTGATGAAAGGACCATGGAACAATATCTACATCAATAAAGACTAACCTGAGCTGTCACAGGCGAGCTCCCTACATCTGTGTTTCCTGTTTTAATTTCTGTACACCATACACATTCCAGTCATTCATAATTTTAAGAATTCTGATTGCATTATATTTAGAGCAAAACAAAGGTTAAAGGTTATAGTGGAGAGTTCATCATAAAAAATAAAAAAAAACTTTGTTCATCAATGAACTCATTTGTTCATGGTTTCCAATAATTTAGGTTTTCTGTTTTGCATATATTATTGCAAGATATTACATACAAACATGTTATTAAATAATCACATATTAGATAATGAAGAAGAGCACATACCTGTGGAGAATATTGAGGTATTTAATTGCGTGCAGATCTCTAAAACAACAGGTCCGTTGTTTGTAATGTAAAATCTGAATCGCGCCGCAGGTGGCCGCCTCTGGATTACTGTGTAGTGCTTTTTGTGTTTTTGTTTATAAAACCCTCTACACCAACGATTGCGCCTCAGGAGACCCATCTGTCAAACTCCTGAAGTTTGCTGACGACACAACGGTCATCGGCCTCATCCGGGACAGTGATGAGTCGGCCTACAGACGGGAGGTTGATCAGCTGGCTCTCTGGTGTGGTCAGAACAACCTGGAGCTTAACACTATCAAAACTGTGAGATGATCGAGGACTTCAGGAGGAGCCCCCCCACTCTCCCCCCCATCACCATACTCAACAGCCCTGTGTCTGCTGTGGAATCCTTCAGGTTTCTGGGATCCACTATATCCCAGGACCCAAAGTGGGAGCCCAACACTGACACCATCATCAAGAAGGCCTAGCAGAGGATGTACTTCCTGCACCAGCTCAGGAAGCTCAACCTGCCTAAGTAGCTGCTGATCCAGTTCTACACAGCCATCATCCAGTCTGTCCTCTGCACCTCCATCACTGTCTGGTTTGGATCTGCCACCAAAAAGGACAGGAGCAGACTACAACGGACAGTCAGGACTGCAGAAAAGATCATTGGTGCCAACCTGCCCTCCATTCAGGACTTATACATTTCCAGAGTCAGGAAACATCACTGCAGATCCATCTCACCCCGGACACTCCGCTCCTCAGAGGCGCTACAGACAGACAGGACAGAGGCTCCTCCCTTCTGGTAGGCGCTACAGAGCACTGTACGCCAAAACCAACAGACTCAGGAACAGTTTCTTCTCTAATTTATTCCAGCATCCTTTGCACTCTTTGTCAACCTGTCTATATTGTTTTGTTTTTGTTGATTGTATTATTGTGTTATTGTATAAGTAAGCACATTGTGAGCATTGAACAATCCAGAGTCAAATTCCTCGTATGTGCGCACATACCTGGCAAATAAAGCTGATTCTAGTCATGTGTCTGATAAAGGTTCAATCTGTTCATTGAACTCGGGCTCCCTCTAGTGTTCATGAAGACACTACATGCAGCAGGCTCGGAGGTGGGGGGGTGAAAGTGTGTAAATACAATTTTTGTTTTTTGTTGCTTTAGTGCCATCATTACAAGTATGTTGTAAAATTTCACAACTTTCAGTTCAAAACTTCAAACTCATTACAGCCAGTCAACACTTACAGCCTGTGGATACCCTAAATGGACCTTTGTGAAAACAGCCACAAGATCCAAGAAGAACAAAACTACAGGGGAGGAAAAGAAGGTCAAACGCAACAACATTGTGATTCCATACGTGTCTGGAGTATCAGAGAAACTCAGGAGGATTTTCAACCCCAAGAACACACTAAGACAGATGCTGGTCCACCCCAAAGACCGCACACCCAAACACAAGAAAAGCAATCTAGTGTATGCGGTCCAATGCAGTGAGGAATGCACAGACCTGTATATTGTGGAGACTAAACAACCACTACACAAACGCATGGCTCAACACAGAAGGGCCAACTCCTCAGGTCAAGACTCTGCAGTCTACTTACATCTGAAGGACAGAGGACACTCGTTTGAGGACCACCAGGTGCACATTTTAGACAGAGAAGATGGATGGTTTGAAAGAGGTGTCAAGGAAGCATCTACACCAGGGTCGAGAAGCCGTCATTGAACAGAGGAGGGGGTCTACGCCACCACTTATCCCCCACTTACAATGCTGTCCTTTCATCACTTCCCAGGAAACTCAACAAACGTAACCTATTGGCCTCAGGTGAAGACACCAACGATGGTCGTTCAGTCTTGGCCACAGGTAGTCTTAACGACGGTAACGACTGTCGTCACAGCAACCAGGAACACTAACGAACCAGCGGTATCGATGACCCTGGCCAACGACCCCACTGAGGTTAAATAGCTGAGTTTCGACGAAACGTCTTCCAGTATCTTCAACCAAGTCCAGTTGCCCTTGATTTTAACCTTCGTTGGATTATCACGAACTTATGTGAATAATATTATAGTGACAGTATAATCAGTAAAATTTCCTTAAAGTATTACAGGTGATCCAAACAAACAGGTAATTCAACAGAAATACTAAATCCACAGAAACGAGCTTCTGGGGGAGATTCACAAAGAGTGGACTGCAGCTGGAGTCAGTGCTTCAAGAACCACCACGCACAGACGTATGCAAGACATGGGTTTCAGCTGTCGCATTCCTTGTGTCAAGCCACTCTTGAACCAGACACAGCGTCAGAAGCGTCTCGCCTGGGCTAAAGACAAAAAGGACTGGACTGCTGCTGAGTGATCCAAAGTTATGTTCTCTGATGAAAGTAAATTTTTCAGTTCCTTTGGAATTCAAGGTCCCAAAGTCTGGAGGAAGAGAGGAGAGGCACTGAATCCACGTTGCTTGAAGTCCAGTGTAAAGTTTCCACAGTCAGTGATGGTTTGGGGTGCCATGTCATCTGCTGGTGTTGGTCCACTGTGTTTTCTGAGGTCCAAGGTCAACGCAGCCGTCTACCAGGAAGTTTTAGAGCACTTCATGCTTCCTGCTGCTGACCAACTTTATGGAGATGCAGATTTCATTTTCCAACAGGACTTGTCACCTGCACACAGTGCCAAAGCTACCAGTACCTGGTTTAAGGACCATGGTATCCCTGTTCTTAATTGGCCAGCAAACTTGCCTGACCTTAACCCTATAGAAAATCTATGGGGTATTGTGAAGAGGAAGATGTGATACGCCAGACCCAACAATGCAGAAGAGCTGAAGGCCACTATCAGAGCAACCTGGGCTCTCATAACACCTGAGCAGTGCCACAGACTGATCGACTCCATGCCACACCGCATTGCTGCAGTAATTCAGGCAAAAAGTATTGAGTGCTGTACATGCGCATACTTTTCATGTTCATACTTTTCAGTTGGCCAACATTTCTAAAAATCCTTTTTTTGTATTGGTCTTAAGTAATATTCAAATTTTTGGAGATACTGAATTTGGGATTTTCATTAGTTGTCAGTTTTAATCATCACAATTAAATGAAATAAACATTTGAAATATATCAGTCTGTGTGTAATGAATGAATATAATATCCAAGTTTCACTTTTTGAATGGAATTACTGAAATAAATCAACTTTTTGATGATACTCAAATTACATGACCAGCACCAGGGACAAACAAGCAGGCAGAAGCAACCAGGTCAGAGGGATAACGACTAACGAGACAGGCAGGCAGAGGGATTACTGGGGAAACAGACAAAACACAGGTTACTAAACACAAGCCATATCAAAATATGATGGAACAATTCAGAATATTATAAATAACAAACTAATCCAGAGACAAGCAGACTGATCACAAAGAAACTACAACCCACAGGGAAAACAAACTGAACTGGGATCAGATAGGGGCAATATATCCACACAGAAGTACACAGACCAGGAGTCACCACTAAGACCTGAACTAAGGCACAAGACAAGGAACTAAGACACAGAACTACGAACTAAGATAAGACCGATACTAAGTAAACTTAAACTTGCAAATGAATGAAATAATAAACAAGGCTACACAGAGAAACAGGATCGTGACAGTGACATCAGGTATTCATTTTGTTTTTTGGCATCTATTCAAAATTAATGGGAAGACTGGTATTTTTGCTGCAGCACATGTTTTAGTCTGAATCCATCCTTAGGCTGAAGTGACGCTACTGATCTGATGTGGGTCGAAGGGTTTGTCTGTTCGCTGTACAAACACCAACTAACAGTAGACCAAAGAGTTCATTGTGGGCTTCAGAAAAACCAAATGCAGTGACCTCCCCTTCTGACATGCTGCCTTTTTTAGAGAATCACTACAAGGGCCGGTATGAAGACAGTCAGGGTTGTGGTCATTTATGAAAGCTGCGTAGTTAGGTGTCTGAGAAGACTCTCATTCATCCAGATCGTAGTTATCCAAGGGAGGTTAAAATCAAGGGCACTGGAGAGTGGTTGAAGATACTCGAAGACGTTTCTTCAGTACTGACTGGCAGGAAGTCCCAGCTGTTATCAAGGGGATGGATACAGCTTGGCTCGTTGGTGCTCCTGGCTGTTGGAATGACTGTCATTGTTGGTTGTTGGAGTCACCTGAGGCGAAGTCTGAGCGACCATTGTTGGCTTTCTGAAACGTCAGTGGAGCAGATGAATGTGGTTCTCACTTTCGTAAACAGACCTCAGTCACTGTTGAGGTCTATTCAGCCCACTTTAAGATATTGGATTTCTCCAGAGTTGCTTACCCCACCTTTAAATGATCTTACCTTTCAGACTGTTCTCATCTCAGGGCGTTTCAGAAAAAGTGACAAAGTGTAGTTCTTTGACACCAAAGGTGTACCCTTTAGTGTCTGTATAAGATGCTCTGGGCTGTCTCGTGCAGACCGGAAATGCTACTAGCTACAGTGCCTAAACCTAAGTCACTGACTTTATGCATGTCAACCGGCTAACCCCTATAGTTGTGCCTCACGGGTAGCTCAAGGGTACCTTTAGCATCAAATAAACACGCTTTATGAAAGCGTCTGTAATCACGCACTGAGATGAGGACACGTACTTTTCTACACTGATTGTGAATTATGACTTGAAGACAGCGTTTGCAGCTGTATCAACACTGATTAATGGGGTTTTGGATATTGCAGCAGCAGAGCAGAGCTCAGGCTGTCTCAGTCCAGGTTTCAGCTGGATGGAAGCAGTCGTGTGCTGCTCTGTATACTCAGTGTGTTTGTTGGTGGCCAAGGGCAAATCAACAAGTTAGTAAATGATTGATACAGAAACCAAACAATTTCATTATGAAATCCTACAACCACAGCAAACCCTGAATCCCCTTTGAACAAGCAGAGAGATACGCTTTTTATGTAAATAATGCAAGCAGTCACAAACATAATGGCCAGACGGCTCAGTGTTGGTTTCCACTTCTGAAGCTCACCAGCTGTAGCATCATGAATCTGTGGTTCAGCACTCACTTCCTGGTTGTTGGGCTGTTTCTGAGCAGCTCGGCTGTGACACCTGAAGAATGCCAACCCTTGGTCACGCCTTTGTCCCTGGCCGACCCCAGCATGGTAAGGCTTCCTTCCCGGGTCTTTAGGTTAGAATTAGTACTCAGGCACTGAAGCAGTATTCAGCTTTTCGGGAAATTCTTAGCCACAGTTTATGCCTCTCATCTGTTAGCGTTAGCACTCCATTTGATTTACAGCTAAGCATACATTTGTTTTCAAGATAAATGCACTGCAATTCTGTGAAATCCCAGAAGACAAGTGCAGCAACAGATTTTTTCTTTTTTATCAGATGGTTATTAGAGTTATTGTTAGAACAGCAGTAAATATATAGATAAACCACCTTGAATGTAACATTGACACATGGGAGGCACAAACTGGGGATAAGAAATGATTTTTTCGTGAGACTGAGATGTTCAGATGGGTGTTTTGTCTGTGTAGTACTGAGCCGGAGTCAGGATGCCGTTAGCCTAGATAGCATATAGACTGACGGAAGCCTAGAACCAGCTACTTTAGCTCCATCAGGAGACTCAACAACTCCAAAGCTATCTGATCTCTAAAGTCCTGAACTCATAGTGGGGTCATTGGTTTGAATTCTGTACGAACTCCAACGGATGGGTTGATGATTTACCCGGTAGATTTGTCATAAAAAGGTAACTTAAAATAACTTAACAAGTGGCCATTTTCAATCAGCAATCTTGTGTTAACAAGTCCACATCTAACAAAGTACAGTCCAGATGGCTGGAATTGTTCTCACTCTGACCCTTTTATCGACAATAGCAACAACTCCCAGCATGCATTTCATCATCATCCTCCAGATTTCCATTGAGTCAACATTAATTTGTTAGTCAACTTCATGTTTTCATTGGACAGTTTAATGTTGTATAACTGCCCTGCCTCTACATTTGTTTATTTAGCTGACGCTTTTATCCAAAGCGACTTACAATTGTTATATATCAGAAGTGTCTTGCTCTCAGGGGAGTCACAGTGGGGAGTTGAACCCAGGTCTCTCACACCAAAGGTATGTGCCTTATCCACTGTTCCATCAACACCCCCTATCAACACATTCCATCACCAAATATCAATAAAGACAAATAAATACTGTCTATATGATGGGAACTTAAACAGGCAACAACCACACGTTGAGAATTAGTTGCACTAGAGAGGCCCGGTCACAGAATTACAGTACATATCAGAGGCAAACCAAGACAGTTTGTAACAGTTTGACAACTCTGTTGAGTCCCGTGGTCCCAAATTGTTTTGGAGTGTAGGAGAGGATTACTGTCAAGGTAATCAACAAATAGTTTGGCAACTGTTTTTCAAAAACCTTTGAAAGTGCAGGTAAAGTTACGCTGACTGAATCTCACAAAGCTCGGACAAAGCCATATAGTTTTGTTTTTATAAAACAAATCATGTTACTGGACCATTGACGTAACGTATTTTGTCACAGAACAGTTGTATTGAAGTGCAGCCTACTAATCTTAGCGTGTTAATGTTAGCTTGAGTGCTACTGTGCAGTTTCTACTGAAGTGTATTCTGCAAAACAATAAGTTCACAAGAAATTGTTAAAGAAAAACACATCAAACAAAAAGATGTTGTTACAAAGATATTTGTTCATATTTCTTTCGATGAAAGATGTTTGTCTGCTCTGACTAACTGACTCCATGTTTGTGTGCAGATGTACGGCAGGATGAAATTCATCATGGGTTACGTTGATATTGACGTATATGACACCATCCTGAAGTCAACTGAGAGCTCCTGGGTGAAAATCACTCCGTCTCCGTCCAGGACTGGTGTAGTTGTGATGTCTCAGGCGAGCAAGATGTGAGTTAATAAGACATCAACTGTACACATAAACATAATAACTTCTGTAAATAATATTTTTATCATAAATGAATAAACATTTGAGGAAATCTTACACAACTAAATGCACAACTTAAGTTAACATAAGTAAGATTTAAAATTATGAGAATGAAGATGGAACCAATGAGTTTGGAAAAGTGGTCACTGTGAAATGTTCCTTAATCCAAACTAGAGAAGGACAGACCCGCTAATATTACCCTAAACTCTTATTTTATCGATTAGTAGCATCTTTTCCAGACAGATCACAGTGGACAGTGGATGGAGTTTACCCAGTTGTAGTATTTTCATGACGTCCTGTTTGGTTTAACAGTTTACAGAGCTTTCAAATGTATCACACAGCCTCCATCAGCTGAAGGAATCTTAACTTTTCAAACCAACATAGACGAGAAGACCAAAAACAGCTCTGACTGAATATGAACTCACATCTTCCTCTATCTTTTTTCCAGAAATGGAACCTGCTTTAACTTAACAGTTAACGTAACTATTGATGGCGACACTGTGACATCATCATGTAAGTAACCTGATCTGTAGTTTCTACGTTAGTTCTGTAAGTTGCAAAGTCCAGCAGGGGAGGTCATGTATCAGACTGCATCACACACACAGATCTAAAGCAGCTGTGGATGACAGACACCGCTAATACTCAAACAGTAAACTTAAACTGCGTACAGATACTGTACTTAATTGACATTTTCTATTCAAGATTAAACAATAAACAAAAATAAATAAGGGGAGAAATAGAGTTTTACAAGTGTTGCTCTATGGACAGTAATGTCCGTCGGTCCTCCACTTTGGCTCCTTAAAGCAGCTGTTGGATGGATTATGATGAAATGTGGTATCAACTGTAACAACTTTAATGATCCTCTGACTTTTCATTGCCATCATCAGGTCAACATATAATAATAATAATAATAATAATAATAATACTCTTTATTTGTAGAGCACTTTTCAAAAACAAGTTACAAAGTGCTTTAACAAGTGTAAAGACAATAATTCCCAAGAGACAATAATACAAAAACAATACAAGATAAAAGCATGAAAACATTGAAAAGAATAAAATACACGTTTAAGATAAATATAAAATTAGTAAAATACAATAAAATAAAAGGGATAAAATAAAGTCAAATAAGATCGGGAAAGGCTCTCCTATAAAAGTATTTTTAAGAAGGGACTTAAAAGAGTTCACTGACTCAGCTGAGCTGATTTCCTCGGGCAGGCTGTTGTTGTGAATTATTTTGGAGCATTATAGCCTAAATTGTTATCATTTATTACTAGAGCAATGGTGGTCTACACTGTCATCATTTAAAGTGTTATTTTATAGTGTAAAGTTTAACTACTGAGTGTTTAACTACTGAGTGTTTAATGAGTGTGTTCAAACTCATATTTTATTCTTATACTCTGTGTGTTTATCATATATTATTCTTATTCTCTGTGAACGTGTGCTTTTTAATGAGCCTACATGAGCAGAGAAGCTGCTCAGGCCGCGCAGGCAAAACCTAGCCAACCGTAACCCACTCAATAGAAGCAAGGCACCTGCAGTAAGTCACGTACGCCAGGGCTGAGATCATCGCGAACTGAAGCCAAGAATGAGATCATGACATGTTGTGATTTATGGCGCCTGGTACGGCTAGGTACTGCACGCAACCAAGCTTTGCGCTGCCGAAAGAAAACTTGTATGAGACAAAGCACCCTCATGGTTGGCATTGTTGAATCATGTATTTGTTCATTGAATCACGTTATACATGTATGAAATATGTTATTCCTTATTAATTCTTTTAAAAAATACGATTGTAAATGTTTAAGTTTTAATGGTGTCAAACTATGCCTGTATAACTTTTTAAAAAAATACAGTGGGACTGAAGTTGAAACATATTGGTGGATTTCTAATCCAGTAATGTAAAAATATAAAGAGAGATAAATGGTAACAATAATTACATGTAATAATAGTTAAAAAGTGGAAATTGTAACATTAATGAAAGGGTTAATTTGGTAAAACAGTACAAGAAAAAGGCCACTAGATGGCAGTAGAGGATAGGAAATCCACCAAAGGGGAGGAGTGGTCAGCGAACACCATAGGTGGAGTTAAGGAGTAACGCCCACCTAGAAGGAGGAGATAAGGAGGAGTTAAGATGTAATGCCCACCTGAAAGGAGGGACAAGGTGGAGCTTAAGGTGAATATAAGGCGATGTTCGCTGACCACCAACTCGGTTCCATCCTGAGACCTGCAGGGATGTTGCTCGGGTTTATCTGTCCTTTATTGGAATAAACTCTTTTGCACCGACTCTTGACCGTCTCCAGTGAAGTTTTTGACTAAAGAAGAAATCTAATAGAGTAATTTTATTGAGTTTATTACGTTGGTTAGGGTAGGGACCAGGTCTTTTACTGGCCCGGCCGGTCCTTATTTCCGACCCGACACTGTTCCAGAGCCTCGGGGCCCTGACAGCAAACGCTCTGTCCCCTTTAGTTTTCAGTCGAGACTCTGGAACAGACAACAGACCTCTGCCCGAGGATCTCAAGGTACGTGCTGGTGCGTATGGGACTAAAAGGTCAGAAATATAACAAGGCGAGAGGCCATGAAGAGCTTTAAAAGTGATCAATAGAATTTTAAAGTCAATTCTAAAACATACTGGGAGCCAGTGTAATGAAGCTAAAATAGGAATAATGTGGTCATATTTCTTTGTTCTGGTTAAAAGCCTGGCAGCTGAGTTCTGGACAGTCTGGAGTCGATCAATAGATTTTTGGTTAAACAGGTGAAAAGGCTGTTGCAATAATCCAGGCGTGATGAGATGAAGGCGTGTAAAATGGTCTCGGTGTCCTTAAAAGTTAACATAGAAATATAGCAAAAATTCGATCTAAGTTGATAAAAACATGATTGAACAAGCTGCTCGAAATTTAAATTACTATCAAACCAAACACCAAGGTTCTTTGCCACAGGCTTAATGTGATTTACTAGGGAACCAGCAGATGGCAGTATTTGATTTGCCTTCTGCTGGAACCCAATGACCAGGATTTCTGTTTTGTCTGAGTTCAGTTGGAGGAAATTATTTGACATCTATTTTTTAACTTCACAAAGGCAGTTGGTAAGTGAACTCGGCATTCCAGGGTCTGTGGATCTGACGGGCAAGTATATTTCTGTGTCATCAGCATAAATATGAAAAGAAATGCCTTGTTTATGGATAATATGTTCAAGGGGAAACAGATACAAGGAGAACAAAATGGGTCCTAAGACCGACCCCTGAGGCACACCATATTTAACTGGACAGAACAAGGAGACATAGTTGTTTACAGACACGCAAAACTTCCTTTTTGACAGGTAGGATGAAAACCATTCTAGGGGAGTACCAGAGATCCCCACCAAGTGCCTCAGTCTGTCTAACATGATGTTGTGATCAATGGTGTCAAAAGCAGCGCTACGGTCCAGCTTTTAAAGTATTTTGTTATTTTCCAGTACAGTGAGCAGCTGTTTGGACACAATTCTTTCTAGAATCTTTTGTAATAAAAGGCAGTTTTGAAATTGGTCTAAAATTATGTGGGAGGGAGGGATCTAAACCAGGTTTCTTTAAAAGTGGGTTCACGCAAGCCGTTTTAAAATAATCAGGGACACAACCAGTAGATAGGGAGCTGTTGAAAACAGAGATCAAATGGGGCCCAACAGAATCTATTACTTTCAGTAAAAACTTTGTAGGTATTATATCAAGTGGGCTGGAGGACACTCTCATTTGTGTTACTGTTTTTAAAAGCTCAGACAAGTCGATGGGATAAAACTGGTTAAAACTCTCTTGTTGCTGGTGAGGAACCTCTGAGTAAGAGGCAGTGGGGGTAATAGAGGCTCTGATTGACACCACCTTATTGGTAAAATAAGATAAAAACAATTCACAGTCATCATTACTTCCAGCAGAGGCACAAGGAGGGGTTGGGTTTACCAGCTGATCCACAGTCTTAAACAGAAACCTGGGATTGTGTTTATGTGTAGTAATGAGTTCAGAAAAATAGTGTGTTCTCGCATCCTTAACCATGTTATTGTAGTTAATTAATAAATCCTTCAGACTGAGGTAATGGACTTGGAGACTGGATTTTTTCCATCTGCGCTCTGCTTTCCTGCATTCCCTTTTGAGGCTGCGAATGCTGTCATTTATCCAGGGTTGCTTACTAGCTTTAGACGTAGGCCTAACCTTTAGAGGAGCAGTAATATTTAGTGACGACAAGCAGACATGACTGAAGTGATCGACCAGGTTGTTGGTGTTGGAATCAGACAGGTGTTGGCTTTGGCTCTGAAAGAATGCGCAAAACTTTGAAACACTTTGTTCATTAAAGATGCGAGAACACACGGAGCTTGGTGAGGCGGCATGAGTAACAGGAGAATCGCAGCTTAAAAATTAATACATCTGTGGTCAGATATGGTCATGTCCACTAATTCCACAGAGGAAATGCTGACACCCAGGGTAAAAACCAAATCCAGTGTATGACCACGGTTATGGGTTTACCCTTTGACATGTTAACGTGTCCAACACTTCGACAGCAAATGATTGCATGTTAACACACTAGACTAAGATAATTATGACCAAGTACCTGCCTCAGCCTCATCTGGACATACTGATCACTGCTAATTTCCAAACATGTTACCTGCTAAACGTGAGGGGTGGCTGCGACTCAGAAGGTAGAGCTGGTTGGCGGTTAATCGGAAGGTCAGCGGTTCAATCCCTGGCTCCCCCTGGTTGCGTGTCGATGGATGGATGGATGGATTTTAAGGTATAGAAATAGGGAGGATCTGAAAGAGCGAAAATAAGTTATAGATCTCAAGGAAAGAGGAAGATTATTCCAGTCCCATGGCGCTTTATATTGAAACGATCTACATCCAACTTCTTTATAAGTTCTGGGTGTAAAGAAAAAAGGGTATTGCATGTGTCTGAGTGGATATGAAGATCTGCATGGAATCAGATGCGGTTTTAAATAGGAGGGACAGTTAAAATAAACACATTTGAAGAACAACTGAAACCAGTGGAATTGCCTTCTTGATTTAGGATGCAACCAGTTTAGTGATTCATACATTAAACAGTGATGAGTTCTATAAGGACACCGCAAGACAAATCTACAAAGCGAGTTAACTACAACATTAAGGGGCATTAATTTAGTGTCGGTGGTATTCTGGACCTTAGCTCTGCTTTTGACACCATTGATCACAACATCATGTTAGACAAACTGAGGCACTGGGTGGGGAGCTCTGGTACTGCCCTAGAATGGTTTTCATCCTACCTGTCAAATAGGAAGTTTTGCGTGTCTGTAAACAACTATGTCTCTTCATTCTGTCCAGTTAAATATGGTGTGCCTCAGGGGTCGGTCTTAGTACCCATTTTGATCTCCTTGTATCTGCTTCCCCTTGGACATATTATCCATAAACATGGCATTTCTTTTCATATTTATGCTGATGACACTTGCCCGTCAGATCCACAGACCCTGGAATGCTGAGTTCACTTAACAACTGCCTTTGTGAAGTTAAAAAATGGATGTCAAATAATTTCCTCCAACTGAACTCAGACAAAACATCGGGACCCGATGACCAGGTTGGTCAGGCTGGTTCTTTAGTAAATCACATTAAGCCTGTGGCAAAGAACCTTGGTGTTTGGTTTGATTCAATTTCGAGCAGCACACCACAGAGCTTGTTCAATCATGTTTTTATCAACTTAGAAATATAGCAAAAATTTGATCTATATTAACTTTTTATGGACACCGAGACCATTTTACACGCCTTCATCTCATCACGCCTGGATTATTGCAACAGCCTTTTCACCTGTTTAACCCAAAATCTCCAGACTGTCCAGAACTCAGCTGCCAGGCTTTTAACCAGAACAAAGAAATATGACCACATCACCCCTATTTTAGCTTCATTACACTGGCTCCCAGTATGTTTTAGAATTGACTTTAAAATTCTATTGATTACTTTTAAAGCTCTTCATGGCCTCTCGCCTTGTTATATTTCTGAACTTTTAGTCCCATACACACCAGCACGTACCTTGAGATCCTCGGGCAGAGGTCTGCTATCTGTTCCAGAGTCTCGACTGAAAACTAAAGGGGACAGAGCGTTTGCTGTCAGGGCCCCGAGGCTCTGGAACAGCCTGCCCGAGGAAATCAGGTCAGCTGCGTCAGTGAATTCTTTTAAATCCCTTCTTAAAAATACTTTTATAGGAGAGCCTTTCCAGATCTTATTTGACTTTATTTTATCCCTTTTATTTTATTGTATTTTACTAATTTTATATTTGTCTTAAACGTGTATTTTAGTCTTTTCAATGTTTTCATGCTTTTATCTTGTATTGTTTTTGTATTATTGTCTCTTGGGAATTATTGTCTTTACACTTGTTAAAGCACTTTGTAACTTGTTTTTGAAAAGTGCTCTACAAATAAAGAGTATTATTATTATTATATTATAATGTCAGCATAATCAATAATAGGCAGTATAATTTAGGTGACGCTTTTAAACAAAGCGACACACAGTATCACAGTATCATCTGAGAAATTATTCTTTTTCTGACAGGAAGAGTGAAACGATTAATAGAACCGTTATCAAACTCAGAGGAGTATACACGACTATGTCGAGTTCCAAACAACATGCAACATGACTTCTTCCTATTCAGTATAAGTTTGTTACTATCAAGCCATTTTTGTACCAGGTTGAAGTCAGATTGTAAGGAATTCTGAATTTATAGTAGATCTGAGTTGAAGGTATAAATAACAGTGTCATCAGCATATAGATGAAAAAAGAATTAGAGCACATATGAGGGAAGTCATTAATAAAAATAATAAAAAGAAGTGGTCCTAAGGTGGAGCCTTGTGGGACACCTTTATCTACAAGTAGATAGTCGGACTGGCAGCCCTGAAAAACAACACACTGACGTCTGCTATGAAGATAAGAGTTAAACCAAAGAAGAGCATTTTGATTCAAACCAATGGAATAGAGCTTATCAAGAAGAAGATAGTGATCAACCAAATCAAAAGCCTTAGTAAGATCAATAAAGATTGCACCTGTGAATTGGGATTAATCAAAGGATGAGAACACATCATTTGTGAACTTAAGTAGAGCGGTAGTCGTGGAAAAATTAGGTCTAACATCAGATTGTGATGGAGATAAAATATTGAATTGACATATACTTTGATAAATGATTAAAAGTAAGTTACTATATAATTTTTTTGCAGTAGTACAAATAATAGAAATTGGACGGAAATTGTTCACATCAGATCTATCGCCATCTTTCAAAAGAGGAGTAATGCACATTTCAATATGAAGGGGATTGCACAATTAGATAGAGATAAGTTAAATAAGTCTGCAAGAGGATACATTAATACATGAGCAGCAAGTTTCACAAATTTTGCTTCTAGACCATCAGGACTCACATTACTGTTTTCTTTTAGCTCACAAATGGCATGAAAAACATCAACTGGAGAGATTTTACTAAAAGAAAAATAACTATTAGTATCAGTTAAGTTTGAGGTACCAGCCATCTCATAGGAGTTAAAGTGATGGGAACCAAATGGAAGAGAAATGCTGATTAAAATCCTCAGAAATAAGTACTGGGTCTAAACTAATTTCATTATTTATTTTTATCTGATTTATAGAACTTTTTTTTGTTTTATTAAGAATGTGATTCAAATGATTCCAGAACTGTCTAGGATTATGAAAATCTTGACAGAAACTATCTTAATAGTAACTGGATTTGACGTTCCTTGTTTTTGTCTTGCATAGGTTCCTGAGGTATCTGAAATTTTCCCAGTCAGTAGAATCTTTTGAAGAACGATATTTGGCCCAGGCTTTATCCCTTTGTTTTAAAAGACTTGTTAGATTAGAGCTGATCCAGGGTAAATGCCTGCCTTCGGCCCTACTTGTTTTCATGGGAGCATGTTTATTAATTACATTAGTAATTTCTGAATGAAAAAAGGTCCATGCGTCATCAACATAAGGAATTAACTGAAATCTCTCCCACCTCATTGCAATTAGGTCCTGAATAAAACGATGAACATTAATGTTCTTACATTGTCTCGCTCTAATAAATCTGGGAGGAGAGCTTGGAATTTAAATTTTCCACACACAAAATATGACAGAATGATCGCTTAAGCAGTTTGACATTACACCCGATTTAGCTATTCTTTCAGGGTGGATGACAACATAAGTGGCTACCTCTAGAGGCCCTATCAGATCTGCCACAGCGTGGTTACCACTAAAGGTTTACTGACAAACTGGCGAGGAGTGGATGAATAGCCGGTGTATTTCACCAGCTGAGGATGATTGTAGAATGAGCCACAGGTGAGAGCTGCCACACACACACGACAGACAAAAAACAGACAAAGACAGCAGGGATGGGAAACAGTGGAAAACAAGGGGAGAGAGGTGGTGGCAAGGCCCATTCACGATAGTATCCTCCCCCTACGGGAGCCTCCCGGCGACCCTCCCGGGCTTGTCAATGTGAGCCAGGTGGAAGTCCCTAACCAGGCCAGCAGAATAAAGGAATGGGGAACCCACTGCCGCTCCTCAGGACCATAACCCTCCTAGTCCACTTGGTACTGCAGCCCTCTACCCCATCGTCACACATCCAACAGGCACCAGACATTGTAGTCAGGATAGTCGTTGACGACCCAGCCGGAAGGAGGGGGTTTGGATGGTGGGCACAGGGGGGTGGACTGGTTTTTGAACTTGGCAAAGGCTCCTTGGGCTTTAGAAGACCAGGGAAACTGAGGTTTAACAGAGGTTAGTAAAGACATTCATCAGAACTATGCCGGTGGAAGCATTCCTCCTGGGACAGGCGGGCCCGTCCTAGCTGCATGGGTTCGTGTTCAGGAACGAGGGCTGGAAGTGATACCGGAGCTGGAGCTCGAACCTCGGGGGAAACAAAGGTTTGTGGGTGTTGTGGCAAAGAGGAGAGGCCAGAGTAGGCTGATGGGAGAGTTCCTTCTGCTGCTCATGCAGGCGGTTGTTGAGTCGACAAAGAGATGAGTGAATTTAAACTGGTGGGTTCGTCTCGGGAGGCTAGCTTGTCCTTGACCCTCTAACTAAGCCCCTTCCTAAATACCTCCCTGAGAGCTGCATCATTCCAGCCGGAGTCAGCTGCTAGCATCCTAAATTCTACTGAATAATCAGCAACACTTCTAGTTCCTTGCTTGAGATCCAGTTGTGAGGTGTACGAGCTAAATCATCGGTTTCCAACAGACATTGCCGGTGTTAGAATTTTAGAAATTTGTTTCTGTCCCCAGTACCTAACTTCACCTCTGAGTTCCACGTGCTGCCGAGCTGCCAAGGCTGTCTGGTCTTCAGCATCAACAACACCGCCAGAAACCTCAACAAGATTCCTCAACTTCTGAAAATTGGTGGCACCTTTCCAGAGGAGGAGGTCACCAATCGTGCTGTTTATCTGCTGGGTAGGATGGAATGAACCAGAGAGAGTAACTAACTCATTTCCTATCCGAAACATTCATCCATTTTGTTTTTGTTGTTTCCAGGCAGCGAGTCGACCTTGAAGGATTCAGACTTGGAGCGTTTCAAGCAGCAGGCAAGCTGCCTCGGCTTCTCCGGAGAACCAGACTACCACTACGACCCCAAGAACGGTGCTCGACCTTTAAACCTGTCTGATCGATGAACAATGTAATCAGGATGTGTGCTATCAGACAGAACTGATTTCTTTCTCTTTGTCTTCCACTCTGCAGGTTTCTGTGATGAAGGCGAGAGCATTAAGATTACCTTCAACTGAAGTTTAAAAAATATTTCAACCTGAAACTGAGATAAAGAGATAAAATAACAAAGATAAAGAGACAAAAAATGACTCATATCAAGCGTGTGGTCAAATTTTTTTATTCAGTGTTTATTATGATCTAATGCAGCCAGGAAAGGGGGGCTGGGTGACTGTCCGAAGGAGGAATAGTCGTAAGCATTCAAAGCCCATGGGTCACCATCAACCTGTTCACGTTTCTAACAGATTTTCCCCACTCAGCGACACACCCGCTGAGAAACCAACTCTGATCATTGGCAGCTCCATTTTGAGAAATGTGAAGTTAGCGAAGCCAGCGGCCATAGTTAAGTGCATCCCTGGGGCCAGAGCGGGCGACATTGAGTCTTATTTGAAACTGCTGGCTAAGGATAAACGTAAATACAGTAAGATTGTTATTCACGTCGGCGGTAATGACTCCCGGTTACACCAATCGGAGGTCACTAAGATTAATGTTGAGTCGGTGTGTACATATGCAAAAACAATGTCGGACACCGTAGTTTTCTCTGGACCCCTGCCAAATCTGACCAGTGATGACATGTATATCCGCATGTCGTCATTCTGCCGCTGTTTGTCGATGTGGGCTTTGTAGATCATTGGCAGACGTTCTGGGGAAGACCTGGTCTGATTCGGAGAGACGGCATCCATCCCACTTGGGAAGGAGCAGCTCTCATTTCTAGAAATCTGGACCAATCAATGGATCAATAGTGGACCAAATCCATGACAACCCAGAGTTGAGACCAGGAGGCAGAGTCGCAGTCTAACACACTTCTCTGCTCTTCTAATTCAGCAGTTACCCACCCAAAACCCTACGCAGAGTCGCAGTCTAACACACTTCTCTGCTCCTCCATTTCAGGAGTTAAAAGGTAAACAGAAGAGCTGTGCATAAAAACCTCATAAAAATTAAAACCACAAGAGCAATAGTGCAAACTAATAGGAAAATTTAATGTGGACTCTTAAACATCAGATCTCTCTCTTCTAAAGGTGTACTAGTAAATGAACTAATATCAGATTATGATATTGATTTATTTTGTCTTACTGAAACCTGGCTGGGTGATGGAGAATATGTTAGCCTAAATGAATCCACCCCTCCCAGTCATATTAATACTCACATTCCTCGAGGCACAGGCCGAGGAGGTGGAGTTGCAGCTATCTTCGACTCTAGCCTGTTAATCAGCTCTAAACCTAAACTAAACTATAACTCATTTGAAAGCCTTGTTCTTCTTCTTTCACACCCAAGTTGGAAATCACTGCAACCAATTCTTTTCGTTATAGTGTACCGAGCACCTGGCCCGTACTCGGAATTCTTATCTGAATTTGCAGAGTTTTTGTCAACTTTAGTCCTTAAAATGGACAAAGTTATTATTGTAGGGGATTTTAATATTCATGTGGATGTTGAGAATGACAGCTTTAGTACTGCGTTTATCTCTGTTAGATTCCATTGGCTTCTCTCAGCATGTTCATGAACCGACTCACTGTTTTAACCACAACCTCGACCGTGTTGTGGTATATGGTATTGAAATTGAACATTTAATAGTGTTCCCACAGAATCCCTCTTTATCTGACCACTGTTTGATAACTTTTGAGTTTGTATTGCTGAACTACACGCCATTGGGCAAAAATTTCTATACAAGATGTCTGTCTGATAGTGCTGTAGCTAAATTTAAGGATGCGATTCCATCAGCTCTAAATTCATTATCAAGTCACAAAGTAACGGAGGACTCCTATGCTAATTTCAGTCCCTCCCAAATCGATCATCTTGTTGATAGTGCTGCAGGCTCGCTGCGAATGACACTGGACTCTGTAGCCCCTCTAAAAAAAGAAAATACTAAAACAAAGATGGTTAGCTCCATGGTATAATACTGAAACTCACAAATTAAAGCAAATATCGCGGAAACTTGAGAGGAATTGGCGTTCCACCAAAGTGGAAAATTCTTGTATAATTTGGCAAGATAGTCTTAAAACTTATAGGAAGGCCCTCCGTAATGCCAGAGCAGCGTACTACTCGTCATTAATAATAGAGCAAAATAGGAACAACCCCAGATTTCTTTTCAGCACTGTAGCCAGGCTGACAGAGAGTCACAGCTCTATTGAGCCAAGTATTCCCATAGCTCTCAGTAGTTACGACTTCATGAGCTTCTTTAATGATAAAATTCTAACTATTAGAAACAGAATTCACCAAGACCTGCCCTCAACTGGCACCGACTTATCTCTTAACTCAGGAACCTTAGAAACAGCTGTAGAACCAGATATATGTTTAGACTGTTTTGCTTCCCTCAATCTTTACCAACTAACTTCAATAATTTCTTCATCTAAACCATCAACCTGCCTCTTAGACCCCATCCCGACTAGGTTGCTTAAAGATGTTTTACCCTTAGTCAGCACTTCTATACTAGATATGATCAATCTATCTTTATCAACAGGCTATGTACCACAGTACTTTAAAGTAGCTGTAATTAAACCTCTTTTGAAAAAGCCCAAACTTGATCCGGATGTTTTAGCCAACTATAGACCTATATCTAACCTTTCATTTCTCTCTAAGGTCCTGGAGAAAGCAGTTGCTAAACAGCTGTGTGACTTTCTACAGAGCAATAGTTTATTTGAGGATTTTCAGTCAGGATTTAGAGTTCATCATAGCACAGAGACAGCACTGGTGAAAATTACTAACAACCTCCTTATTGCATCAGACAAAGGACTTGTCTCTGTACTGGTTTTATTAGATCTTAGTGCTGCATTTGATACCATTGACCATCAGATCCTATTGCAGAGACTGTAATATTTCATTGGCATTAAAGGAACCGCTCTAAGCTGGTTTAAGTCCTATTTATCAGATCGATTTCAGTTTGTACATGTTAACGATGAGTCCTCCATGCATGCCAAAGTTAGTCATGGAGTTCCACAAGGATCTGTGCTCGGACCAATCCTGTTCACTTTATATATGCTTCCTTTAGGCAATATTACCAGGAAATATTCCATAAACTTTCATTGTTATGCAGATGATACTCAGTTATATCTATCAAACCAGATGAAACTCATCAGTTAGCTAAACTTCAAACGTGCTTTCAGGATGTTGAAACCTGGATGACCTGTAATTTTCTAATGTTAAACTCAGATAAAACTGAAGTTATTGTTCTGGGGCCTAAGCACCTCCGTGACGCATTATCTAATCATATAGTTTCCCTTGATGGCATCGCACTGGCCTCCAGCACCACTGTGAGGAATCTTGGAGTTATCTTTGATCAGGACATGTCGTTTAAGTCTCACATGAAGCAAATTTCAAGGACCGCCTTTTTGCACCTAAGTAATATTGCAAAAATCAGGAACATCCTGTCTAAAAATGATGTGGAAAAACTAGTCCATGCATTTGTTACTTGTAGGCTGGATTACTGCAATTCCTTATTATCAGGCTGCTCGAAAAAGTCCATTAAGACTCTTCAGCTGATCCAGAATGCTGCAGCACGTGTTCTGACAGGAACCAGGAAAAGAGATCATATTTCTCCTGTCTTAGCTTCTCTGCATTGGCTTCCAGTAAAATCCAGAATAGAATTTAAAATCATTCTTCTTACCTACAAAGCTCTCAATGGTCAGGCACCATCTTATCTTAAAGAGGTCATAGCACCTTACTACCCCACCAGACCACTGCGCTCCCAGAATGCAGAGTTACTTGTGGTTCCTAGAGTCTCTGAAAGTAGACAAGGAGCCAGAGCGTTCAGCTATCAAGCTCCTCTCCTGTGGAACCAGGTTACAGTTTGGGTTCAGGAGGCAGACACCATCTCCACATTTAAGAGTAGGCTTAAGACTTTCCTCTTTGATAAAGCTTATAGTTAGGGCTGGCTCAGGTGAGTCCTGAACCATCCCTTAGTTATGCTGCCATAGGCCTTGACTGCCGGGGGATTTCCCATGATGCACTGAGCTCCTCTCTCCTCTACTTTCTCTCCCTCTGTTTGCAACTTCGAGATACGAGGCAAGACAGATACTAAATAAGATGTGGATGAATAATAAAGGCTAAACAGAGACTAGAGCTGAACAAAATCAGATTACTGAAACTTGGTGGAACTCACCTAACCAACTAAAACACAGGGATCATAACAGACAAAACCTAAATGAGAACACAGAGTACCCAGTAGACTAAACCCAAAAGATGCAGAGAAAGAACTAGAATCAAATACTACAACAAGAACTAAAACACAGGACTAGGAACACAGACATGGAACAAAAACCCAGACTCTGCAACAAGACACACAGACAGGACTTGAAACCGAGACACGCTCAGGACAGGATCGTGACAATTATTGCATGTTACTAACACAACTTCTCCCCTTTCTGGTAGTCTTGTGCTTTCTCGTCTCTCTCCTCTCTCCTATCACTTCCTGCAGGTGTTTCTGGCTCTGGAGCTGTGGAGTCTGGATCTGTGGTTGCGGGTCACCTGCTGCCCCCGTGTTCCTGCTCGACACCCTCTGCTGCAACGACTATTGTTACTAGTCCTATTGTTATTATTGTTATTATAATCATTAACATTACGATTGTTATCATTAACACTACTATAAATATCTGTACCATTTTTCATTTAGTCTATAGCAACATCACCTTTACTGTCTGTACCTCTGTGTGGATATTGTGTAGGCTGCCTCCCTCCCCTCTCTCTCTCTCTCTCTCTCCCTACCAGTCGAGGCAGATGGCCGCCCACCCTGAGCCATGGTTCTGCTCGAGGTTTCTGCCTCTTAAATGAAGTTTTTCCTTGCCTCTGTCTCCTAGTGCTGCTCTTGGTGGGAACTGTTGGGCTTCTGTAAATAGCGTCATAGAGTACGGTCTAGACCTGCTCTTTTATGAAAAGCGCTGTGAGATAACTATTGATGTGATTTGGCGCTATATAAATGAAATTGAACTGAATTGAATTGCTTACCTCACCTTTAAATGTTCATACTTTTCTACACTGATTGTGAATTATGACTTGAAGACAGCGTTTGCAGCTGTATCAACACTGATTAATGGGGTTTTGGATATTGCAGCAGCAGAGCAGAGCTCAGGCTGTCTCAGTCCAGGTTTCAGCTGGATGGAAGCAGTCGTGTGCTGCTCTGTATACTCAGTGTGTTTTTTGGTGGCCAAGGGCAAATCAACAAGTTAGTAAATGATTGATACAGAAACCAAACAATTTCATTATGAAATCCTACAACCACAGCGAACCCTGAATCCCCTTTGAACAAGCAGAGAGATACGCTTTTTATGTAAATAATGCAAGCAGTCACAAATATAATGGCCAGACGGCTCAGTGTTGGTTTCCACTTCTGAAGCTCACCAGCTGTAGCATCATGAATCTGTGGTTCAGCACTCACTTCCTGGTTGTTGGGCTGTTTCTGAGCAGCTCGGCTGTGACACCTGAAGAATGCCAACCCTTGGTCACGCCTTTGTCCCTGGCCGACCCCAGCATGGTAAGGCTTGCTCTGATTCCTTCCCAGGTCTTTAGGTTAGAATTAGTACTCAGGCACTGAAGCAGTATTCAGCTTTTCGGGAAATTCTTAGCCACAGTTTATGCCTCTCATCTGTTAGCGTTAGCACTCCATTTGATTTACAGCTAAGCATACATTTCTGTCCAAGATTGCACTGCAATTCTGTGAAATCCCAGAAGACTATTTCTAGCTACCATCTTTGTTTGGATTAAGTGCAGCAACAGATTTGTTTTTTGTTACTTACAGTAAATATAGTTAAACCACCTTGACCTTGACTTGAATGTAACGCTGATACCTGGGAGGCACCAACTGGGGATAAGGAGTGATCTGAGACTGAGATGTTCAGATGGGTATGACTCTTTTTGTCTGTGTGTAAGTAGGATGCCGTTAGCCTAGATAGCATATAGACTGTTGGAAGCCTAGAACCAGCTACTTTAGCTCCATCAGGAGACTCAACAACTCCAAAGCTATCTGATCTCTAAAGTCCTGAACTGAATGCTTTGAATTCTGTCCGAACTCTAAAGGAAAGATTGAGGATTTGCCTGGTAGATTTGTCGTAAAAAAGGTAACTTTTTTCACTTCTGATGAAGATAAATTAACAACTAACCTTTCTCATCCTACAAACTTGTCCGTCTTTTCTAACCTAGTACAGTCCAGATGGCTGGAAGTGTTTGTCAGAAAGTGCTTACGGATTACCGTTAGGGGATTGTGGCGTAGAAGCAGTTCTCTGCGGCAAGAAGGGGCCTGGTTATAGAGGGCTTGGTGGGTGAGGAGAAGGACTTTAAACTGAATGCCTTGGGAAACGAGGATGAGTGTCTTTTGGTACTTTTGTCTGCAAGATTTAATACCTTTAAAATATGTGACTTAGAGAAATCTAAAATTGTTCAAGAAAAACACGCCAAACAAAAATATATTATTACAAAGTTCTACGTACAAATGTTCGATATTCGGCCATATTTCATTTGATGAAAGATGTTTGTCTGCTCTGACTAACTGACTCCATGTTTGTGTGCAGATGTACGGCAGGATGAACTTCATCATGGGTTACGTTGATAATAATGCATATGACGCCATCCTGAAGTCAACCAAGAGCTCCTGGGGGAAAATCACTGCGTCACCGTTCAGACCTGGTGACGTTGTGATGTCTCAGTGGAACAAGATGTGAGTTAATAAGACATCAACTGTACACATAAACATAATAACTTCTATAAATAATATTTTTATCATCATTAAATAAAGATTTGAGTAAAGAATCACCCTACAACACATTTGACCAGCCAGTCCTCACCAGAAAAACGGCCGTATAAGTCAATTGTGCGGCAGCCTTTTATGCCCCATATTTACATTTATTGTCAGATAGATAGGTGTGGATGAGAAAGGGCGGGAAGCCAAGTGAACACTGACTTATTTAAGTTAAATAACGTTACGTACACTTGGTGACCGATGAGAGTTACGTAACGTAACATACTTATTTTAACACAAACCATGATCTTTCCTTAAGCCTAGCCGGTTTTGTTTCCTAAACCTAATGTGTTGTACTAAAGGTCAGAAATGTCATTTTGGGAGTCATTGGGGATCTCTGTGTTTTAGGTATGAGGTTGTGTTGCATTTAACACCCGCTAACAGTGATCACTTTGCCTTCTTTGGTCCATTTTCTTCCCCTTTCTGTCTGTATGCTGCTCCTGGCTAACATATTTCAGAATCATAGCAGCTACTCTCACTGCTATGCAGATAAAACTGCTGTGGAACGTCAGTTGCAATTTCAACCACTTTTTATTCATAACACATCATTTAGATGCTAACTTACCAACCAAGTATAGGAATGCACAACTTAAATTAGATAGTAAGATTTATAATTATGAGAATGAAGATGGAACCAATGAGTTTGGCAAAGTGGTCATTGTCAAACGTTCCTTAATCCAAACCAGAGAAGGACAGACCTGCTAATATTACCCTAGACGCTCACTTTATGGATTAGTTGCATCTTTTCCAGACAGATCACAGTGGACAGTGGGTGGAGTTTGCCCAGTTGTTGCCATTTGTGTTAACAGGTAACAATCCCATCTCAAGGCCCACTAACTAGCCTTTTCCAGAGCTTTCAAACGTATCACACAGCCTGCATCAGCTGAAGGAATCTTAACTTTTCAAACCAACATAGACGAGAAGATAAAAACAGCTCTGACCAAATACAAACACTTCTTCCTCTCTTTTTCTTTCCAGAAATGGAACCTGCTTTACCTCAACAGTCAACGTAACTATTGATGGCGACACTGCGAAAGTAGCATGTAAGTAACCTGATCAGTAGTTTCTACATGTTTGTTAGTTCTGTAAGTCGCAGAGTCCAGCAGGGGAGGTCATGTATCGGACAGCTGCATCACACTTCGTCCGCAGCCTTCAGTTGCCTGCAAGGCAAGGCAAGTTTATTTGTACAGCACATTTCAACAACAAGGCAATTCAAAGTGGTTAACATAAAACATGAAAGCAGCAAAAACTCATTAAAATATCATTTTTAAAAGGGTGAAATAGAAAATAAAACAGGATAAAATACATTTTAAAGGAAATAAAAACAGGACAGTAAAAGTCACAGTGCAGTGGACGATATTAATCTACAGCCTTACATGTGATTTAAATAAAGGCAGAAAAGTCTTCAGTCTTAATTTAAAAGAACTGAGAGTTTTGTTGTTGTTTCTTTTTTTTTTTTTTTATTTATTTGCAAGGACAGTGCATATTAACATGTCACCTCAAAATACAAGTTAGCCAAAAGGCTATTTTTCCATCTGTAGTCCCGATGTACAATAGGCACCCTGAAAATAGGTAATAGGTAAAACAAATTGATTGTCACATGGCAAAAATACAATAAACATTACATTTGCTACAGTAGCTTTCAGATATGGTTTAAACAGAACCCAGAAGCAGACAGAGATGGGAGGCCTTTCACAGAGTTTATTGAAGAGTAGTCAAGACAAGGTGGGAGCGAGTGATTCAGCTGGGTGGCAGGCCTGACGATAAGCAGGAAAAGCAGGCAGGTATGGGCATAAGGGAAGGCATTCTCTCCAGACTAAGAAATCCCAAAAACAGAGATGAAATTAACCACAAAGCGTAACAGAGTACAAGGTAGCAACAAGGCTGGGTGCCAGCTAGAGACCTACGGTATACAACATAACAATCCAGCGAAGACTGAGGAGAACTGCAGGGCTTAGGAAGGAGCACAGAAAGACATGATACGGATCAGGTGTGCTAATCAGTCAGACAGACAGGTGAGTGAGCCAGGCATCGTAACAGTAGCAGGAATAAGACGCCAAAACAAACATGCAGGAGGAGTTCATGCGCTACAGAGCTTAAGTAGAAATGCAGCTGCAGACAACAAAATATAAGAGCACAAGCTGCAGTTCATAAAACAACTAGAGTCAATATTAAGAACACAGTCAAAAGACATTAGTCAGTTATTATACAAAGCTTAAGAGGCAGAGTAAACATTAAAATGCAGCAGTATCGAAACTTAATAAATTATATTTTGACAGAATCTTGCAGTGATGAAAATGATGTAGTTTCTTATCCAAAACGTTAAGTGTTTGCTTGTATAGGGACTGTATTGGTTTTAAAGTGGTGTGGTTGGCCTGAGACCAGATGGTGAGGCGATAAGTCATATGCGAAAAAAATCAGTGAATGCATAAACAGTTTGGCTGCTCGGGTGGACATTGAGTTCCTGATAAATCGAAAATTAAATTTGGAGTCTATGAGAATACCAAGATACTTAAATTCTGTAACTATCTGAAGTTTTTCACCAGATATTACAATGTCCGGATTTGCTGTGGAGTTGCTAGTTTTAGTAAAAAACATACCAACTGTCTTGGAGACATTTAACTGAAGGCTACACTAGTTTAGCCATTCACTGATCTTTACCATAGCGTTTAGTTACCACTGCTGTTTTTGATGGCCCATGTATGTATAAAACTGTATCGTCTACATACACTACCGTTCAAAAGTTTGGGGTCACCCAAACAATTTTGTGTTTTCCTGAAAAGTCACACTTATTCACCACCATACGTTGTGAAATGAATAGAAAATGGAGTCAAGACATTGACAAGGTTAGAAATAATGATTTGTATTTGAAATAAGATCTTTTTTACATCAAACTTTGCTTTCGTCAAAGAATCCTCCATTTGCAGCAATTACAGCATTGCAGACCTTTGGCATTCTAGCTGTTAATTTGTTGAGGTAATCTGGAGAAATTGCACCCCACACTTCCAGAAGCAGCTCCCACAAGTTGGATTGGTTGGATGGGCACTTCTTGCGTACCATACGGTCAAGCTGCTCCCACAACAGCTCAATGGGGTTCAGATCTGGTGACTGCGCTGGCCACTCCATTACCGATAGAATACCAGCTGCCTGCTTCTGCTCTAAATAGTTCTTGCACAATTTGGAGGTGTGTTTAGGGTCATTGTCCTGTTGTAGGATGAAATTGGCTCCAATCAAGCGCTGTCCACTGGGTATGGCATGGCGTTGCAAAATGGAGTGATAGCCTTCCTTATTCAGAATCCCTTTTACCCTGTACAAATCTCCCACCTTACCAGCACCAAAGAAACCCCAGACCATCATATTACCTCCACCATGCTTAACAGATGGCGTCAGGCATTCTTCCAGCATCTTTTCATTTGTTCTGCGTCTCACAAACGTTCTTCTTTGTGATCCAAACACCTCAAACTTGGATTCATCCGTCCACAACACTTTTTTCCAGTCTTCCTCTGTCCAATGTCTGTGTTCTTTTGCCCATCTTAATCTTTTTCTTTTATTGGCCAGTCTCAGATATGGCTTTTTCTTTGCCACTCTGCCCTGAAGCCCAGAATCCCGCAGCCGCCTCTTCACTGTAGATGTTGACACTGGTGTTTTGCGGGTACTATTTAATGAAGATGCCAGTTGGGGACCTGTGAGGCGTCTGTTTCTCAAACTAGAGACTCTAATGTACTTATCTTCTTGCTCAGTTGTGCAACGCGGCCTCCCACTTCTTTTTCTACTCTGGTTAGAGCCTGTTTGTGCTGTCCTCTGAAGGGAGTAGTACACACCGTTGTAGGAAATCTTCAATTTCTTAGCAATGTCTCGCATGGAATAGCCTTCATTTCTAAGAACAAGAATAGACTGTCGAGTTTCAGATGAAAGTTCTGTTTTTCTGGCCATTTTGAGCGTTTAATTGACCCCACAAATGTGATGCTCCAGAAACTCAATCTGCTCAAAGGAAGGTCAGTTTTGTAGCTTCTGTAACGACCTAAACTGTTTTCAGATGTGTGAACATGATTGCACAAGGGTTTTCTAATCATCAATTAGCCTTCTGAGCCAATGAGCAAACACATTGTACCATTAGAACACTGGAGTGATAGTTGCTGGAAATGGGCCTCTATACACCTATGTAGATATTGCACCAAAAACCAGACATTTGCAGCTAGAATAGTCATTTAACACATTAGCAATGTATAGAGTGTATTTCTTCAAAGTTAAGACTAGTTTAAAGTTATCTTCATTGAAAAGTACAGTGCTTTTCCTTCAAAAATAAGGACATTTCAATGTGACCCCAAACTTTTGAACGGTAGTGTACATTTGAATATTTACTTCTGGGCACACACATGGTAGGTTGTTAATATTTATGCAGACCAGAAGAGGGCCCAGAATTGACCCTTGGGGCACTCCAGTGGACAAGTGAAGAGGTTCAGTATGATACGTACGGCCAGCTGCCAATACGTACGGTTTGTGATCATTGATAAAGATAAGATGCTACCCACTTAAGTGCACTATCCAAGAAATTGAGATGAGAAAGTTTGGAGAGTAAAATTTTATGATTAACAGTGTCGAAAGCTTTCCTGAGATCTAAAAAGATAGCTCCAACAACGCTGTTCCTGTTAAGCAATGATTTAATGTTTTCAACGAAAAAGCAGTTTGCTGTCTCGGTAGAGTGGTTTGGCCTAAATCCAAATTGTAGTGGATGGAGGGAAAAGACAGTGTTGTTCAAGTGATCTCTAATTTGTTGAGATATCCACTTTTCCAGAACCTTTGACATTACTGGCAAAATACTAATGGGTCTGTAATTGGAAATGATTTGTGTGTCTCCAGATTTAAATACTGGGGAAACAACAATTAAAATACCACAATCTAAAAAATAAATTAGGAGTTATATTTGTGCATCATACAGTCATATAGCGGCTGGTATGAATGACTTCCTATACCACTCCGTCTTGCACATTGGTGTCATCAGTCTTTGAATGAAGGTGCTACTGTTTATCACCTTCAGGTGGTGGATTGGGTGTGCAGGGTTGATCAATATTGATCTTAGTTTTTTCACTGTTCTGGCCTCTGCCACTTGCTGAACTCTAGTTCAGCCCCAACCACCGAGCCAGCCTAACTGAACGCTGCTTCTCCTTGTTTAGTTTTGACTCTGGGGACAGAAAGCAAACCTGCCCCAGACGACCTGAGAGGTCTGGATGGTTCGTAACGAATCAGAAGCTCTGAAATGTATTTTGGCCCTAAACCATTTAGTGCTTTATAAAGTAACAGCAGGATTTTGAAATCAATTCATTGACATACAGGAAGCCAATGTAAAGACCTCAGAACTGGAGTGATGTGATCCACCTTTTTGGTCTTAGTGAGGACTCGAGCAGAAGCGTTCTGAATCAGCTGCAGCTGTCTGATGGATTTCTTAGGGAGCCCTGTAAGGACACTGTTTCAGTCGTCGAGTTGACTGAAGATAAATGCATGGATAAGCTTTTCCAGGTCTTGCTGAGACATAAGTCCTTTAATCCTTGATATATTCTTCAGGTGATAGTAGGCTGACTTTGTGATTGACTTAATGTGGCTCCATGACTACACCAAGATTTCTGGCTTGATTTGTGGTTCTTAACATTACAGATTGAAGTGGAGCACTGACTTTCAATCGTTCCTCCCTGGCTCCAAAAACAATAACTTCAGTTTTATCTTTGTTCAGTTGAAGAAAATTCTGGCACATCCAATCGTTGACCTGCTCAATACAGTTACTCAGCGCCTGTATGGGATCATAGTCCCCTGGTGAAATGGTTATGTAAATCTGTGTGTCATCTGCATAATTATGGTAACATTTTGTTGTTTTTCATATTCTGAGCCAGTGGAAGCATGTAAATGTTAAACAAAAGAGGCCCCAGAATGGAGCCTTGGGGAACTCCACATGTAATTTTTGTCAGCTCAGATGTGTGATTACCTATAGACACAAAGTAGTCCCTGTCCTTTAAGTAGGATTCAAACCAGTTTAGTACTGTGCCAGAAAGTCCAACCCAGTTTTCAAGACTGTCTAGTAATATGTTGTGAATGCAGATCCAATAATACTAAGACTGAAATTCTGCCACTGTCAGTGTTTAAATGGATGTCACTGAAGACCTTAACATGCCTTCTCAGTGCTGTGGTGTGGTCGAAAACCTGACTGCCAAGAAAGCACTGAGCTGTTGAAAAACAGCCTTTTCAATGATTTTACTTAAAAATGGATTTGAGATTTGATATGGGCCTGTAATTGCTCATTAGTGAACTGTCTAGATTGCTCTTTTTTAAGAGTGGCTTAATGACTGCAGTTTTCAGGGCCTGTGGGAAAAAAACTGAGAGGAGAGACATGTTGACAATTTGTAGTAGATCTGAGGCCATGCATTTAGACACACTTTAGGAAAAACCTGTTGGCAGAATATCAAGGCAGCATGAGGAGGATTTCAGATGTTGTATTATGTCCTCCAGGTTTTTATGGTTAATAGAATCAAATTGTCTCATGCTATATGAATTGTTTTTAAGTGGACACAGGGACAAGACATATCCTGTTACTGACATGGAGGCACTGATTGCTTGTCTAATTGTTTGAATTTTGTCTGTGAAGAAGGAGGCAGATTCATTGCAGGCCCTGGTGGATAGAAGTTCAGAGGCTACAGACACAGGAGGGTTGGTTAGCCTGTCGACAGTAGCAAACAGGGCACGTGCATTATTAGTGTTTTTGGTGATGATGTCAGAGAAGAAGGACCGCCTTGCATTTCTCATGCGAAGTCTCTCTTTATAGAAGCCACAATGAACCTGGAGATTTGTTTTCCGCCACCTGTGTTCAGCTTTCGACACTCTCTTTTTCGAGTTCTAACCAGCGTGGCATTTGTCCATGGAGATCTTCTCTTACCAGAGACCACCTTCACCTTGGCTGGTGCAATGGCATCAATAACGTTTGTAATTTTAGAACTGAAATTATCTACAAGCTCATTGACTGAGACCCGTGAGAGGGCGGGTGTTGAGGGGAAAGCCTCAATAAATTTTTCACTAGTCTTTTCAGTGATTACCTCTGTTTCAACATTTGTGTGCACGCAGACAGCACTCTCAAAGAAAACACAGGAATGATCAGAGAGAGCAACAACAGTCACCACAACCTTGGAAATGTCCAGACACTTGGAGATGACCAAGTCCAAAGTGTGCCCCTTATTGTGCGTGGGCTCCGTCACATTTTGAGTCAGTCCATAATTATCAAGAACACAACACACAGTTCTTTAGTCCCTCTGTCCTGGGGGTTGTCAACATTAATATGTTAAAATCACCAACAATAACCACACAGTCAAAGTCAATACAGATTATAGACAGCAGTTCACCAAAGTCATCCAAAAAGTTTGCACAGTATTTAGGGGGCCTGTAGATATTTAGAAAAATAGCTCGAGAAGAGGAATTCAGCTGAAGAGCCACATATTCAAAAGAAGCAAAATTCCCATAAGACATCTTTTTGCATTGGAGGGAGTCATTAAACAAACTGGCAACTCCACCTCCTCTCTTATGCACTCTAGCTTCACTCATAAAACTGAAGTTGGGAGGGGTAGACTCGATAAGGACAGCTGCACTGTTATCTTGGTCCAACCAAGTTTCAGTTAAAAACATGAAATTAAGATTGTGAGTGATTATAAAATCATTGATTAAAAAATGTTTTAATAAAGTTTAACAAAGCTAATTATAGTGTGTTATTATATATATATTATATAACATTATCTGGCCCACTTTTTTCGACAGGCTGTGGCTGACGAGGAATTAATACTAAACTTGCAGGATATGTTGAGTGCTTCCTGTTTTACAACACAGTCGCCGAACTGCACTGCACTGATTCTTTGAGTGGCGTGTCTCCTCTCTAAGACGTCTCTAGTTAGGCTGAAAGTTTGTTTATCCTTCTTTCTGAAACAGGGTCCTGATCGTGATCCTGGCAATGTGGTTGCATTACGTTTCCACAGTACGATTTAACAAGGCACATGTTCTGATGTTTTCAGTGTACGAGCTAAATCATCTGTTTCCATCGGACATTGCCGGTGTTTTGTTAGAATTTTCTGAATATGTTTCTGTCCCCAGTACCTAACATCACCTCTGAGTTCCACGTGCTGCCGAGCTGCCAAGGCTGTCTGGTCTTCAGCATCAACAACACAGACAGAAACCTCAACAAGATTCATCAACTTCTGAAAATTGGTGGCACCTTTCCAGAGGAGGAGGTCATCATTCGGGCTGTTTATCTGCTGGGTAGGATGGAACGAACCAGAGAGAGTAACTCACTCATTTCCTATCCCAAACATTCATCCATTTTGTTTTTGTTGTTTCCAGGCAGCGAGTCGACCTTGAAGGACTCAGACTTGGAGCGTTTCAAGCAGCAGGCGAGCTGCCTCGGCTTCTCCGGAGAACCAGACTACCACTACGACCCCAAGAACGGTGCTCGACCTTTAAACCTGTCTGCTCGAACAATGTAATCAGGATGTGTGCTATCAGACAGAACTGATTTCTTTCTCTTTGTCTTCCACTCTGCAGGTTTCTGTGATGAAGGCGAGAGCATTAAGATGACCTTCAACTGAAATTTAAAAAATATTTCAACCTGAAACTGAGAAAATAAAGAGACAAAAAATGACTCAAATATCAAGCGTGTGGTCAAAGTTTTTTATTCAGTGTTTTTTATGATCTAATAAAATGATTCAACAAGGTTTTCAAACTGTGAGGCGCCTCCCCCGTGGTGAGCGGGAGCATTAAAGGTGAGAGAGGAGGGAGAGAGGTGAGGCAAAGTCACCCACTAACCCCAACAACAGGAGGTCATTATTGTAGTGTGTCTGCAGGTGGAGCTGCAGCAGTGACTTACAGCTCATGGAGGAGATTAAGATACTGTAAACTACTGTACACTTTCTGACAGATTGCTGCGGTTTGTGTCATAAATCTGTGTCACTTACACTTTCCGATATTATTATCTGTATCTCCGATTACAAGTTTTCTTTAAGTTTTCTTCAGTATGGCAGGAATCCATTGATCGGTGTCTGGACATCCAGGGGTTCACTGCTAACTAATAATAAATACAACAAATACAAAAACATTAGACATCCTGTTTACATCCCCCCAAAGCATTATGGGAATAATTAACATGATTATCACCCAAATAAAATGAAATTATATATTTCTGTCACTATTCATGTTTTTCATTAATAAGGCTCAGACTCCACATACAAGAACAACTGTTAAATAAAAACAGTAGATTCATTAAGTTACTTGTTGGTATTTTGTTCTTGATTAACGACTGCAAACTTTATTCAAAAATGACAATAAAGAGAAACTTTAACTAAAAACTAAAAGCCTTCATCAGTGTGTTGGTCAGTAGAACAGTCTGTCTGTATCTGTAATCATGAGGACGATGAGCTTGTAAACCTCCTAATATGTTGAATATATATCAAATGTACTTTCAGAATGGAATTATTCAGAATCCAGCCCAATCACAGTTCCATTCAAGTACAGAGGTATCAGCTTGATCGGTACAGTTTATAGATTGTAAATAATGCATTACATTTATAAAGCGCTTTATCACTGAAACTCAAAGCGCTTCACAGTGAAGTGGGGGGGCCTCACCTCAACCACCGCCAATGTGTAGCACCCACCTGGGTGATGCACCGCAGCCATTTAGCGCCAGAACGCTCACCACACATCAGCTTGAGGCAGAGAGGGAGGGAAACATGGAGCCAATTACTACGGGGGATGATTAGACGGCCAGATGGTGAAAGCCTGGTTGGGAATTTTGCCAGAACCCCGGGGAACCCCCTACTGTTTGCAAGTGCCGTGGGATCTTTAATGACCACAATGAGTCAGGACCTCGGTTAACGTCTCATCCGAATTGTATTTGGCCGATAGTTTCCTGGAAGAGCAGAGAGGTATTGACCATATTTTAACTTTGGTGAGAGCTAGACAACAAGAGGGTGAAATCACATGAGCTTGTTTTGAAGAAAACCTTTGACTGGATCGATGGAGATCTTTTAGACTATCTAATAATTTGCTCTGGCATTGATGGTAAATGTTATAATCCCAAATAAACCTTGTACAAAGTCCCAGTTGCATAATTGCAGTTAAATAATCAGGCCTGGCTGGTTTCCTTCTCCATTTGGAGTGGAGCAGGAGCATGAAGATGATCTTTCAAGATGTTTTTCCAGCTTCTGGCTATTTTATGATGAACGGTGTCATTGTGGTGATTGTGGGGTTCAGAGGGTTAAACAGAAATACAGAAAACGAACCAGAATGGAAACAAAGGGTCGATCAGAGTTCAGTAACAGTCTGTGTACACACACTTTGTACCGATTCAGCACATGAGGGGTGCGTTTGTTTTTGGTCTCAGAGCAGGATGAAAGGAAAGACCTGGACAAGGTGAGTCTGTTTGTGGTCAGCTTGGTGCCTGAGACCAACCATCCATCACTCCTGGGGGACCGATCTTTAACAGTCAAATATTTTAGTTTAATCCAACTCAATACAACTTTCAGCAGGCTAACATGCTAACAATGAAAATGCTAACATGTTGATCTTACCATGTTCACCATCTTAGTCTACTGTTTTAGCATGCTAACATTTGCTGTTTAAGTATTGGACACCTTAACATGGTGACCTGATGAAGGCGCTACATGAAAGTTCAGAGGAACATTATTACAGTTAGTCCTGGGGGGAATATGAAGTTGCAGCAGATAGTATTGCACATTAAGTAATTAAGCAGGTATTATTGCACAAAACAGATAATAATGTCCAGTTTAAAACTATCTAAGTGTCCGTTTGTCAGACACTTAGAGGGAGGAGTTATAAAGTTTGATGGCCGCAGGCAGAAATGACTTCCTGTGGCGCTCTGTGGTGCATTTTGGGGGAATAATGGTGCTTTTCCATTACCAGTACCAGCTCAACTCGCCTCGACTCTACTCGCCTCGGTTTGGCCTTGCTCCGTTTTCCATTGCAGAGAGCACCCCTCAATGTAGCTGGTCGTCATAGCGACGCCACACACAACTGCCGCGACGTAATGTTCAATGTGACACACACACCAGCGATCCACACAGCTTTCTCTTTTTTAAGTTAAAAAGTTTGAACCTTCCTCAGAATGTAAAGACAGATAAGCGGTATGAAAAGCTTCCAGCTGTGTTTTCCTCTGCCGTTGTAGCTGCAGCGGTCTGTGTGACGGCGGGAGCAGAGGGCTCTGTGAGCGGGCGGCTGGCCGGCCTCACAGCAGGCTTCCCCCACATTTTTATTCCGCCATCACTTTTGGTAAAAATGTCAATATTTGAAATCTACACAGCTGATTTCTCACCTCAAAACTTCTAAAGTGAATTTAGTGATGAAATTACATACAAAAACTGTAAAATATAAAACTTTCTGTTGCTGGCCGGCGCACGCAATGATGACGATTCTCTCAGACCAATCATTTAGATTTATTCATGCTGACGCTTTTATCCAAAGCGACTTCCTGCTGCTGTACATGTCAGAGGTCACACGCCTCTGGAGCAACGAGGGGTTAAGTGTCTTGCTCAGGGACACGATGGTGGATGGGTCACAGTGGGGGATTGAAACCGGGTCTCTCACACCAAAAGTATAGTCTTATCCATGCACCATCACCACCCAATCAGCAGTCTGCCGTGTTTTCACGTCACATTTTAGTATCACCTCAGCTCGCTTGGAACCTCGACGGAGGTGATACGAAAGAAAGTACCTGGAAGCAGGTACTGGTACCAACTTTTCCACAAATGGAAAACCAAACAAAGGCGAGTTGAGCCGAGTCAAGCTGGTACTGTGCAGTGGAAAAGGGGCTTAAGTCTTGCACTGAAAGACATGCAGTCATGGAGCGGGGGGGGGAGACATTGTCCAAGATGAGATGTAGCTTAGACAACATCCTCCTCTCTGACACCACCGACAGAGAGTCCAGCTCACAACGTCTCTGGCCTTGGATCAGTTTGTTGAGTCTGTTGGCGTCCGCTACCCTCAGCCTGCCGCCAGCATGCCAACAGGAAACAGGACAGCACAGACTCATAAAACATCCTCAGATCCTCCTGCAGATGTTGAAGGACCTCAGCAACCTCAGAAAATAGAGACGGCTTTGGCCCTTCCTGTAGAGGCCTCAGTGTTCTTGGCCCAGTCCAGTTTATTGTCCATGTGCACTCCAGGTATTTGTAGTCCTCCACAATGTCCACAGGGACCCGCTGGATGGAAACAGGGGTCACTGGTGCCTTTGCTCTCCTTAGATCCACAACCAGCTCCTTAGTCTTTGTGACGTTGAGCTGCAGATGGTTCACCCCCCACAGCTCTGCACTCAGCCTCGTCACCCTGCTGATACATCCAACCACAGCAGAGTCATCAGAAAACTTCTGAAGATGGCAGGACTCTGTGTGGTAGTTGAAGTCTGTGCCAAATCAGACCCTCAACATCCCCTCGTCCCTGAATACGAAACCCTGCCATCAAGAAGAAGACTCCGTGTACCAAAATGCAAATCCTGTCGCCTGAAATTATCATTTGTGCCAGCCTCCATTAAGCTGCTGTCAAATGCTGTGAGCACTTTACTTGTGATCCCGGTGCAATAGGGCAGCGTGCAATAAACATACTAGCGCCTTAGAACATGCACTTTACAAACTTTAGTGCAATGCAGCAATGTGTAACAACCACACTAGCACTTTAGTCCATGGAACTGTGTTGTCAACAGTGTCCTTTTTCGTCTGTGTTTATATTTCCCTCTTGTGAAGTACAACATGTCGATGCTTCTCAGGTTCTTGTTGATGTCTTTTGGGATATTTTTTATGAACACTGCACTGAGCCCAAGCAGAATTTCCCCCTGGGGACAATAAAGTTAACCTAAACTAAGCTGTGTAGTCACTCTGTATGCATGCATTAGTGACTTAAATCTGATTCTGGAGCCAGTGGACGTCACGCAGCGATGGAGTGACATGAGTCCTTTCCGCTCTGCTACGTTCTGAACCATTTGTAGGGGTTTCTGGAGACATTTTCTGTCTTTGTTTCTATGAAGTGAAACACAAAATTCAGGTGGCAGGTGACAATTCAAAATATAAAAATATAATGGAATACAATGCAGTGATCTGTAGCTTTTTCTGGTTGCTAAGTTACTTTCTTGGACAATGCACACCTACTGAGAAACAATTTTCTGCCCTCACACATTTAAGTGCTTTCTCTAAGACACAATAACAGGAGGTGTGCCCCTGAACCCCTCCAGCTTTTCAGTACCCCTCACCCCGGTTGCTCCTCAACCCTGCAGTGATTAAATGAGTGCAACAACTTTTGAAATGATTTCATTTGAACCAGCTGTCAGCGGGTGTTGCTGGTGTCACGCCCATAAACTCGAAGATGCTGCTAGATAAACAGGAGAGATGCTGAAGTGATCGAGAATCTATGGATAACACCGGAACGTGATGTGATGAAGAGGTTGCGTTCGGCCTATTGTTATTGTTTGTCTGTCATCAAATGTAGTGTCGTGCACACAGACAGTACCGCGTCTCAGCTTCTACAAGCGTGTGGTTAACACAGAGGCATTACTGAAAAGGTATGACTGGGACTGACACCTTTCAACATGTATTTACAGAGACATCACAAAGTAACCGTGCTTGTGTCTACAAACAAGATGACACATGTGCAATGTGATGAGCCCCAGCGACCCTACGACCTGTTGAAGAAGTATGACCTCACATGCGCCAGCGTCTGGAATTCCAAAATATCCTTCTCAGCCAGAGCTCCCTGCACTGCTCTGTGTGATCACAACATGGGAGTGGTTTATGGAAACTTCATCTCCTCTGATGACACCTTTTGATGAGGAGCCCAGAGTCCCCGTTTTCTACCTACTACAATAATTTATCCTCTATATAAATCACATATTTAAAGTATCTATCGGGATTGTGCAATATGTTAATTGTGCAACACGTAGGCTGTTCAGGTTGCTATCATTGGTCCTTCCACACGTGGATCAGTTTTTATGGATGGATGTTTTAATAGTCCTTATGATGAGGTGTCTTATTAATTAAACCATGGAGTGGAGATGGAGCAGTGGATAAGACGTGTGAGGTTCAATCCACCATTGTGTCCCTGAGCAAGACACTTAACCCCTCGTTGCTCCAGAGGCGTGTGACCTCTGATATATATAGCAACTGTAAGTCAGCTAAATGAATAAATTCAGTCTAATTCCTCGTCAGCACAGCAGGCAGAGCCTCCCAGAGTCACAGCCTTTTGTTAATGTTCTCATTAAGGCCGTAATGTTTCCTCCTCAGTGACGGTAATAAAACCACCAACACTCCGTCTCTTACAGTGTTTGTTTTTATTTGACTTTTGGTGAAAAGATGATTGTGTTTCTTTCCTCTGCGTGATGCTTTTTAAAGCCGAGCTGCTTTATCAACCCACACGAGGATTTGACGGTTTAACTTTTTTCACAGTGGATTGGTTTAATTAGGATTTGGAAGAGAAGGCATTGAATTGGAACGTCAGACAGAGAGAGGAAAGGAGGTTTGATTTCCTGTAGCTCATTTAATTTAAAGCCCATAAAAAACAGATTATTATTACACTTTATTTCTCACCCTGCATTTAAACCACCAGGGGAAATAATCTTAAACTGTAAAGCTGAAGGATTAACCCTCTGGAGCCCAGGTCGGTTTCAGTTTTGTTCTGCAACTTTCAGAAACGTTCAGTGTCAAAACTCAGGGCTCTGTTTTAGCTGACTTCTCATTTTGGTGTTTGGAGTTCAGCTCAGTTGCAGACCTAACAAGTACGACTTAACTGTTGTTGTGCAGAAGGGACTGTGAAAATGTACATTTCACTGAATTGACTTCAATGTAGGGGTGGTCTTTCCTCCTGAATGTTATATTTTCTTAAGGCACATGGCCTTAATTTGTTTGTGTAAATTCACAAATGGCTGGGTGCTAGTGGAGTCCGGGTGCTGGAGGAAGGCGTGAAGGGCCATGTTTACTGCATCGTCTACAGACCTGTTGGCTCCGTAGGCAAACTGCAGGGGGTCCAGGAAAGGGTCTGTGATGGATTTAACACAAGGCGCTCACAGGACTTCAGAGGTCAGGGCGACGGGTCTGAAGTCATTTAGGCCCCATCCACACTACTCCGTTTTACAAACGGAGAATTAAAACGAATACGATCTCAGTCCACAGCGTTTTGGAGTTGATCTCCGTCTATACTAAAACGACAGCCAGGACCCGTTCAGGTGCACTGGGCGTGCGCGTGCCCGTGTAAACATGAAGCAGATGGTCTGTTCCGTAGTTACAGAAGATTTGGCAAAAGAATAAACTTTTGCAACAGACTAAGCATCAATAACGAGCTGGGACTGTTACTGAATGTAACACGGGAGTGTAGCGACAGAAAACAGACAAAGTAAACGGCGACATGCACAGTACAAGTGTAGGCAGATGAGTGATATTTGCGCGCTACAGAATATTTTAATAAAAATATGATGTCAAAAACCCGGTCAGCAGCATCGTGTTTCTGCTTTGCAAGACCCAATCAGAGAGCCGAGCCTGAGCGGCTGCGTCATCAAGTCCTCCGTTTTGGCCCGTCTTCACTAAAACGCTCTCCGGAGTTTTGAAACGCAAAACGGGGTCGGGAGTGTTTCTAAACTTCTCCATTTTAGCTCTTCGTGTTTTCATCTTTGTAGTCTGGACGGGAGGTGCAAACGTAGCAAAAGGTCTCGTTTTAATTTGAAAACACAGTACTGTGGGCGGGGCCTCAGTCCTGTGGTCATTGCTGGCATGTCTCCAGTGAGGTGTTAAAAATGTTTAATTTGTTTCTCATGCTGATAAAACCTTTTTGCTCTTTTGCAGGGGGCTGGCTCTGTACAAACACATCAAAGTATGTGAATACAGTTTGTTGATTTCTTCATTGCTATCACTACAAGTATGTGGTAAAATTTCACAACTCCTAGTACAAGACTTCAAACTCATCACAGCCCGTTTGTCAGTCAAACCTGGCCACTCTGTATTCATTTGGGTTGTACCACGCAAATTCTAAATATAAGTTTCTCGTAAAAGGTCATAAGAACGTATGTTTTTCAGTTTAGTCATTTTAACTTCCAGTGAATCCAGAAACAAATACTGCAAGATACTGGTTTCAAGCCGCCTCAGAAGTGCTGAAAGTAAAAGACAGATTTCACAGTTTTCACATTGTTATTGATCAAAACTTGATTACTTATAAAATAAATAATGGAAATGATCGATTCTGTAAATGTTGGGTTATGTAAGTGTATTGCCTGATGTGAAAATTGTGTAATCTGTCTTTTACAGTCAGATGTACTTGTTAGTGAAAAAAGGTCTTTTGGATTGATCTGCTGTGTTTTTGTACCAAGAGTGGAGAAATATTACCACTTCCTAGAGATGCTCACAAGTCTCTGAGCTAGAGTCCAAGTCAAGTCTCAAGTCTCTGAGCTAGAGTCCAAGTCAAGTCTCAAGTCTCTGAGCTAGAGTCCAAGTCAAGTCTCAAGTCTCGTCTCAAGTCTCTGAGCTAGAGTCCAAGTCAAGTCTCAAGTCTCTGAGCTAGAGTCCAAGTCAAGTCACAAGTCTCTGAGCTAGAGTCCAAGTCAAGTCTCAAGTCTCCGAGCTAGAGTCCAAGTCAAGTCTCAAGTCTCCGAGCTAGAGTCCAAGTCAAGTCTCAAGTCTCCGAGCTAGAGTCCAAGTCAAGTCTCAAGTCTCTGAGCTAGAGTGCAAGTCAAGTATCAAGTCTCTGAGCTAGAGTCCAAGTCAAGTCTCAAGTCTCTGAGCTAGAGTGCAAGTCAAGTCTCAAGTCTCTGAGCTAGAGTCCAAGTCAAGTCTCATGTCTCTGAGCTAGAGTCCAAGTCAAGTCTCATGTCTCCGAGCTAGAGTGCAAGTCAAGTCTCAAGTCGCTGAGCTAGAGTCCAAGTCAAGTATCAAGTCTCTCGTGGTTATAATGAATGTTGTATCACCTGCTGCAAATTAGAAAGGTTCTTGTTGGATGAAGTTTTAAAGCCAAAGTTTACGATGAAGGGCTCAGCAGCTGCTGCTGTTTGTTGTCCTCTCTCACGTGTGGCCGCGCTCAGCTGAAACTACGTGTAAAGGCCCATTTATTCTACTGCGTAGGGTCTACGTGTTAACTACGCCGTAGGCTACGCACGTAGCCATGCATTTATACTTGTGCGTCGGTCCGTCATTCTGCAATGACACCCCCAAACACCAGTTGGCCAGGGCACTTCCTGTCGGCGGCATTGGAGGTATGTTGGAGGCATTGCGAGGCTAAAGAAGTCCCAGCTGTTATCAAGGGGATGGATACAGCTTGGCTCGTTGGTGCTCCTGGCTGTTGGAATGACCGTCGTTGTGGTCGTTGGAGTCACCTGAGGCGAAGTCTGAGCGACCGTTGTTGGCTTTCTGAAACGTCAGTGGAGCAGATGAATGTGGTTCTCACTTTCGGAACCAGAGTCGCTCCAAAAGTGGGCGGTCACTGTTGAGGTCTATTCAGCCTACTTTAAGATATTGGATTTCCCCAGAGTCGCTTACCCCACCTTTAAATGTTCTCACTTTTCAGACTGTTCTCATCTCAGGGCGTTTAATACCAATGCTTTCAGAAAAAGTGACAAAGCGTAGTTCTTTGACACCAAAGGTACCCTTCAATAAGATGCTCTCAGGTGTCTCGTGCAGACCGGAAGGGCTACTGGCAACATTCATGTTAAAAGGTATTGACAGCCCCCTGAAGCCCCCTACCCTTTCCATGACCATCAGAAATGTTAGTGCCTAAACTTAAGTCACTGACTTTATGCATGTCAACCGGCTAACCCCTATAGTTGTGCCTCACGGGTAGCTCAAGGGTACCTTTAGCATCAAATAAACACGCTTTGTCACGCTTCATGAAAGCGTCTGTAATCACATAATGAGATGAGGACACGTACTTTTCTACACTGACTGTGAATTATGACTTGAAGACAGCGTTTGCAGCTGTATCAACACTGATTAATGGGGTTTTGGATATTGCACAGGTATACAGCTCAGGCTGTCTCAGTCCAGGTTTCAGCTGGATGGAAGCAGTCGTGTGCTGCTCTGTATACTCAGTGTGTTTTTTGGTGGCCAAGGGCAAATCAACAAGTTAGTAAATGATTGATACAGAAACCAAACAATTTCATTATGAAATCCTACAACCACAGCAAACCCTGAATCCCCTTTGAACAAACAGAGAGATACGCTAGCAGTGAAATAATACTTACCCCACTTTGGAAAAGAAGAAAAAAGGACCACGGGGATAAAAATCCTTTTTATGTAAAGAAAGGAAAACCCCAGGAGCTTGTGACTCTGCCACCAGCTGCTGCTGCTATAAAGGCCAAAAGGCTCAGTGTTGGTTTCCACTTCTGAAGCTCACCAGCTGTAGCATCATGAATCTGTGGTTCAGCACTCACTTCCTGGTTGTTGGGCTGTTTCTGAGCAGCTCGGCTGTGACACCTGAAGAATGCCAACCCTTGGTCACGCCTTTGTCCCTGGCTGACCCCAGCATGGTAAGGCTTGCTCTGATTCCTTCCCAGGTCTTTAGGTTAGAATTAGTACTCAGGCACTGAAGCAGTATTCAGCTTTTCGGGAAATTCTTAGCCTCAGTTTATGCCTCTCATCTGTTAGCGTTAGCACTCCTTTTGATTTACAGCTAAGCATACATTTCTGTCCAAGATTGCACTGCAATTCTGTGAAATCCCAGAAGACTATTTCTAGCTACCATCTTTGTTTGGATTAAGTGCAGCAACAGATTTGTTTTTTGTTACTTACAGTAAATATAGTTAAACCATCTTGACCTTGACTTGAATGTAACGCTGATACCTGGGAGGCACCAACTGGGGATAAGGAGTGATCTGAGACTGAGATGTTCAGATGGGTATGACTCTTTTTGTCTGTGTGTAAGTAGGATGCCGTTAGCCTAGATAGCCTATAGACTGACGGAAGCCTAGAACCAGCTACTTTAGCTCCATCAGGAGACTCAACAACTCATGCGACCTCTGACATTTATAGCGATTGTAAGTCGCTTTGGATAAAAGCTTCAGCTAAATGAATAAATGTGATGTAATGTTCTACTGACTGCAAGAAGGGGCCTGGTTATAGAGGGCTTGGTGGGTGAGGAGAAGGACTTTAAACTGAATGCCTTGGGAAACGAGGATGAGTGTCTTTTGGTACTTTTGTCTGCAAGATTTAATACCTTTAAAATATGTGACTTAGAGAAATCTAAAATTGTTCAAGAAAAACACGCCAAAAAAAATATATTATTACAAAGTTCTACGTACAAATGTTCGATATTCGGCCATATTTCATTTGATGAAAGATGTTTGTCTGCTCTGACTAACTGACTCCATGTTTGTGTGCAGATGTACGGCAGGATGAACTTCATCATGGGTTACGTTGATAATAATGCATATGACGCCATCCTGAAGTCAACCGAGAGCTCCTGGGGGAAAATCACTGCGTCACCGTTCAGACCTGGTGACGTTGTGATGTCTCAGTGGAACAAGATGTGAGTTAATAAGACATCAACTGTACACATAAACATAATAACTTCTGTAAATAATATTTTTATCATCATTAAATAAAGATTTGAGTAAAGAATCACCCTACAACACATTTGACCAGCCCGTCCTCACCAGAAAAACGGCCGTATAAGTCGAATGTGCAGCAGCCTTTTATGCCCCATATTTACGTTTATTGTCAGATAGATAGGTGTGGATGAGAAAGGGCGTGAAGCCAAGTGAACACTGACTTATTTAAGTTAACCGATGAGAGTTACGTAACGTAACATACTTATTTTAACACAAACCATGATCTTTCCCTAAGCCTAGCCGGTTTTGTTTCCTAAACCTAATGTGTTGTACTAAAGGTCAGAAATGTCATTTTGGGAGTCATTGGGGATCTCTGTGTTTTAGGTATGAGGTTGTGTTGCATTTAACACCCGCTAACAGTGATCACTTTGCCTTCTTTGGTCCATTTTCTTCCCCTTTCTGTCTGTATGCTGCTCCTGGCTAACATATTTCAGAATCATAGCAGCTACTCTCACTGCTATGCAGATAAAACTGCTGTGGAACGTCAGTTGCAATTTCAACCACTTTTTATTCATAACACATCATTTAGATGCTAACTTACCAACCAAGTATAGGAATGCACAACTTAAATTAGATAATAAGATTTATAATTATGAGAATGAAGATGGAACCAATGAGTTTGGCAAAGTGGTCATTGTCAAACGTTCCTTAATCCAAACCAGAGAAGGACAGACCTGCTAATATTACCCTAGACGCTCACTTTATGGATTAGTTGCATCTTTTCCAGACAGATCACAGTGGACAGTGGGTGGAGTTTGCCCAGTTGTTGCCATTTGTGTTAACAGGTAACAATCCCATCTCAAGGCCCACTAACTAGCCTTTTCCAGAGCTTTCAAACGTATCACACAGCCTGCATCAGCTGAAGGAATCTTAACTTTTCAAACCAACATAGACGAGAAGATAAAAACAGCTCTGACCAAATACAAACACTTCTTCCTCTCTTTTTCTTTCCAGAAATGGAACCTGCTTTACCTCAACAGTCAACGTAACTATTGATGGCGACACTGCGAGAGCAGCATGTAAGTAACCTGATCAGTAGTTTCTACATGTTTGTTAGTTCTGTAAGTCGCAGAGTCCAGCAGGGGAGGTCATGTATCGGACAGCTGCATCACACTTCGTCCGCAGCCTTCAGTTGCCTGCAAGGCAAGGCAAGTTTATTTGTACAGCACATTTCAACAACAAGGCAATTCAAAGTGGTTAACATAAAACATGAAAGCAGCAAAAACTCATTAAAATATCATTTTTAAAAGGGTGAAATAGAAAATAAAACAGGATAAAATACATTTTAAAGGAAATAAAAACAGGACAGTAAAAGTCACAGTGCAGTGGACGATATTAATCTACAGCCTTACATGTGATTTAAATAAAGGCAGAAAAGTCTTCAGTCTTAATTTAAAAGAACTGTTTCAACAGACCTGCAGTTATCTGGGAGTTTGTTCCAGATATACGGAGCATAATAACTGAATGGATCTGGATTTAGAGAATCTGGATGGTTCATAATGAATCAGAAGATCGGAAATGTATTTTGGCCCTAAACCATTTAGTGCTTTATAAACTAACAGCAGGATTTTGAAATCAATTCTTTGACATACAGGAAGCCAATGTAAAGACCTCAGAACTGGAGTGATGTGATCCACCTTTATGGTCTTAGTGAGAACTCGAGCAGCAGCGTTCTGAATCAGCTGGAGCTGTCTGATGGATTTCTTAGGGAGCCTGTAAGGACGCTGTTACAGTAGTCGAGTCGACTAAGATAAATGCATGGATAAGCTTTTCCAGGTCCTGCTGAGACATAAGACCTTTAATCCTTGATATGTTCTTCAGGTGATAGTAGGCTGACTTTGTAATTGTCTTAATGTGGCTCCTCAAATTCAGGTCTGAGTCCATGACTACACCAAGATTTCTGGCTTGATTTGTGGTTCTTAACATTACAGATTGAAGTCGAGCACTGACTTTCAATCGTTCCTCCCTGGCTCAACTTCGGTTTTATCTTTTTTTAATTGGAGAATACCGACACATCCAATCGTTGACCTGCTCAATACAGTTACTCAGCACCCGTATGGGATCATAGTCCTGGTAATATGGTTATGTAAATCTGTGTGTCATCTGCATAATTATGGTTACATATGTATATGTTTGTTGTTTTTCATATTCTGAGCCAGTGGAAGCATGTAAATGTTAAACAAAAGAGGCCCCAGAATGGAGCCTTGGGGAACTCCACATGTAATTTTTGTCAGCTCAGATGTGTGATTACCTATAGACACAAAGTAGTCCCTGTCCTTTAAGTAGGATTCAAACCAGTTTAGTACTGTGCCAGAAAGTCCAACCCAGTTTTCAAGACTGTCTAGTAATATGTTGTGGTCGACAACATAAGACTGAAATTCTGCCACTGTCAGTGTTTAAATGGATGTCATTGAAGACCTTAACAATAGCCGTCTCAGTGCTGTGGTGTGGTCGAAAACCTGAGAGGAAGACATCAAAACATTTATTTAGTGCCAAGAAAGCACCAAGCTGTTGAAAAACAGCCTTTTAAATGATTTTACTTAAAAATGGGAGATTTGATATGGGCCTATAATTGCTCATTAGTGAACTGTCTAGATTGCTCTTTTTTAAGAGTGGCTTAATGACTGCAGTTTTCAGGGCCTGTGGGAAAAAAACTGAGAGGAGAGACATGTTGACAATTTGTAGTAGATCTGAGGCCATGCATTTAGACACATTTTAGGAAAAACCTGTTGGCAGAATATCAAGGCAGCATGAGGAGGATTTCAGATGTTGTATTATGTCCTCCAGGTTTTTATGGTTAATAGAATCAAATTGTCTCATGCTATATGACTTGTTTTTAAGTGGACACGGGGACAAGACATATCCTGTTACTGACATGGAGGCAATAATTGCTTGTCTAATTGTTTGAATTTTGTCTGTGAAGAAGGAACCAAATTCATTGCAGGCCCTGGTGGACAGAAGGTCAGAGGCTACAGACACAGGAGGGTTGGTTAGCCTGTCCACAGTAGCAAACAGGACACGTGCATTATTAGTGTTTTTGGTGATGATGTCAGAGAAGAAGGACCGCCTTGCATTTCTCCATGGAGATCTTCTCTTACCAGAGACCACCTTCACCTTGGCTGGTGCAATGGCATCAATGACATTTGTAATTTTAGAACTGAAATTATCTACAAGCTCATTGACTGAGACCCATGAGAGGGCGGGTGTTGAGGAGAAAGCCTCAATAAATTTTTCACTAGTGTTTTCAGTGATTACCTCTGTTTCAACATTTGTGTGCACGCAGATAGCACTCTCAAAGAAAACACAGGAATGATCAGAGAGAGCAACATCAGTCACCACAACTTTGGAAATGTCCAGACCCTTGGAGATGACCAAGTCCAAAGTGTGCCCCTTATTGTGTGTGGGCTCCCTCACATGTTGAGTCAGTCCATAATTATCAAGAACACAACACACAGTTCTTTAGTCCCTCTGTCCTGGGGGTTGTCAACATTAATATGTTAAAATCACCAACAATAACCACACAGTCAAAGTCAATACAGATTATAGACAGCAGTTCACCAAAGTCATCAAAAAAGTTTGCACAGTATTTAGGGGGCCTGTAGATATTTAGAAAAATAGCTCGAGAAGAGGAATTCAGCTGAAGAGCCACATATTCAAAAGAAGCAAAATTCCCATAAGACATCTTTTTGCATTGGAGGGAGTCATTAAACAAACTGGCAACTCCACCTCCTCTCTTATGCACTCTAGCTTCACTCATAAAACTGAAGTTGGGAGGGGTAGACTCGATAAGGACAGCTGCACTGTTATCTTGGTCCAACCAAGTTTCAGTTAAAAACATGAAATTAAGATTGTGAGTGATTATAAAATCATTGATTAAAAATGTTTTAATAAAGTTTAACAAAGCTAATTATAGTGTGTTAAAAACATTATCTGGCGCACTTTTTTCCTGATGAGGAATGAATGAATCTTTATTGTCCACCAAGATGGACATTTTTCTTTGGCTCACCAAGATATACAAATGAACATTCAAACAACATCAAGCAGAGTAAAGGAAATTAACAAAAAAAACGATCAAAAAATATCATATAAATAAATGTACTTAAATACATCAGGGTAATCCATTTGCTGTAGTGACTTGGTTTGATTCAGGATACCAATAGCATTTGGGACAAAAGATTTCCTAAAAGTACTTTTTGCGAGAGGCACCCTGAAGCTCAAACTGGCTAGAAAGAGGGTGAGTGCTGTCTGTAGTGATTTTTCAAGCCTTTTCTGTCAGAATATATTTGAGTCAGATGTTTTTGAGGATGTCCTACTATTTTACTAGCCATTAACACTATCCTGTTAAGCTTGTTCTTAAGCTTGCAATTTAGATGACCAAACCAAGCAGAGAGATGAAAGGTTAGAACACTTTCAATGTGTGTGATGTAGTTCAATAATCTGAGCACTAACGCCCAGACGGTTCAGACTTCTGAGGAGATTAAGTCGTTGTGAACATTTCTTAAAAATATAATCTGTATTATCTATAAAACTCAGATGTTTGTCGAGAACCGTGCCTAAACGTGCCTAACTGTTTCCAGTTTCAACTACTTGACCATTAAGTACAACTGGCTCGGTTGTTATGTCTTCCTTATTGCAAAAGATTAGCTTGTTTGTCTTTGCCACATTGATTTCTCATCATCAGCATATTTTATCAGCTTAAAAGGTACTATTATTTATGGAAAATTCATTTGTGAATAGAGAAAAAAGCACAGGGGAAAGAAGGCTGCCTTGTGATAGTATGCACTCCTGACAAAAAGCTATTTACACAAACCCTCTGTGGGCGACAGGAAAGAAAGTCTCTGATCCAAAGAACCAAGGCCTTATCTATCTTAATATTGGCTAGTCTTTGCAGAAGAATATGTAGCTTCATAGAATTAAATGCTGCACTAAAGTCTATGAATAGAACTCTAGCTAGCCCTTTAGGGAGTGCGAGCTGTTTTGAAATAGAGTCTAAAAGGACCAGCACGGCATCGTCTGTCCCCCTGTCACTTCTATAAGCAAACTGCAGCGGATCTAACATGGTGGTTATTTGGGAGGTCAGGAGATCTACCAGAACTCTGTCCATTGTTTTACACAATATGGAGGTGATAGCTACAGGTCGGAAATCTTCAGGCCTGTATGCACCAGGCTTTTTGGGTATGGGCCTTATTAAAGAAAATTTCCAAGACGAGGGTACACCTGCAACCAGAAGGAAGTTTAAAAGCCTTGAAAAGACACCTTTTAATTGTGAGGCACAATCTTTAAGTAAGCGGGCTTTCAGGCCATCTGGGCCAGTGGCCTTATTCGGTTTTATTTTATTAAGGCTTTTGACAACAGCATCTTCTGTAATAAATATCGGTGCGCCTATAGGAAGATTTTTACACATATCATCACATTCACCCTTATCATCCACAGCATCAAACCTACAGAAGAACATCTACAAGACTTTGACTGCAAACTACAGTACTGTCACCCTTATTGCAACTTTTTCCCATTAAGATGTTTAAGCCCTCCCAAGCCTGTTTTATATTCCCACTGAAGAATTTACTCTCTAGTTTGTTTTTGTATTCAATTTGTTCCCTAATGATGTCCCCCCCCGTAGTTGTTTCCTTTTTTCCTGCACTAGTTCCATGTTGCCTGAACAAAAGGCAATCTTTCTTTCATTAAGGCAGGTTTTAAGTTTTTTGGAAACCCAGGGTTTATTATTTTGGAAAATTCTGATAGTCTTTGTTTCAGATACACAGTCCACACAGAACTTAATATATGATGTTATAGTGTCCGTGTGTTCGTTCCCATCCTGACATGATTCAAAGAAGATGTCCCAATTTGTGTTGTCAAAATGGTCTCTGAGTTGATCTTTGTTTGCTTCAGACCACATCTGTATCTGCTTGATAACTGGTTTTGTCCTTTTGAGCATGGCTTTATATTTAGGCAGGAGATGAATTATATTGTGATCGGATTTCCCTAGAGGTGGTCTACACACTGCTTTATATGCCTCAGAGATATTTCCGTAGCAGCGGTCAAGGGTCCGATTTAACCGTGTAGGACAGTCAACATATTGATGAACAGTGGGCAGATGTGTAGACAAGTTACATGAGTTAAAGTCCCCAAGGACAAAGACAGGCTGATCAGCAGAGCGGGCAAGTGCATCATTATAACTCAATAATAGTAATTTGACCAAACTCTCGCGGGAGGTAGAATGGTCGAAAGGATACAGCCGGTGTGCACACCTGCTCCCGAACACAATATTGTGTAGCCCAACGATTGTCGACAAATAAACACAACCCCCTCCGATTGATTTGCGTGAGCTACACTCATTTCTGTCTGCTCCTATGATAGTGTACCCGGCTAGAGTTGGAGTGTCATGATGGTTTTTAAGCCATGATTCTGTCAAACACACGAGGTTGCTTTGTCTGAATTCACAGTCATGTTCTGCTCTTAACACCATTTCATCAAGTTTGTTGCTTACCGATCGAACATTGGTCAGAGTGATGACAGGCAATGGGAATCTATTGCCGCGTCTCCAAAGTCGGTGCCTCACACCTCCCCTTGAGCCTCGCTTTTTCTTTGCTTTCTTCTTCCCTTCTGGCCATTCAGCAGGCCGTCGGATTTCCATACAATCGACAGGAAGAGTTGGTGGAGCTACACCGATCACGAGTGTAAATGAGGTAGTCTTGACGGCCTGAAACAATCCCCAGTTCCAAATGCTGATAGGCAAAGTAGTATCCATAACAAAGCCATTTTCATGACGAAAAATTTCATAGAAAAAAGCTTTAAAATGCTAGCAGGTAAAAACGTTTAGAAACACAGACAAACTGTGAGCACAGGGTCGAAAGCAGGCCGCGCCCCCGGAAAGCTGTTTATCCCCAAGGGACTGAGGAATTAATACTAAATTTGCAGGATATGTTGAGTGCTTCCTGTTTCTTAACAGTCACCAAACTGCACTTTCACAGGTCTCAGCAGTAACATCTGATAAAAAAAAAAAGTTTTCCCCAAAATAAGGTTAAACTGCACGATTGGCTGAAATATGTTTCCCACCCTCAGCTGTTAAAAGCAGGCGTTGGGAGTGGGAGTTGTAGAGGTGTATTGAGGATTCTTTGAGTGGCGTGTCTGTGGTTGCATTACGTCAAGCACAAAATCAGTTTCCACAGTACGATTTAACAAGGCACATGTTCTGATGTTTTCAGTGTATGAGCTAAATCATCTGTTTCCATCGGACATTGCCGGTGTTTTGTTAGAATTTTCTGAATATGTTTCTGTCCCCAGTACCTAACATCACCTCTGAGTTCCACGTGCTGCCGAGCTGCCAAGGCTGTCTGGTCTTCAGCATCAACAACACCGCCAGAAACCTCAACAAGATTCATCAACTTCTGAAAGTTGGTGGCACCTTTCCAGAGGAGGAGGTCATCAGTCGGGCTGTTTATCTGCTGGGTAGGATGGAACGAACCAGAGAGAGTAACTCACTCATTTCCTATCCCAAACATTCATCCATTTTGTTTTTGTTGTTTCCAGGCAGCGAGTCGACCTTGAAGGACTCAGACTTGGAGCGTTTCAAGCAGCAGGCAAGCTGCCTCGGCTTCTCCGGAGAACCAGACTACCACTACGACCCCAAGAACGGTGCTCGACCTTTAAACCTGTCTGCTCGAACAATGTAATCAGGATGTGTGCTATCAGACAGAACTGATTTCTTTCTCTTTGTCTTCCACTCTGCAGGTTTCTGTGATGAAGGCGAGAGCATTAAGATTACCTTCAACTGAAGTTTAAAAAATATTTCAACCTGAAACTGAGAAAATAAAGAGACAAAAAATGACTCAAATATCAAGCGTGTGGCCAAAGTTTTTTATTCAGTGTTTTTTATGATCTAATAAAATGATTCAACAAGGTTTTCAAACTGTGAGGCGCCTCCCCCGTGGTGAGCGGGAGCATTAAAGGTGAGAGAGGAGGGAGAGAGGTGAGGCAAAGTCACCCACTAACCCCAACAACAGGAGGTCATTATTGTAGTGTGTCTGCAGGTGGAGCTGCAGCAGTGACTTACAGCTCATGGAGGAGATTAAGATACTGTAAACTACTGTACACTTTCTGACAGATTGCTGCGGTTTGTGTCATAAATCTGTGTCACTTACACTTTCCGGTATTATTATCTGTATCTCCGATTACAAGTTTTCTTTAAGTTTTCTTCAGTATGGCAGGAATCCATTGATCGGTATCTGGACATCCAGGGGTTCACTGCTAACTAATAATAAATATAACAAATACAAAAAACATTAGACATCCTGTTTACATCCCCCCAAAGCATTATGGGAATATCACCCAAATAAAATGAAATGATATATTTCTGTCACTATTCATGTTTTTCATTAATAAGGCTCAGACTCCACATACAAGAACAACTGTTAAATAAAAACAGTGGATTCATTAAGTTACTTGTTGGTATTTTGTTCTTGATTAACGACTGCAAACTTTATTCAAAAATGACAATAAAGAGAAACTTTAACTAAAAACTAAAAGCCTTCATCAGTGTGTTGGTCAGTAGAACAGTCTGTCTGTATCTGTAATCATGAGGACGATGAGCTTGTAAACCTCCTAATATGTTGAATATATCAAATGTACTTTCAGAATGGAATTATTCAGAATCCAGCCCAATCACAGTTCCATTCAAGTACAGAGGTATCAGCTTGATCGGTACAGTTTATAGATTGTAAATAATGCATTACATTTATAAAGCGCTTTATCACTGAAACTCAAAGCGCTTCACAGTGAAGTGGGGGGGCCTCACCTCAACCACCGCCAATGTGTAGCACCCACCTGGGTGATGCACCGCAGCCATTTAGCGCCAGAACGCTCACCACACATCAGCTTGAGGCAGAGAGGGAGGGAAACATGGAGCCAATTACTACGGGGGATGATTAGACGGCCAGATGGTGAAAGCCTGGTTGGGAATTTTGCCAGAACCCTGGGGAACCCCCTACTGTTTGCAAGTGCCGTGGGATCTTTAATGACCACAGTGAGTCAGGACCTCGGTTAACGTCTCATCCGAATTGTATTTGGCCGATAGTTTCCTGGAAGAGCAGAGAGGTATTGACCATATTTTAACTTTGGTGAGAGCTAGACAACAAGAGGGTGAAATCACATGAGCTTGTTTTGAAGAAAACCTTTGACTGGATCGATGGAGATCTTTTAGACTATCTAATAATTTGCTCTGGCATTGATGGTAAATGTTATAATCCCAAATAAACCTTGTACAAAGTCCCAGTTGCATAATTGCAGTTAAATAATCAGGCCTGGCTGGTTTCCTTCTCCATTTGGAGTGGAGCAGGAGCATGAAGATGATCTTTCAAGATGTTTTTCCAGCTTCTGGCTATTTTATGATGAACGGTGTCATTGTGGTGATTGTGGGGTTCAGAGGGTTAAACAGAAATACAGAAAACGAACCAGAATGGAAACAAAGGGTCGATCAGAGTTCAGTAACAGTCTGTGTACACACACTTTGTACCAATTCAGACCGTTATAAACACTCCTCTCGTTCTGCTGTCCTGACAGAGCAGGGTGTGTTTGTTTTTGGTCTCAGAGCAGGATGGTTGTTGTGAAGCGAGCAATGCTGCTGCTGCTGGTGACGGCAGTTGGCACCAGTGCAGCGCCAACCCCCGAAGACTGTGACGGTCTGACTAAAAAGCTGCTAATGAAAGACCTGGACAAGGTGAGTCTGTTTGTGGTCAGCTTGGTGCCTGAGACCAACCATCCATCACTCCTGGGGGACCGATCTTTAACAGTCAAATATTTTAGTTTAATCCAACTCAATACAACTTTCAGCAGGCTAACATGCTAACAATGAAAATGCTAACATGTTGATCTTACCATGTTCACCATCTTAGTCTACTGTTTTAGCATGCTAACATGTTGATGTTTAAGTATTGGACACCTTAACATGGTGACCTGATGAAGGCGCTACATGAAAGTTCAGAGGAACATTATTACAGTTAGTCCTGGGGGGAATATGAAGTCTGAACCACATTTACTCACAAGCTATCCAACAGCTGCTGAGATGTTTCAGTCTGGTCCGCAGTGGTGGAAAATCTTTGCAGAGAAGACAGGACGGACATTCACTGTCCTCAGTGGTAGCTTTAGCTCTGTCTGACTCTGGCCTGTCCCCCGTGCTCCTGCAGATTTTCGGGGACTGGGTTCTGGTCTGGGCTGTCTCTGACGATCTGCAAGACTTCGACCTGGTAAACTTCTCCAGCTCCCACGTCGAGCTCCAACTTCTCCCTGACAACAAAACCATCATGTACAAGGAGAGAAACATGTTCCTGTGAGTGCTTTCATTAGAAATGACTTTCACTAGCAAGGACTACACATTCAACAAGATGACAACAAGATTGTGTATGAGGCCTGAACTCACTTGTACTTCTTTGGTTTGCTGCTGCGTTGCGGGGAGGCTTCGGTGGGGAATCATCCCAAAGCCTCCAGTTACTTGAGACAAGACTGAGATCTTTCAGATCTGAATGAATGTAGCGGTGGTTCGCTTGAGAGGATCAGTGGCCCGTGATTTGTAAGTAGTGTTCTGGGATGCCATTTGAAGTGACCAAAGTAATGTGGCAGAAGTTCTGGTGGAACCAGATCAAGTAGCCACTTATCCAACTCAGATGAAGACAGGGTCTGTCTTGGTCATGATCTGGAATTTGAAAATGCTTGATGATTAGACCTTGAAGAAAAAGTCAGGTGTAAGCTGAATGGGTTGATTGGTTTTATTGTTCAAGTAGAAAACCATGGTGTCATCTGAGAAATGAGACACGTCTGAAAGGCAGACGTGACGGCATGGGCTGAAGTCAAGAGTAGAAGCAATGAATATGGAGGATCAAGCAACATGGGGGATGTTGTATCTGTATCAGAGACTTGAGACTTGACCTCGAAAGACTTCAGACTTGACTTGGACTCGAGGTGCAGGACTCGTGAACAATGTTTATTTTTGGGAAACGTCTCATGAGCGCGCGGTTATTCCGTTCCCTGCGTTACCTATAACCTGCCTACATAACAAAACTACGTATGTACTGAGCGAGGCCACATGTGACAGAGGACAACAAACACAGGTGACCGCCGACATAACATGCAAATAAACATCACTTTATGTCTGTGGTAACAGCAAAGGTTTGTCTTTGTAAAACTTTACCGTTTCTTTTAACAGAATAATCACAAATGTGGCCAAATAAGTTTTTGCAGTTTATAGCGTAACCAGGCCTGACATTTACGTGAGTATAGGCAATAATAGAAGCCTGTTGGATTATGTGTTTGGTAAGCCTATGTCTAATAAGACTGAAGACGGTGCTTAACATAACTTACTGCTGAGTTATATTTAAAATGAAGACATGAGCTCTTTTACAATTATCCTTATGACTCTTTTACCCATTAATTTACTGGCTGTTAAAATACCTTTAAATGGCCAATACGACCCATAACATGCAGTATTTCACTTGCCAGATGGTGACTGCAGCCTCTACTTATTGACTGAATGGAAGTTTTATTTAACGTTAGTTAAACGACCATGGCGACTGTCGTTTCCACAGCCAGGAGCACTAACGAACCAGCGGTATCGATGATCTTAAGGGGCGGCTGTGGCTCAGGAGGTACAGCGGGTTGGCCGTTAATCGGAAGGTCGGTGGTTCAATCCCTGGCTCCCCCTGGTTGCGTGTCGAAGTGTCCTTGGGCAAGATGCTGAATTTGCTCCTGGCGGCTATTCCGCCAGTGTATGAGTGAGTGTGAATGTTAGTTTCCGTTTGAGCACTTAGGCTCAGTGTATGAATGTGAATGCAGATGTAGATGTAGTGTAAAAGCGCTTTGAGTGGTCGAAAAGACTAGAAAGGCGCTATACAAATACGGAGCATTTAGCTAACGAGCTGAGTTTCCCTACCAGTCAGTCAGAACTGAAGAAGTCTCTTGGATGAGGGACGAAACGTCTTCTAGTTTCTTCTACCAAGTCCAGCTGCCCTTGACCTCAACCTTTGTTGGATAACTATGACCTGGATGACTGAGAACCTTCACAGACAATGTTAGTTAACGTAACACTGGTTTGAGAGTTTGGGGGATGTGTTGACTTACAGTAGTTTATAAGCTGTCCTTAGCTGTAGACACATTAGGCTACATGGTTGTGCTCTGTAAGTGAAAAACAGGCTACAGTTACAGAATCCCTTTTAGCTATTCAGTGTAATAAGGTTTAAACTCAGCAGGTGATACAACATTCATTATAACCATGAGTGACTTGAGACAAGACTTGAGACTTGACTTGGCCTCTAGCTCACAGACTTGAGACTTGACTTGGACTCTAGCTCAGTGACTTGAGACTTGACTTGGACTCTAGCTCAGAGACTTGAGACTTGACTTGGACTCTAGCTCAGAGACATGAGACTTGACTTGGACTCTAGCTCAGAGACATGAGACTTGACTTGGACTCTAGCTCACAGACTTGAGACTTGACTTGGACTCTAGCTCAGAGACTTGAGACTTGACTTGGACTCTAGCTGAAAGCCTTGTGAGCACCTCTGATCTGTATCAAAGCAGATGTGTGGATGCAGACTGATGGCAGGTCTGTGTTAAGCGTTGAGGATTTGGGGCTGGCTCAATAGCAAAGTTATCTGTGGATGGGTGAGGCAGCTATTTAGGAGTTTGGAGAAGAAGCTGAGGTAAACCTTGATGGTGTGTATTTGATAGCCATCCTTTGATGGGTGTAGGTGACAACAAAGGTCAAGGTGAGGAGATCGAACGACTATCATGGTTATTAACATGTTGAAGGTAAGTGCTAGATTTTGTGTGTGGAGAAAGCGACCTGGTATTCACTGCAAACCTTCTTCCATTATAGAAACCTCCCAAACCGGCAGAATGAGCGGTGTCGATGTACAGATGAGTGTCATGTGGGAGTGTCAGTTGTTCAGTGTAGAAAAAGGTGACCCCGTTCCCACCAAAAGGTAAAGCAGCTGCTGGGGCTTTTTGCGTTGTTTCCTAGTGTACCCTTAAGGGTAAATCGATTTACCCGATATTAGACTGCATTATTGCGCCCTTGTTAGCAGACGTACTGCATCATTTCCGGTCTCTTATTTAGCCCTTGGATAAACCTGAGTTCAACTAGATGTCAGCAGGTTGTTGTGTCATTTTCAGTGATAAGCCGTGTTCTCAGTACCTAATCAAGATGACGATGCCCTCCGACCCCTCCGACTCTGACCACCACACACTGCACACCCACGCCTCCAGTGAGTCACATTAACACACACATTTATACATGTACCATTACTAACATAATACATTTCCTAACCCTAAAGCTACCCTTAACCATCACGACTAAGTGAAAAACATCATCCACCTCTCAAAGCTAAACCTGTTTCTAACCTGAACCTTCAAGCAGTCCTTGAAGTAGTGAGGACAAAATGTCCTTATCGGTGAATTGGGCTTTTTTTGCTTCAGCATTTGTTTTTTTTTGTTTTTTTTTTCTTTCCAGCTGAGAAAACATAACTTGATAATGACAATAGTTTGTTTTGGTGAGGTGATTGGAAGGCTTATAAATATTATTATTAACAAAATAAGAATTGTTTTTAACTAACTTAAATGCGGTTAAATTAGAATAAATAAAATGAAATAAATATATTATAACAAATATTAAAAGATTTAATAGATTATAGTATAGTATTATAGTATACATATTGTGGAATGGGCATAGGTATAACATAGTATAAGTATAGATGTGTAGGTACATGTTATGTAGTGGTGGTAACAGCAGTTAAATACAAATATTAATGTAATCATCATTATGGTAAATATTCATGTTTGTTATTAATACGACTGTTTCTTCTTTCTAATTATTCTTCCTCTTCGTGTTACTGTTTATGATTTTGATATTATTGTATTACCATTGTTGTTGTGTACTGATTGTGTGTGTGTGTGTGTGTGTGTGTGTGTGTGTGTGTGTGTGTGTGTGTGTGTGTGTGTGTGTGTGTGTGTGTGTGTGTGTGTGTGTGTGTGTGTGTGTGTGTGTGTGTTTTAGTCTCGGAGATAGACGGAGTTGTTCGTCCGTACAACGACTCAGGCAAAGTGGATTTCCATGAGAGCTGCTCTGACTGTCTGGTGTTGGTCTACAGAGGCAGCGTGGGCCGATTCCTGCTCATCTACAGTAAACTCACAACACACACAAATAATTCAGAATAATTAGTCATTCAATTACTATTCACATTCATCTTTCTATCTTTAGATACATACATTTTGGAAAAATCAGTGGAAAGTCTGTCATTTCTCATTCTCTGTCTTTATTCAGTTTGTATGTGATTAAATTAAACTCATGACATGTATGTTTTGTGTGTGTGTGAATCAGGAAGGGAGGGGCAGCATCGGGATGTTGAGCAGCAGAAAGCGGCCCACGGCGATCATCACAAACTGGCCGAGTGTCTGGGATTTCCTCACGACAAACCGTTCAGCTACGACGGAGCCGCAGGTCAGTTTGTGTGAACGAGCTCTGGTCGTGGAGCGCACCGGTTCTGGGTTTGAATGTGGGTTTGTTCTGTGTGGAGTCTCATGATGAGCCCCACTTCTCACCCTGTAGACCTCTGAATCCCCGCCTACATGTCAGATGTTTTCATTGATCAGAACAGGGCTGCTGCCCTTTGATGGATCTTTACCTTACTGATGAACAATTGGCCAATCAGAGTTTAGTTGTCAGGATTAAGAAGCAGGACGCCATCTAGCTACATTCACTTCTTCTGGTCATAATAAGAAAGCTTCTAAAACATTAAATTTGTGTTGTAAGCATGAGGTCTTTGTAGATGTCTGACTCTGTTCACCAGCGCTCACTTTCTGTCATGTAAGAGCTACGTTCATGAAAAACAGTGAGCTCTTTGCAGCGGTTCAGGTTTCACTTACAGAAATAACTCTTAAACTGTAAACTGCTCCTAACACCCTCTAAGACAACTTCTGTGACATTAGCAGGACGTCCGTTACTGCTGATTGGTCAGATCAGAAGGTGCCAAGTGTTCATCAGAAAGTAATCCAACACATTCTCACTCCCAACTCGACACATATGGACGCTTGGTGTCACTTTTTAATGTCCTGGATACCCTTTAGTATAGTGTTTGGATGTTTAGGGCTCCGTGGTTGTCACGGTGGGTGTAGGGTAGAGCAGGATAAGCAGGTTGGTGGACCAAAATGCAGGACAAGAAGGCCGACTGGCCCTACAACGTAGTGGCAGAGTCCAAATCCAAAATCCAAACAAACAAGGTAATCCAACAGAAAAGTCCAGAAACAGGTGTACAATCCAAAATCCAAACAACTGGTGGGGAAAGAGCGAGCGAGCAAGACAAGACTGAGCAGACAACACTACAACACACTGTAATGACCCAACAAAGACTAGAAACACCAGGAATATATACAGGGACTAACGAGCAGGGCGGGAGCAACACAGGTGACTGACATGAGACTAACGAGACACAGGCAGGCAGAGAGAGAGCAGGGAAAAGAGAGAGAGGCAGGCAGACATGGGGCAAAGTGACCAACACAGACAGAACACATGTAACAAAATACCAGACAAGAATCTAACTCAGACAACAGAAGCCCATGTAAACAGACCAACTATAACACTGGGATCATAACCGACAAACAAACGAGAACACAGAGTACCGAGCAGACTAAACAAATACTACAACGACATGAACTAAGGCACAGGACTAGGAACAAAGACTCCAAAAAGACAGATGGACATGAGTGAAACCCAAAACACAACAGACTATAGAACAGATACTGGACGCAGGACAGAACCCAAAACACTATGACAGATACTAAAACAGACTACAAATAACCTGACTGGAACTAAATGAACAAAGCAAAACTGACACGCACAGTGTGACAGTGGTCAAGTTAGCAACATTAATATGCAATGTCTGGTTAGACTTTCAGAATACATGTATGTGTTAACGTTGTGAAATGTTGCAGTTAGGTTTAGGCACCAAAAGTACTTGGTTAGGTTTAGGAAAAGATCACGATGTGGGTTAAAATAACTATGTTACTTGCATAACTTAAATAAAAACATTCCATCTTGACATTTTGTCTCACAGGAAACAAACACAGGCCTACTGGTTTAAAGTCCAGTTTCTGGCCCAACCACCACCTTACTCAGACTTTTCTGTTAAATACCCCTCGTTGCTCCAGAGGCGTGCGACCTCTGACACAAATAGCAATTGCAAATCGCTTCCTGACTTTTTGCCCAACAAAGACTGGATCCCACAATTCCCATCATGCACCTGGACAATGTCTTTCAAACTCGGAACCTCCAGTTCACACCAACTACAAACTACCGGCGACCGCAGTATGTACTAGATACTGCATATTGCTTTTCAAAGTAGTATGTCATTTGAAACTGTTCTGATCACTTTCATCGCGTGAGTTTGACCGTGTTCACACACACACACACACACACACCATGATAACACGCCAACATTGCCGCTTCTCTTCTGGAAAGCAGGACAGGAGAAGGAGCTTCCACGTAAAAAAAATAACTTCTTTCTGTGTCAGCAGTAATATTATAAATGATTCTCCTCTTGTCTCCTCAGATTTTTGTCATAAGAAATCTTCTCCAGCGGTGGAGCCTGAACAGTCCTGAGGGAAGTCAACGTATCTCAGATGTCGTTCACAAATAAAAGAAAGGAAAAGCAAACACTAAAACCTGGATGTTTCTTTTTCAGAGAGCTTTACACATCCACACTTGTTCGCTCCAAAATGAGCTTTGATTCGAGTATTTATTGTAATTGTTTTCCACAAATTGCCTCATCGGCTGTCTGATGTAACTGCTAAGTAAACTTTGTTGTTTGTTGCTTTCACTACATTTTGCATCCTTCATCCCTTTCCCACTTTTCCAACTCTTTGTACTCCTTCAGTCTCCTTTCAAAGTTAAGCCAGCAATGCAGTTTTAGGGATATGCAGTATTTATGATAAATCTATTTAAAATATGTATTTCAAATACATGATGATAGGACTTTGTCATTTATATTTGATACAGTACAATATTTAGTATCAAAGTACTTTAGTGTTTTGTAGTTTGAGTGCCTACTTAGTAATTTACCCAGATGTGTTGGGATCAGAACAGAAAACTGATTCGGGCCCATAGAAGAAGGTCAAGGTGAGAAACATGTAGTACAGTTCCTGTTAAGTCAGTTCATGAAAGCATTTTTAGTTTTTTTGAAATACAAATATAGGTTTTTTTTAATAAAGTTAATGTTCTTTGCAGTTCAGCTTCAGCTTCCCGGCATTCACACCATCATTTCTTCAGAATCTGCCTTCTCTAGTTTTATGTCGCCGTTGTTTTCCACCACAGCTGCTTGTTGATTGACAGATCATCACTGCAGCTGTTTGGGTCTCTTTATGTCGACAGCATTTTAGGTGCATCAAAATCAATCATGCACGTTGAGTTCAGGTTTTCTGTGGGTCTGTTTCAGATGTGTGACCCCTAAAGACCTCTAGGCAGCAGCTGGGAGCAAACAGGGAGAGACTGGAGGAGCCAAACTATTCACAGCTGTAAACTGGTCATAACGTTTTAAATGGGTTCTAACAGACACAGGAAGCTGATGCAAACATGCTGAACTGAGTGTGATGCTGGTCTCTTTGACTGGTTTTGGTCTTTGACTCTGGCTGCTGCACTTTGAACGAGCTGAAACATGGATTCATGGACTGCAGTGATCCCGTCTTCTCTGAACCTTCTTACACAAATAAACAGGAAACTGAAAACAAACAGACCTGGAAGGGAAACAAAGGGTCAATCCGAGCTCGATAACACACTGAGCACACACACTTTGGACTGATTACGGGCAGGCCGGGGGCCGGCTGGGAGCAGGCCAGGGGCCGGCTGGGGACAGGCTGGGAGCAGGCCAGGGGCCGGCTGGGGACAGGCTGGGAGCAGGCCAGGGGCCGAATGGGAGCCGTTATAAAACAACCCGCTGCTTTGTGTTTTCTTATCTCAGAGCAGGATGATTGTTGTGAAGCGAGTGCTGCTGCTGCTGCTGCTGGCGGCGATCGGCTCCGACGCACGGCCGGGCCCCGAAGACTGTGGCAGTCTGAGCAAAAGGCTGCCAACTAAAGACCTGCACAAGGTGAGTCTGGTTGTTCATGTACCTGATGGTTCTGTCCTGAAGAGTCATGGTCATTTCTGTAATGAGCTTTACATTTGTTTGGCCAAAACTACTCAAATTTGTTATGCATTATAAAGTTATCCTCCTCGACCATCGTACGCGACTTATTTTGTACTTCTACGTGTTTCTGTGCCAACTTGAGTTTCCCCTATAGGGGATTAATAAAAGGTTTATCTTATCTCATCTTATTTGATCTTATCTGTGTTTAGCTAGATGAAAAGTCAGAAAGTTATTACAGTTGTTCCTGAGGTGAACATGAAGGTCTGAACCACAGATGTTTCAGTCTGGACCAAAGGGGAGGACAGATGGACACTTTTTCTGCATCAAAGATTAACCAAAGGATAGACTTGTCTCACTGTCCTCAGTGTCCTTCAGCTCTGTCTGACTCTGATCTGTCCTCCTGCAGATTTTCGGGGACTGGGCATTGGTCTGGTCTGTCTCTGATACTCAGTACGGCAGGGACCTGATGGTGAACTCCTCCAGCTCCCACGTCGAGCTCCAACTCCTCCCTGACAACAAAACCATCTTATACAACGAGAGGAACATGTTCCTGTGAGTGCTTTCATTAGAAATGATTTAAACAGTGGTTTAAGTTTCAGTCAGTCGGCTGCTGGGTTCATATTTAACGTACAGACGTGAAAGTGGTTTCAATGTGTCGGCTAGAAAATAAATAAGCTTTATTTCCCTTCAAATTGGATAATGTGATCATACCTCTGTCTTCCCTCACCGAGGGATGAGAGGCCTGAAGAAGTCCGACTGTAAAGCTCATGTCTGGGGACTCCAGGTCTGTGAGCCGATGGGAAGAAAATAGAGAACCGATACGTGACTCTTCTGTTAGCTGTACAAGACTTTAAGTAGTACTATTAACTAAATGTCTTTTGTCTGGTAGAAAATTAGCTAAATATTCTCCCTTTTGTGTCTGTAGGTTTTTATTTAGCTAAATAGCAGCTTTTATAAACATAAGCCAGAAGGATTTGGAAGGAAGTGTTTGCTTTTCTACCACTGTGGCAGCACAGAGCGGCACATCTCATGTACGGGGACTCGACTCTCTTCCAATTGGCTCACAGACCTGAATGTCCCTGAGGTCTGTTTGTCTTAGAAGAACTGGCCTCGGATAATAGAGAGCACAAGTTCCTCCCTGACCCTTCTTCTCTAACTGCTTTGTGTTGTGTCATTTTCAGTGATAAGCCGTGCACTACGTACTTTTTCAACTTGACGATGCCCTCTGACCTGTCCGACTCTGAGAACTACACGCTGCCCACCGGCGTTGGCAGTGAGTCACATCAACACACACACACACACACACACACACACACACACACACACACACACACACACACCTTTCTATATTTGTAAGGGCCGTTATTCACATAACTCATTCCTTTGCCCCAACCCAAACATAAACCAGATCTAATCATTTTATGTGGATGTCCAGATCTGTTATTTAGCACTAGATGTTAAAATCCCTTAACTGCACACATGAGACATGCTGCCGGATGGAAAAGTGGGCGCTGTGTTTCGCTGATAGGCCCACGACACCTCCAGAGGGTTCAGCAGTGATTCCCTGCATGTCAGGCTCACCGTCCAAATACCATTTACTCACTTGAGGGCCCAGGTAGAGTCCTTTCTCTGCACACAGAGCCACTGACTGCCATTTTCAGCAGCTGCTTTGCTTTCCAGCTGCGTTGTCGTGCATTGGCTGCAAGCTCGGCGTACCTCAGCTTCTTGCGCTCATAGGCCTCCTGCACTGAATCCTGCCAGGACACTGTAAGCTCAACGATGTAAACGAGACTGAGTGAGGCCGACCCTAGCATGTGGGAGAAGTAGACAAACAAAAGCAAGACAGTAGCCATGTTTCCATCTAACTGTCAAGCAAATTTTAAGTGGACTTTTGAAACGTTGCAAAAAAGTTACAAATAAAAAAAGTCAATGCAAAATCTGTGCGTTTCCATCAGCTGGTTTGGAGCGAATAAACCAGGCTGCGGCGAGCGTCGTTACGTCAGTAGTTGACGTTACACGTGGCTGTAATAAACAAGACGTCTGGGTTCGCATGAACCTGAGGGCCCCTGATCTGAGAAAAACAGAGAGGGGTCCTCAGGAATGTGTTTAAAGCGGGCAAACTGCTACCAGCCATGAAAATAACCGAGCAAGACGGGAACAGCAGAAACAGCTGATCAGTCGCTACGTCAGAACTTATTCGGCTAAAGGTTTTCCATCTCCCTTTTAGGGCATTAACAGTTTTTTGGACAAAGGCAAAAACCACCTCAAGCTAGCGTAAAAACTTTTTTCCATCGACCTTTTTTAATGAGACTTTTCAAAATGTGCATAAAACAACGTTGATAGAAATACGGTTAATGTCTGTGAAGGTTCTCAGTCATCCAGGTCATAGTTACCCAACGAAGGTTAAAATCAAGGGCAACTGGACTTGGTTGAAGATACTGGAAGACGTTTCGTCCCTCATCCAAAGGACTTCTTCAGTTCTGACTGACTGGCAGGGAAACTCAGCTATTTAACCTCAGTGGGGTCGTTGGCCCGGGTCATCGATACCGCTGGTTCGTTAGTGTTCCTGGTTGCTGTGACGACAGTCGTTACAGTCGTTAAGACTACCTGTGGCCGAGACTGAACGACCATCGTTGGTATCTTCACCTGAGGCCAATAGGTTACGTTTGTTGAGTTTCCTGGGAAGTGATGAAAGGACAGCATTGTAAGTGGGGGATAAGTGGTGGCGTAGACCCCCTCCTGCAGATAGCTACACACTGCATGCTGATTAGTAAAACTCAAACAGCAAGGATCAGTCTCTCTTCCAATGATTTGTGCTCAGCGTCACATACAAAAAGTTCAGGACAATTCAACTTCAGTGGCGAGCACAATAGCAACAGTTTCACGGGAAAGCGCCCACCTGTCAGTACTCCTTGTGCTCGACCACTTCACCTCACTCTGACAGGGACACTTGCTGAAAAAATGTTTCTGCTGATACCTGAAAACAGATTAATACATGTTAACCTGCTGCTCAGAAGGTGCCCGTTACGTTCTGATCGTGGCTCTGGACTCTGACGGTAACTTGTTCTAACAGTGGCTCATAGCTTTGGTTTAATATTTGATCACTAACGGCGTCTGTCTGTCTGTCTGTCAGTGTTGGAGACAGACGGAGTTGTTCGTCCGTACGACGACTCAGGCAAAGTGGAGTTCTATGAGACCTGCCCCGACTGTCTGGTGTTGGTCTACAGAGGCACTTTGGGCCAGTTCCTGCTCATCTACAGTAAACTCACAACACACACACACACTCATCATTTTGGAAAATAAACTTCTGTGTGATGATTCTCTCTCTCTCTCTCTCTCTCTGCCAGTTTACTATGTTAACTAGTTAAATTAAACTCATGACATGTATGTTGTGTGTGTGTGAATCAGGAAGGGAGGGGCAGCATCGGGATGTTGAGCAGCTGAAAGCGGCCCACGGCGATCATCACGAACTGGCCGAGTGTCTGGGATTTCCTCAAGACAAACCGTTCATCTACGACGGAGCCGCAGGTCAGTTTGTGTGAACGAGCTCTGGTCGTGGAGCGCACTGGTTCTGGGTTTGAATGTGGGTTTGTGGGGTCTCTAGATCATGTAGCTCAGCTGAAAGTGTTCAGTTTCCAGGATTAGCTGGTTTCTGGAAGTCTGTTTAAAACATTCAGTAAAAGGTGACATCATAGATCTGTTTTCCCAGACTAACGAGGACTGACCACGAGCAGTTAAATAACCATGATGTGCACTGTTCATTTATTGTTAATGGGAAAACTGAAAAGACAAAATGATTCTCCTCTTGTCTCCTCACAGATTTTTGTCATAAGAAATCTTCTCCAGCGGTGGAGCCTGAACAGTCCTGAGGGAAGATGTTGGAACAAACAAGTGTCAACGTATATCAGAGATGTCGTTCACAAATAAAAGCAAAAATAACACTCAAACCTGGATGTTCATTTTTCAAAGTGCTTTAAATAAAAATCTGCTTTTCTCAAATTATCTCAATTTTAATCAAACTGTCTTTGATTCCACTTGCTGGTATTTATTGGAATTATCTAGCAGAGGTTCAGGAGCAGGACCACCGCAATCATGCCACATCCAGCTTTCCTATAAAAACTGCACGCTGTCAAGCCATACATTTTATCACTCAGTGAAATACAAATGAATAACTGATTAGACAGACTCACAGATCAACTCCACCGCGCTCTGAGTCCAGACAGCTGTGACGAGTGGAAACGTAGCTGTTTTGCAACATAAAGTGCAGCCTGCTCTGTTTGGGACTGTGAGCTGCACTGGAAGTCAACATGTGGATTTGTGGTGAATTTTCTGCCTAATCAAAAGTGTTTCATTTACTTTCAGTAACACTTGCAACATGCAGTCCCAAACTGCGTCGGTCAAACGCTCTGAAGGGATAATGTTACCACCAGCGGATCAATAACGTAATCCACAGCAGAGTAAAGGACAGGTAGACTTCTCAGTAAATGATGACGTTCATCTGGTAACATTCTGCCTTTTCTCTGGTCCTGTCAGAGACACAGACCTGTGGGAGAGATTCTGAATGTGCAGAAAGTTTTTAGAACATGAGCTGAAACACAGGAGCTATTAAAGTCCAGAAGTTTATCACTGAATTAAAATTAAATAATTAATCATTGAGGTTACTTCCCCAAACACAAAGAGGAGGGAAACTAAATCAGGACTCAGCAGGGATGATATTAACCCGTTTAATCCCAAATTTTGCCTAGTCATTTGAGTACATGCATTTTACTCCTTAGACCTCCCTAACACACAAACGGTATGCCTTTCTTGATTTTATGTTGGTTAAGTTAGTGAAACATTAAGTTTTATACTCTGCCACAATAGTGACAGGTGGGAAACAGCTTAGTCAAAACTAAGACCTATTTACACATAACAGATGTTACTGCAAATCACCCCCAGACATTCCATTGTCCAGAGTTTGTTTAACAATGTTTTCCTTTTCAAATTAAAAACTGCCTAGTCATTTACAAAAACATCAAATTTGGAGAAGCAGCTGAGTGAGATTGACCCAATGAGTCAGAGCAGGCAGACACAAACTGTGCCTTAAAACATGGTGCAGAGCGTACTGTGAGTGCACGCCACAATAGGGCTCTATGATATACATGCACCCTGTAGGTGATGAAAGACTCCACAGTTCAGACCCAAACCGGATCGGTGTGCCCCTGAATTGCTTGCAGCCATGCCTACCATAATAAAGGTATCATGCTTTTGTCAACTGATGGGTTTTGTAAGACTAATTCAGTGCACTGAAAATGGGCCGTACTTTGTAGAAAAGGTCACCTCTGAGCTATCCACCATGAGGTCATTATCTCGTCAAAGCGATTCATTCTCATTGTATTTCAGATTGCTTCATTGTGTCAGGACCGGGGCCAGAAACTCAGACGCAGACCAGAGTAGGTTCAATGGTAGAATTTATTTAACACAAGTGAGAGACACAACAGAGATGTGGCTTGGGGCGGGGGGGGTCGTTCTGACGGCGACGAGGGCCGGGCTCCTATGCTCAGAGAGTTCTGTGTCTCAGGGGAGAGTCCGAGATCAGGCAGGTATTCTGTGGCTGAGACAGGGAGAAAACAAGCTAGCGTTCAGCACAAGGACTCAGACTAGATGCGGCTGGTTCAGGACAGAACACTGGCTGGCGTGTGTTCGTACTGTATGGTACAACGATCCGGAGCTGGAAGGTTGAGCCGGTCTTTTAAAGTTGAGTTGATTGCAGGATGAGACGCCGGTGTGCTTAATTAGCAGGATGCGTCTCAGGTGGGTTGACTGGAGATCAGGTGACCACGCCCACCAGCAGCCCCAGAGCATGAGGGAGGAAGCAGAACACACCAAGCACACCGCAAACATACCAAAAACTACAATCACACACATACCAACAGCAAGGCCAGGGTCACGACACACGGGTTCGTGACACATTGTAGACATCAGTGTCATATGACCAAGACGTGCCGCTGCGGCACAGAGCTGTGATGTGAGAAGAACCCCATAGAAAGTCAGCAACTCATCCATGTTCAGACTGGTTTGCATTATATAGGTATTTTTTTAATTCGCTGACACTTTTATCCAAAATCACTTTCAACTGCTAGACATGTCAGAGGTCGCACGCCTCTGGAGCAACGAGGGGTTAAGAGTCTTGCTCAGGGACACATTGGTGGATCGCACACGGTCATGTGACCTGCAGCTAATCAGGAAGTGATAAAAGGTTTGCTAGTCTCAGGGGAGAGTCTTTTGCTTTCCACTGAGCACACTTTGTGGGGTAAACAAATAGTGTTAAAATCTTGTCCTGTCACACCCTTAATAAAAAACCTTAAAGGTCCTGTAGGAGCCAAATGTAGATGTGTTGCTCTGATATTACCTGGGGTCACGGTTATAAAGGTGACATCCAAACCGTTGGGAGCAGGTGCCAATGCAGTCTTGTATGTATATGGAGTATATGGTTTTGCCATTGAAACTGGATAAAGGGACATTTCACTCTGCACGGTAAAGCAATATTAATCAGCAACACAACAAAGCCTTGAGATTCTTAAGAACAATACAGAACACTAACACAATAACCAAAGGACAGCGCGTCAGCCAGGGCACTCCTGGGCTAAACCACCTCGGTAGCCATCAGTATTATACAGGTTTTTATTACCTCAGAATGAGCCATTTATATTGACCTAACCGCGGGCGCCCCCGCCATGTTTCTACAGTTACTGAAAATGGACAAACTGCAGCACGTGCGCTACAGAGCACGGTTCATCACTACGTTGTTGTTCTTGTTCTTCTTATTGTACAATTCATGTAAATCCTGCCTTAAAGGTTCAGTGTATAATTCTTCTGAGGATCTGTTGACAGAAATGCAATATAAGATCCATAACTATGTTTTCAGTGGTGGATAAAGACCTCACATGATGAACCGTTATGTTTTTATTACTTTAGAATGAGACTTTTTTATCTACATAACCGCGGCCACCCCCGCCACGGACATCATCATGTTTCTACAGTAGCCGACAACGGACAAACGGCGCTACAGAGCGCGTTTCATCATCACAGCGTTCTTCTTCTGCTTGTATATTTCCAGCAGTGCAGACACCCGTCACTACACTGAGTACGTAATAATAATAAGAAGAAGAAGAGGAAATAATAATAACATTAATATGCAGTCTCTGAGTAGTCTTCTGGTTTATTATAAGTAAGAAGAGAAGTGACATTTGGACAAATGAACGAGCACACGTGTTATTTAGCACGAGAGCCGACAGCCTGTGGATCTTTATACCATGAAGCCAGATGGAGTCGGGACAGATACAAACAGCTGACGGCAGAAATCACGGATGCTGTGATGATGAGCGATGCCAATGAAAGCTGCTGTTTGATAGCTTTAGCTTGAAGCTGGCCATGATCACCGGGAGACGTGAGGAGTTTCTCCTGTCAGTGGTGGGAAATATGTAGTTGGATTAATTTCTTACTTATTCTCCAGCCTGCGGGTTGGCTTTGCAGGTTACTTAGAGAGAGAATCAGCTGATCAGTAACATAACTGACAATAAAACCATAACGTTAGCTTAGAGCATGGCCAGCTAAACTTTTACTGCCCCGGTAGAAAAATCTTATAAGGTTAGTTGGATTGGTTTATTCTACAGCGCTGTGCTTTGGGTTGTGGTGTAAAATATGTATTTGGATTAATTTCATGTACTGACTCTCTCTCTCCAATGCTCTGATTTGGCTTTGTCGGTTATGTTCTTGAGACAATCAGCTGATCATGACGCTCAGATCAGCCAGCGCTCTGTTTTGGTTTTGTCACGTGGACAGAAACTCACCTTTGTGAGTCAAACAGCTGATGAATATTATTTAACAGCAGGGAAGCTCAGATCAGCAGCTAAACTTGACATTTTACTGCCCTGGTGATTCATAATAAGACCGTGTGCCTATCAAGTGACCAATAAAGAATACTAAAAATAAGAAAATTGCTTCGCCACTATGCACACCAATGTGTAATTTGTACTTTCACATGCTAAATGCTCATTAAAAACGTTGCACCGTTTTACCACAAGCTGAAATTATGGCTGTCAGTACTACTTTGTATTTCAAAGAATTTAAAAAACATTTTGGTAAGATTTGCAGATTGCTTATCTAAGATCCTCACCAGCCAATGCCTGTGTAAACTTCATGTGTTTTTTAATGGGCTGTGGTGCAGAAGCGGCGAGGCTTAGATTGTCCTGGTATCTGTCAGTGGTCACACTCGATGCACTAGATGTGATAGTGTTTGAGAATTTCTTCATTTACTTTGGTGTGTTAGTCCAGATGCGCCAACACTCCCAAGATGTAAAATACAGTATATGACATCATGTAGCACTTCATTTCTTCATGTGGCTGCTGTCTATTAATGACCTGATTTCTTGGCTGGCAACTCTCTGCTATCTCACAGAGGACGTCTTTGTCCTGTCTGAGGCACCGTAGCTATACTACTCGCCTGGATGGGGGTGCAATTCGCAACCCTCAACCCTAGATGTCACTTAAACTTGCACACTTAACCTTTAACAACCCTGACTCCCTCAACCCTCTCATCTTACTGCTCAGCTCGGAAGAGTTATCTCCTCTTCCATGACCAGCACAACATAACCTTCCCGTTCTCGTTACATGACCATTTTTGTTGCCTACACCCCTTCCGTGATGGCTATCAAACACGTACCATCGGAAGTTACCGTAGCGGTATGCCTCGCTTCCAACCATCCAAAGAACTTTATTTCTCAGAGCCGTCAGTCTGCATCCGAACCATCCGCTCCGGATATACTTTCCCTCATGTTGCTCGAACCTCCAAATTTATTTCGTCACCTCTGCCCTTCACTGCGACCCATGCCATCACGTCTGCATTTCAGACTACAGATGTAAAACCTAATTAAACTTTCTCCTTTCGTTCACTCTTCACACTCCTTCAGCTGCTTCTTCACAGAAAGTTAAGCCAGCAGTGCAGTTCAGCTTCAGCTTCCCGGCATTCACACCATCATTTCTTCAGAATCTGCCTTCTCTAGTTTTATGTCGCCGTTGTTTTCCACCACAGCTGCTTGTTGATTGACAGATCATCACTGCAGCTGTTTGGGTCTCTTTATGTCGACAGCATTTTAGGTGCATCAAAATCAATCATGCACGTTGAGTTCAGGTTTTCTGTGGGTCTGTTTCAGATGTGTGACCCCTAAAGACCTCTAGGCAGCAGCTGGGAGCAAACAGGGAGAGACTGGAGGAGCCAAACTATTCACAGCTGTAAACTGGTCATAACGTTTTAAATGGGTTCTAACAGACACAGGAAGCTGATGCAAACATGCTGAACTGAGTGTGATGCTGGTCTCTTTGACTGGTTTTGGTCTTTGACTCTGGCTGCTGCACTTTGAACGAGCTGAAACATGGATTCATGGACTGAAAAGTCAGTCCAAGATCGATGACACACTGAGCACACACTGACTGGACTGATTCAGGGCCGGCTGGGGACAGGCTGGGAGCAGGCCAGGGGCCGTTATAAAACATCCTGCTTCCCTCCTCTTGCTGTTTGTTTTCTTATCTCAGAGCAGGATGATTGTTGTGAAGCGAGTGCTGCTGCTGCTGCTGCTGGCGGCGATCGGCTCCGACGCACGGCCGGGCCCCGAAGACTGTGGCAGTCTGAGCAAAAGGCTGCCAACTAAAGACCTGCACAAGGTGAGTCTGTTTCTGACAGACATGTCCTCAGTGATACTTTTATCTCTGACTCTGATCTGTCCTCCTGCAGATCTTCGGGGACTGGGTCCTGGTCTGGTCTGTCTCTGATCGTCAGCATGGCTGGGACGTGCTGATGAACCTCTCCAGCTCCCACGTTGAGCTCAAACTCCTCCCTGACAACAAAACCATCGTATACAACGAGAGGAACATGCTCCCGTGAGTGCTTTCATTATAAAGGATTTAAACAGTGGTTTAAGTTTCAGTCAGTCGGCTGCTGGGTTCATATTTAACGTACAGACGTGAAAGTGGTTTCAATGTGTCGGCTAGAAAATAAATAAGCTTTATTTCCCTTCAAATTGGATAATGTGATCATACCTCTGTCTTCCCTCACCGAGGGATGAGAGGCCTGAAGAAGTCCGACTGTAAAGCTCATGTCTGGGGACTCCAGGTCTGTGAGCCGATGGGAAGAAAATAGAGAACCGATACGTGACTCTTCTGTTAGCTGTACAAGACTTTAAGTAGTACTATTAACAAAATGTCTTTTGTCTGGTAGAAAATTAGCTAAATATTCTCCCTTTTGTGTCTGTAAGTTTTTATTTAGCTAAATAGCAGCTTTTATAAACATAAGCCAGAAGGATTTGGAAGGAAGTGTTTGCTTTTCTACCACTGTGGCAGCACAGAGCGGCACATCTCATGTACGGGGACTCGACTCTCTTCCAATTGGCTCACAGACCTGAATGTCCCTGAGGTCTGTTTGTCTTAGAAGAACTGGCCTCAGATAATAGAGAGCACAAGTTCCTCCCTGACCCTTCTTCTCTAACTGTGTTGTGTCATTTTCAGTGATAAGCCGTGCACTACGTACTTTTCCAACTTGACGATGCCCTCTGACCTGTCCGACTCTGAGAACTACACACTGCACATCAGCGCCGCCTGTGAGTCACATCTGTCTTTCTATATAAGTGCCGTCATTCACATAACGCATTCCTGGTAGCACTTTATAATAACTACACACTATAAAGCATTAGTTAAGTATTAGTAATTACGGAATTCATCGTTTATAAAGCATTGCTCATACATTAATACACATTAGTAATTCATTCATAAACACAGTTATAAATGTTTTATTCTTTATTATCTACACACTATGAAGCAGTTGTTAAGTATTAGTATATTTTTTGTTAATCATTTATAAACCATTGTTCTTACATTAATACACATTAGTAAGTACTTTGTAAACATAGTTATACATGTTGTATTCTTTATTAATAAGATCATATATAAATATATATATATATATGTATATGATCGTTTCACTATTTATCAATGTTTTATTTTAATTACAAACCAGTTGTTAATGGTTCATAAGATCATTTGGAAAGTTTAAGAATTATTGCATCATGGCCTGTTTTATTTTTTTATACTTTCCCGAGGAAGAATATAAACAATCTCAGCAGAACTTGTAAATCTGCGAGTGGCAAAACTCAAAGGATGCTAGTGAGTGTGTTAATAAGTATTTTCCCTCTAATGTAAGGACTATATAGGCCAAACAAAGCCTTAGATTGAAAAAAAAAAGTTTCAGTTAGCAACAATGGATACGCAACGTCCGATTAGACTTTTAAAATAAAAAAACGTTTAGAAAAGGAACGTTACTTGCGCTCCATACGCAAAAGAATAAAAAAACTCTATATTGACATTTTTTCACAGTGAACAAGTGAAAGTCCGGTTGTACTGGTCAAGCCGCCCATCTCAACCATGTCTCCTTAGCATAGACTGTGGCCCACATAAAAATACGGGCCTTCGCTATTTTGACCCTCGGCGCATCCAGTAATCTCTCACTTTAGCGCTAGTGATGGCAAGTTCGACTCTTTTGACAGACTCGTTCAGTCAAATCTCGTTCATTAAAATGAACTAATCTTTTTTTTGAGTTATTTCGTTCATTTGAACTAGGCTGGTTATTGTGGCGCTGCAGCCCTCTAGTGGGTGATTAAAAAACAGCGCCGTTATCAAACACAGAAGGCTTGCTTTATTTGACAAAGTATAATGCACAAATTCACCTCTTGATCACTCTCTATCATCATTATATAAACCCCCCTGGGCCCACAACCAAATTCAAACCATGTAAAAACCACAGAAATATGTTGTCAATATGTAATCACCACTACTCCGGCTAAATCCTTCCATTTTCACAATCTTTCCCGAGTAGTATACAACCAGACCAGCCATATAAAGGCTTCTGTATATAATTACTATCATTATCTCTAAAGTGCTCATTCATACAGCAGCCTAACGTCCCTATCCATGAGTAAAATATTACTATCAGATGTGCGTACATAGAAGTAATAAGCTTGATACACTATATGAATAAACACACTCTTATTAAAATTCAGCCAATTTAATAATAATCTTTATTTTTTATTATTTGTAGAGCACTTTTCAAAAACATGTTACAAAGTGCTTTAACAAGTGAAAAGACAATAATACCCAAAAGACAATCATACAAAGATAGAAGATAAAAGCAAGAAAACATTGAACAGACTAAAATACACGTTTAAGATAAATATAAAATTAGTTTTCAGTCGAGACTCTGGAACAGACAACAGACCTCTGCCCGAGGATCTCAAGGTGCGTGCTGGTGCGTATGGGACTAAAAGGTCAGAAATATAACAAGGCGAGAGGCCATGAAGAGCTTTAAAAGTGATCAATAGAATTTTAAAGTCAATTCTAAAACATACTGGGAGCCAGTGTAATGAAGCTAAAATAGGAGTAATGTGGTCATATTTCTTTGTTCTGGTTAAAAGCCTGGCAGCTGAGTTCTGGACAGTCTGGAGTCGATCAATAGATTTTTGGGTTAAACAGGTGAAAAGGCTGTTGCAATAATCCAGGCGTGATGAGATGAAGGCGTGTAAAATGGTCTCGGTGTCCTTAAAAGTTAACATAGATCGAATTTTTGCTATATTTCTAAGTTGATAAAAACATGATTGAACAAGCTTTGTGGTGTGCTGCTCGAAATTTAAATTACTATCAAACCAAACACCAAGGTTCTTTGCCACAGGCTTAATGTGATTTACTAGGGAACCAGCAGATGGCAGTATTTGATTTGCCATCTGCTGGGACCCGATGACCAGGATTTCTGTTTTGTCTGAGTTCAGCTGGAGGAAATTATTTGACATCCATTTTTTAACTTTACAAAGGCAGTTGTTAAGTGAACTCAGCATTCCAGGGTCTGTGGATCTGACGGGCAGGTATATTTGTGTGTCATCAGCATAAATATGACAAGAAATGCCATGTTTATGGATAATATGTCCAAGGGGAAGCAGATACAAGGAGAACAAAATGGGTCCTAAGACCGACCCCTGAGGCACACCATATTTAACTGGACAGAACGAAAAGACATAGTTGTTTACAGACACGCAAAACTTCCTATTTGACAGGTAGGATGAAAACCATTCTAGGGCAGTACCAGAGATCCCCACCCAGTGCCTCAGTCTGTCTAACATGATGTTGTGATCAATGGTGTCAAAAGCAGCGCTAAGGTCCAGGAGTACCAGGACTGAGCACATGCCTTCATCAGCAGACATTAAAAGGTCTGTCTCTGCTATTCTGACCGGGAAAGCTGAGTGCGTAAAGTAGTTTTTCTTGCGTCCTGTCATTAGACCGTTCTCACTCCCAAATCCTCACATGTATGGGCGCTTGGTCAGGACCCCTTGGCGTAGCTTTTTAAAGGGAACCCTTTAGCGTTGTTTATGGACGTGTAGGGCTCCGCAGTGAAGTTAGCAACAATAAATATGCAATGTCCCATTAGACTTTCAAAATAAAACTAGGTTAAGGCTGTGAAACGTCGCAATTTGGTTAGGTTTGGGTAACAAAACCACTTGGTTAGGTTTAGGAAATGATCATGGTTTTGGTGAAAATAAGTTTGTTACTTATGTGACTTAAATTATGAAAGTTAAGTAACATTACTTAACTTACGTACCATCATTAAAAAAGTCATTGTTATTGACTTTTTTGTACATTATGCACTCATTTTTGGATCAATTGCCACCAAAATAATTGACAATACACCCCAAACCAGCAGAATGATGCAGGATTTTATTAGAATTTTCTCACCAACATCTTGACTGTTGTAAGCGTTTTAAGTTTAAACTGACAAAACTACCTGGGCCCTCGTGTATAAACAAAAAGGTTACATTCGCTGGTTTTCACACACAGGTGGGATGAATAAAAAGGAACGTGATGTGAGAATGTGCGGGCCCTCCTGACTCTTTTAGTAAACTTCAAAGTGCCAAAACCACCAAATGGTTAAAAATTGCGTTTCCACTGCAGTTACCGTTCATATGTTAATGAAGTAGTCAATCAAAAACCTGTGAATCCACAATAAAAGTTTGATCATGTCTGTAGTGGTTTAATATCAAAATAAAATTCAATGTGAGAAGAATAGATCATGATGCCTCTCACATATTTAATTTCACTTCATATCACACGTTATCACTTTATCATTTAAACATTCAAACCAGCAGTGTTATTTGTGCTCGCGCTGGTGAGCCATAACTATTCCATACTGCACCTTTCAGTTGTAAAAGAAATAAAATGAGCCCCCGGAGCGCAGCGGAGAGGGTCAGAGTGTAGCCACGGACACGTATGGTCAGCTGTGGACCTGCCAGCTAAAGCCAGGATAATGTCAGGTGTCATCGTAGAAATCCGAGATAACAACAAACAGCATTAAAGAACTGCAGAAGGGAACGTCAGTCGTTTTTAATAATATCCTCTGTGTATATATCACCTTTAGGTTTTTAGTTTTCGTGTGTAAAATAGCTGTGGTGAACAGACTGTGCTGTCAGGCGCACAAACAGAACTGCATTCTCACCTCGACTCACCCGGCACATCTTCACCACCTGCACATGTGGACCGTGTAGATTAACAATGTCTGGAAATAAAGCAGGACGGCTCTCACACAATCACTACTCTCCATCCTCATCATCAGTCCTCATGATGCAGCCAAACACAACAAAACCGACATTATAAATGTCAATCTTCAAATGACATCCCAGGGTGGACTGACCATCACCCTGGCGAGGTGTGAAGCCGACTCCGTATGACTGCTGTAAACGTATGAAAACTGCGTGACACTGGTGCGTAACGCTGCACGGCTGCACTATGGCACAGCAGAGGACAACGCGAGAGGAAGGATCAGAGAGTTCCATGAAGATTTCCTGGCCAATGATGATGACTGGCTAATACTTCGATTTAGATTCCCTAGAGTCGTGGTCTCGGATCTGTGTGCTGAACTCGGTCCTGCATTAGACAGACCAGCCTGGCGACCAATTCTGTTAAACTCTCTGAATCTTCTTTTGTTTGTGAACGAGCTGCATCAAACAACATGTCGGCTACTTTCTTCTAACTTCAACATCACAAGCACCTCCATTTCTGTATCAGAAAAACTCTTCCTCTTTTTTGACATCCACTTTATGTCAGTCTCGCCTGCACTTCAGTGATCAGCACCTCGATCTCACACTCAGCGTAGTTTCTCTTTGTCATGTGTTTTGCAGCAGGATCGGCCGTTGTTATTTGGACCTTAGGAGGTGACGTTGGTGTATTTCTGGTCATTTGCATAGTAATTTATGGGAGAAGCCAAGGCGGAGTATGTGTCTCGTGCATGTGCGCTCAATTTCACGTTGACTGGGATGTATAAAGGCAGGACCTGGCGTACGCCTGGTTTTGTGCATGTGGAGATTTCTGTGCGTACGTACTTTTTAAATTCTGAGAGTACGCCATCTTTCAGTATGAAAGCTGCGCAGTCTTTTATACATGAGCCCCCAGGTCTGGCACATGTGACCTCACTACCTCTACTTGTGAGAAAGTGTGCAAAAACAGCCTCTCACCAGCAGCTCAGTCAGTCACTCACCTACTCGGGAGATCTGAAGTTCCCAGGTTCTCATCCCCAGGTGACCCAGTCAGGCTTGCTGGTAGTCGGGTTTTCAGATCAAAGCGAGTCTAAGTTCTCTATTTTATCTGGATCCCGTGACACTTTCTTCTTATTTTTCTCTGCTTAAAAGTGTTTGTGCAGCTTAAACTTCAAACCTTGGAAACGCAATGTTGCAGGTGGGTTGAACATGTCACCCAGTAGTCAGGACGCTCTCTGATCTCAAGGTGATGCTTTAAAACTCAAGTTTGTTTTTCCACAATTTCTTTCATCACTTTAATCTCTCAAGTCATCAAATATATAATTTTTCGCAACTCGCTCGCAGCTATATTGTATTGCTGTTATTGTTGTTACTGATAGTTGTGACTTCCTGTGTGTGTGTGTGTTTTAGTGTTGGAGACAGACGGAGTTGTTCGTCCGTACGACAACTCAGGCACAGTGGAGTTCTATGAGACCTGCCCCGACTGTCTGGTGTTGGTCTACAGAGACACCAGGATCCAGTTCCTGCTCATCTACAGTAAACTCACAACACACACTCTTTACATTAGATTCAACGTTTTGGAAAATAAACTTCTGTGTGAGGATTCTCTCTTTCTGCCAGTTTAATTTAATTAACATAATAAACTCATGACATGTATGTTGTGTGTGTGAATCAGGAAGGGAGGGGCAGCATCGGGATGTTGAGCAGCAGAAAGCGGCCCACAGCGATCATCACGAACTGGCCGAGTGTCTGGGATTTCCTCAAGACAAACCGTTCATCTACGACGGAGCCGCAGGTCAGTTTGTGTGAAAGAGCTCTGGTCGTGGAGCGCACCGGTTCTGGGTTTGAATGTGGGTTCAAGTTCACGCAGCTCAGGTGAACCAGAGACTCTAAATACACTGGAGAGCAGACCAGGACTCCTCACCATGTGCACGCTTGTAGACTTCAACCTCCAGCAAAGTCAGACCTCTGTTTTCATAGATTCAAACAAGGCTGCTGCCCTTTGATGGATCTTTACCTTGTTCCTGAACAATGGACCAATCAGAGTTTAGTTGTCAGGATCAAGAATCAGGACGCCTTCTAGCTACATTCACTTCTTCTGGTCATAATAAGAAACATTTCATTTGTGTTGTAAGCATGAGGTCTTTGTAGATGTCTGTGTGTCTTCACTCTGTCTTCACCAGCGTTCACTTTGTCATGTATTTTCTGTTCAATAAAGAACAAAACCTAGAAAAAGCTACATTCATGAAAAACAGTGAGCTGTTTGCAGCTTGCAGAAATAACAACTCTAAAACTGTTAACTGCTCCTTACAACCTCTAAAACAGCTTCAGTCAACTTCATCAAAGACTTTATTTGCTATTTTTGCTTCCAGTATTTATGTTTGGTGATGTGGCTCTGTTTCGGCTGGGAGAGCACCACCCTGCCCATCCATGTGCAAACATGGATGGGCAGGGTGGTGTCCACTGAAAATAACATCAGCTGGACATCTGTCACTGCTGATTGGTCAGAGCAAAATAACCCCTTTCCCATTGGTACAATAATCTGTACTTGTATAGCGAGTCTCTCTGACGTGCTTCACACTAAATGTCACATTCACCCGTTCATACACTGATGGCATAGTCTGCCATTTCAGCGGCCATTTCGGAAAGAAACTAATCATTCACACACTCTCGCAACTTAATTTACTTCTGCTAAGATGACATTTAATATCACGAAACAGGGGAAACTGCTCTGATACTTTATACATAAGTATGTTAGGTCAAATCAGTGCGTACTGCTAGTATTGTAGGCGGTTTCAAATACAGCCCATGTTTGCAGTTTGTAATCTGATGACATCACCATGACATCATCAGGCTAAGATGACATCTTACATCTGTTATCAACAGACTGACGAGGACTAACCACGACCAGTAAACTCATCTTAGTGCACAGTTAGTGTTAATGTGAAAAATATTATGGGAAATAAATGAATAAGGTCAAATATTTTAAACATATAAATGATTCTCCTCTTGTCTCCTCACAGATTTTTGTCATAAGAAATCTTCTCCAGCGGTGGAGCCTGAACAGTCCTGAGGGAAGATGTTGGAACAAACAAAAGTGTCAACGTATATCAGAGATGTCGTTCACAAATAAAAGAAAAGCTAAAACTAAAGCCTGGGTGTTTCTTTTTCAAAGGGCTTTAAATAAAAATGTTTTTCTTATCTCAGATTATTTCAACTTTAGTCAAACCATCTTTGGTTCCTCTTGCTGGTATTAATTAGTGCTGTCCAGCAGAGGTTCAGGAGCAGGACCAGCTCGATCACGCCACATCCAGCTTTCCTATAAAAACCCTTTTAACCCATCTTCCCCTTTGCTAACGATACTACTTCTGAGTTTGGACTTTGGCTGCGTCTTTTCAGCTCAGGAAGGTTCTGACTGAGTGAAGTGACCCGGAAGTGTTTCAGCGGCAGCCGTGATAAAAGCTGAGGAAAGGTGCCTCAATGCTTCCTCTCAGATCTCCTTTAGCATAGGGCACACCGCACCATCCTTTACCAAAGGAAAGGAGAGAACGCCGTCCCACAATCCGTCCTTGCAGTGGCAACGTTTAAAGCGACGCACTTTCTCAAACTCAAACAATAAAACCCATCGACCACATTTAGCAAAATCCTTGCAATACAGATGCACATTATGATTCTCATTAAGACTCTCACAATTTCCTTCTTTCTTTGGTTTGCTTTATTTTGGCTTTGCTGTATTCTGATGCTGTTTCACACTGTTTTATGTTTCACAATAAAAAAAAGAAATCACCAACCATGCTGGATAAATGATGTTGATCACATGTAGGCTAAGTTACCACTGGCTATTAAGCCTTTTCTCTCTTATGCCACAACTTGCTAATATGCAAATATCTTAAACTGTCAACAATAACTGAGACCCACGGCAGCTGTGTTACTGGTCTTGTAACGTGATCAAAGTGAGGATAATGTTGCAGCGTGTAGCCTCACGTTATGTATTTCCAGCCTAAGTCGAGAGCCAGCCCAAAATCCTCACGACTTCCTCTAAATGCAGACTCTTGCCGTCAGTGTGCATCCACACCGTCCGCTTCGGATATAGTATCCCATTAAACTTTCTCCTTTCGTTGCTTTTACTCTTCATACTCTTTCAGCTGCTTCTTCACACAAAGTTGAGCCAGCAATGCAGTTCAGCTTCAGCTTCCCAGCATTCACACCATCATTAAAAATGGGTTCTAACAGACACAGGAAGCTGATGCAAACATGCTGAACTGAGTGTGATGCTGGTCTCTTTGACTGGTTTTGGTCTTTGACTCTGGCTGCTGCACTTTGAACGAGCTGAAACATGGATTCATGGACTGCAGTGATCCCGTCTTCTCTGAACCTTCTTACACAAATAAACAGGAAACTGAAAACAAACAGACCTGGAAGGGAAACAAAGGGTCAATCCGAGCTCGATGACACACTGAGCACACACACTTTGGACTGATTCAGGGCCGCTTGAGGACAGGCTGGGGGCCGTTATAAAACATCCTGCTTCCCTCCTCTTGCTGTTTGTTTTCTTATCTCAGAGCAGGATGATTGTTGTGAAGCGAGTGCTGCTGCTGCTGCTGCTGGCGGCGATCGGCTCCGACGCACGGCCGGGCCCCGAAGACTGTGACAGTCTGAGCAAAAGGCTGCCAACTAAAGACCTGCACAAGGTGAGTCTGTTTCTGGTCAGCAGGCGATTGATCTTTCTTTTCACAGCCAAATCATTTAGTGAATGTCTGAACCACAGATGCTTCTGTCTGGACCAAAGTGGAGGACACTTTTGGAGGGTACTTTTAGCTCTGACTCTGACCTGTCCTGCAGATTTTCGGGGACTGGGTCTTGGTCTGGACCGTCTCTGATAGTCAACACGGCTCGGACATGCTGGTGAACCTCTCCAGCTCCCACATCGAGTTCAAACTCCTCCCTGACAACAAAACCATCATGTACAACGAGAGGAACATGTTCCTGTGAGTGCTTTCAATAGAAAGGATTTACATAGTGGTTTTAGTTTCAGTCAGTCGGCTGCTGGCTCCGGGTTAAGACGTGAAAGTGGTTTCAATCTGAACATCTGATTTTCGGCAAGAAAACAAATCAGCCTAATTTTTCCTTTCAAGTGAATAATGTGATCATACCCGTCCTCTACCAAGAGATGAGAAGATGGCCTGAAGAAGTCCAACTGGAAACGTCACGTCTGGGCAGGTCTGCGAGCCAATGGGAAGAAAATAGAGGCCCAATTTGTGACAATTCTGTTTGCTGCGCAATAATTTAAGTAGTAGCCTACTATTAACAAAATGTCTCTTGTCATTTAGATTTTTATTTCACTTACAGCAGCCGTTTTACACAGAAGCTACTCTTCACTTCTCATTCTGAGACAATGGGATTTCAGTTTAACCATGAAAGTGTTTCCTTTTATACTTTTGTGGCAGAAAATGGAGTGACATATCTCATGTACGGGGACTCAACTTTCTTCCCATTGGCTCAAAGTCTCCGGACCTGAGGTCTGTTTGGACCCTCTTAGAAGAACTGACCTTGAATAATTATATTTACATTTTATTCATTTAGCTGACGCTTTTATCCAAAGCGACTTACAGCTGCTGTACATGTCAGAGGTCACAGCCTCTGGAGCAGCGAGGGGTTAAGTGTCTTGCTCAGGGACACAGTGGTTGATGTGTTACAGTGGGGATTGAACCCGGGTCTCTCACACACCAAAGACATGTGTCTTAACCACTGCTCCATCACCACCCATATTAATAATTATAATAGATAATATTGATGAGATATGATCTTCAGAGGTGTTGGGCTCAATATTCATCTAAATTCTTACAGTCTTCTTGGTTTTTTGTTGGGTTAGATGCACACAAGAGTTCTGATATACAAACATGTAGAGAGCACAAGTTCCTCCCCTGACCCTTTCAAACTTTCTAGACCTAAATTATCTTTAAACATCATGTCTGTAATTCAGAACACAATTCTAACAAGGTAAAACCAGGTGTTGTCTCCTGCTGTGGACTGCCATACATATTTTTTCCAAAATAAGGTCTCATGGGGCAGAAGGGAGGGACTTCTGCTCTCTGGAAGAGTCCCAGCCATGAACAGCGGGACGATGTGTCTGACGGTCGTAGACTCAGCAGGTTGTTGTGTCTTCATGTTCTCTAACTGCTTTGTGTTGTGTCATTTTCAGTGATAAGACATGCTCTAAGTACTTTTTCAACTTGTCGATGCCCTCTGACCCGTCCGACTCTGAGAACTACACACTGTACAGCGGCGTGGGCAGTGAGTCACATCAACACAGACATCTGCCAACTCTAACATAAACCAGATCTGATTCTTTTATGTGGATGTCAAGATGAAAATCAACATAAAATGTATTTGTGAAATTTGTGATATAGAACATTGACTGGGAAAGCTGAGTTTGTCAAGTAGTTCTTTCTGCATCCAGCTCTGTCATTACAAGTGACGGTGCAACACATTCTCATTCTCAACTCGTCAACTATGGGAGCTTGGTTCAGAGCCCTTGGCGCCCTGGGTACCCTTTAGTGTCTTTTTTGCACATTTAGGGCTCCGTTGCCAATATGTCAAGAATAAATATGCAACGTCCTGTTACACTTTCAAAATAAAACCAGTGGTTAGGTTTGTGAAACATAACAATTTGGTCAAGTTTAGGTACCAAAACCACTGGGTTAGGTTTGGGAAAAAATCATGGTTTGGGTTAAAATAACTACGTTACATAAAGAGGAGGTATTCTGCTCATCATCTTATTTAGAGTTTGTACCAGAGCAGGTTTACATGGGTATATTTTTGTCATACTGCACATTGCTGCAGCTCCTCTTTTCAGCCTGTGTTGAAGGCTTCGTTTTAGCTATGGAGTGATACATCTTGTCTCTAAATGATCTTTGTTGGGAGTTGCACATGCTCAGTTCCTAGTTAAGGACTACTAGCCAATCAGAAGCAGAGAAGGGCGGGTCGGCGAGAAGCCGGTAAACAGCTCGGGTTCAGCCGTACGTGTTGCCGACCAGCTTGGCAACATGGACTGTGGCGAGAGTTTCAGAGCGGTGAGTTATTAATCTGTATCCATAAAGCTGTTTCTGAGGGCGTGTTGGAGTAGCCACTTGGCGAGCGTTATGTGAGGCGCGTTTAGCAGAGCAGAGTTTTCTGTGGGAGATGGAAACTCCCTTTGGGCTTTTTCACTTTGCAAACCTGTTACATGCACAAAAAAAGATATAAAGCTCAGTAAAGGAGAGAGAAAAGTCCAAAAGCACACTATGACCTCTTTAATTACATAAGTTAGGTAATGCAACTTACCTGACGTACCACCACTATAAAGATTCAATGTTGACTTTTTGTGTTACAGAGGAAATGAACACCGGTTTCTGACCTACTCGTCCACTCCAACCACCTCCTTACTTTGACTTTTCCGTTGAACTATCATGCTAAAGGCTGTCGTTGGTACCAGACACCAAAGGATGTGACAAAGCTTATTGACGTCCTGGGAATGAGAACGGGTTGAACAGTGACGAAGTTGGAGGAGAGTAAGAGCTACAGGCTACTTCAGCTTGGATTAGTAGTTTCCTCCTCTGGATAGACAGGAGACACGCTCTATATGCTCAAAAACAAAACTTCCTTGTTCTCTTCTCTTGTATTTCAAACTAGCTTTGTTTCCAACAGCAAAAATTGCATCTCAAAATGTGAGAGCAGAGGATGTGGCCGGCAGAACCTGAACCGCCTGAACACCGACTGGTCAGATTGCCAACAGAAACTGAATCATTCTGCTGCGATGAACTGCAGTATGGGCAGTTTTTGTTGGATGCTGTTGTCGACGCCAACGCAGAGAGAGCCGAGTGTGATGATATTGTGATATTGTTATTGTCGTTACTGATAATGGTGACATGTTTTTGTGTGTGTGATAGCGCTGGAGAAGGACGGAGTTGTTCATCTGTACAACCAATCAGGCAGAGCGGATTTCTATGAGAGCGGCTCCGACTATCTGGTGTTTGTATTCAGAGACACCAGGGTCCAGTTCCTGCTCATCTACAGTAAACTCACACACTCAAATTACTGTATTTACATTAGATTCAATGTTTTGGAAAATAAACTTCTGCGTGAGGATTCTCTCTTTCTGCCAGTTTAATTTAATTAACATAATAAACTCATGACATGTATGTTTTGTGTGTGTGTGAATCAGGAAGGGAGGGGCAGCATCGGGATGTTGAGCAGCTGAAAGCGGCCCACGGCGATCATCACGAACTAGCCGAGTGTCTGGGATTTCCTCAAGACAAACCGTTCAGCTACGACGGAGCCGCAGGTCAGTTTGCGTGAACGAGCTCTGGTCGTGGAGCGCACCGGTTCTGGGTTTGAATGTGGGTTCAAGTTCACGCAGCTCAGGTGAACCAGAGACTCTAAATACTCTGACGATGGATGGATCTTTACCTTGTTCCTGAACAATGGACTAATCAGAGTTTAGTTGTCAGGATCAAGAATCAGGACGCCTTCTAGCTACATTCACTTCTTCTGCTCATAATAAGAAACATTTCATTTGTGTTGTAAGCATGAGGTCTTTGTAGATGTCTGTGTGTCTTCACTCTGTCTTCACCAGCGTTCACTTTGTCATGTATTTTCTGTTCAATAAAGAACAAAACCTAGAAAAAGCTACATTCATGAAAAACAGTGAGCTGTCTGCAGCTTGCAGAAATAACAACTCTAAAACTGTTAACTGCTCCTTACAACCTCTAAAACAGCTTCAGTCAACTTCATCAAAGACTTTATTTGCTATTTTTGCTTCCAGTATTTATGTTTGGTGATGTGGCTCTGTTTCGGCTGGGAGAGCACCACCCTGCCCATCCATGTGCAAACATGAATGGGCAGGGTGGTGTCCACTGAAAATAACATCAGCTGGACATCTGTCACTGCTGATTGGTCAGAGCAAAATAACCCCTTTCCCATTGGTACAATAATCTGTACTTGTATAGCGAGTCTCTCTGACGTGCTTCACACTAAATGTCACATTCACCCGTTCATACGCTGATGGCATAGTCTGCCATTTCAGCGGCCATTTCGGAAAGAAACTAATCATTCACACACTCTCGCAACTTAATTTACTTCTGCTAAGATGACATTTAATATCACGAAACAGGGGAAACTGCTCTGATACTCTTTGCATACTTTATACATAAGTATGTTAGGTCAAAATTAGTGCGTACTGCTAGTATTGTAGGCGGTTTCAAATACAGCCCATGTTTGCAGTTTGTAATCTGATGACATCACCATGACATCATCAGGCTAAGATGACATCTTACATCTGTTATCAACAGACTGACGAGGACTAACCACGACCAGTAAACTCATCTTAGTGCACAGTTAGTGTTAATGTGAAAAATATTATGGGAAATAAATGAATAAGGTCAAATATTTTAAACATATAAATGATTCTCCTCTTGTCTCCTCACAGATTTTTGTCATAAGAAATCTTCTCCAGCGGTGGAGCCTGAACAGTCCTGAGGGAAGATGTTGGAACAAACAAAAGTGTCAACGTATATCAGAGATGTCGTTCACAAATAAAAGAAAAGCTAAAACTAAAACCTGGGTGTTTCTTTTTCAAAGGGCTTTAAATAAAAATGTTTTTCTTATCTCAGATTATTTCAACTTTAATCAAACCATCTTTGGTTCCTCTTGCTGGTATTAATTAGAGCTATCAAGCACACTTTAATGCACATTTATTCCTCTTGCCTTCATTATGGAAGTGCCTTGACAAACTCTTAAAACTGAAGACTCCTGGCTGTTGTTAACAATTTGTTTAAAGTAAACAGAGAAATATTTCTACAAAATGGTACAATACAGTATATGTTTTCTGTTTAGAATGGAGTGAATGTGAAGATTTTCCTGGACTGATGATAGATTTTAGGCCAGAATTATTATCCCAGTCCGCCCCTGGCTGGCAGTCTAACAAATGTAATGGATGGACAATGACAGATAAATCAGACGAATATGATGTTAAAGAAACACATTTTAATTCTCCTACTCCACTAAGTTACTCCAAGGCTAAAGTTGATTTTAGTCATGGAACTAAAGAGAGATTGGGTGGGACAGTAAAAGCAGAACATACTATAAAGTACAAGAGACCGTTTGAAGAGTGTTTTGCTACAGTGAGGCTTTACACAACAGCTGTGGCAGTCTCTCTACACTGTTTCGACCTGACCTTTCAGTTCTCCGTGAGATGGACGAATTTCTAAATTTGCGTGGCACTGTGGAGAGCCTCCAGCTGTAGTAGTGCATGGATCACGCGTAAAATTCAGCCAGCCAGAGGGAACGATCACCAACCATCCAAAACAGTCATACTAGCGACACAACCCATTGTATGTACCGTAGAGGGAGAGGTGTACAGTATTTGTACTTTGTTACTGTGTCAGTACTGAGCAGCAGTTACAATAAATATATGACTGACAATGTTGAGTGGTATCAGTGGTGTTACTAGGAAATTACAGTTTCCTAAAACATGTTCATGTTTTTCTCTACAGAAGTCCAGCAGCTGTTGGTGATTAAAGAAGAGGTTCCTCCTGAGCAGCAGCAGTGGAGCCACAGGCTGGACCAGGAGGACCCACCAGAGCCCCCACACAATACATGAAGACAGTTCTTTGTAGTACCAGATGTGGAGAACTGGAGCAGTGTTCACATGTTCATGTAACGGTCACGTGGCGCAATAGGTCTTTGCCCGCTCCCTTCGGGGGTGGCTGTCTGGCCCCTGTTGGGGATCTGGGGCCATGGGCTCTGCCTGCACTTGAGGGGGCTGGCCTCTGGCTGCTCTGGGGGGCAGTTGTTGTGAATTATTTTGGAGCATTATAGCCTAAATTGTTATCATTAATTACTAGAGCAATGGTGGTCTACATTGTCATCATCATTTATAGTGTAAAGTTAGGATCACAGTGTGAAAACTCTACAGCTCTGAGTGTGTGTGCTCCTTCCTGCCCAGGCTCAGCAGTAGCACATGTGTGTGAGCAAGCTCGTGTGCTTTGGGAGAAAAGGGAGGGAGCACAGTAAGACAGCATCAAAAACACTTACAAAGGAAAATATAGAAGCAGATTTTGTGAAAATTGTATTACAAAACATACATCAATATAGTCCATCACAGTAAGAATGTCCTGTTTCTAGCACGGAGCACAAACAACACCAGTTTATTCCATAAAAGTCAGGTTATGGATGAAATGGCATGATCAAGCAGAGTGCATGCAGAGGACACAGAGAGGAGGAGCAGGCAGTCAGAGACTTTCCCAGACTCAGGTGCAGCAGGAAAGAGAGCCAAGAGATGATGTAAAGCCAAGAAACAGAGCTATAAAAGGAGGTGAAAGTCAGTCGTTACATGGTTTCATGTGGACTCGGGTCTCTGTTCTGGTAACAGAATGGGGCTCTATTTTGCACCGATCTCTGACTCACTCCGGTGGAACTTTTGTATTCTAATTGGTGTCTGTTTTTGTTGATAATAAAAATGTTGGTAAAAGTTCAAGCTTTCTTATCTGGCCCAAGTCTTTTACACGACATTACTGTCACACCTGGTTCTCCTGTTGCCTTGCTCCCCGGCTGCAGGGGCTTCCGGGCGCCGCTCTCTGCTGTTTTCCCGTGCACATGCTGCTTGGGTTTGCCTGCCTGCCGGTCGGTGTGGCACTGTTGCATTGTGCCACTCTCACGAACAAACTGCATTCTGTGACAGGCGTTTACACACATACATGCATACATGCTGACACAAATTTATTTGTTTTGTTGACTCTGTGCATTTCATTTAGTTATTTATTTTTTAAAAATTCTTTCCTCTCACACTGCTGTGTGGTGTTTATACTCTATATTTTACTTTACTGCTTTTCCTTCTCTTTTTCCCTCAGTCTTCTTTTCAGGCATCCTGTTTCCTGTTGTCCACCTTAGTACCGCGAGCTGATTCTTCAGTTTTACAGTTGTCTTGTAAAAGAATGAAACTTTTTTGATCAAAATTTGATTAAGAATAGAATAAGCAAAGAATAAGTTAATTATTGCAAAGGGGAATAAACAAAGAAGCTTAAAATATATCTCATTGTATAATTTAATTACTGCCTATGTTTATTTATTTACTGTATTTTTTGTGCATTTAATCGGATGCTTATTTATTTATTGAGCATTTATTTATTTCTGTATTTATTTCCTTTATGTCACAATCCATCTTCTATAGGTGACTGTCCAGTAGGTAAGGTCTGCTTCTTTTTCAGTCCATGTAACAACAATATGGCTATTCGTGCCTTATTCCAACAAGATATAGTGTCTATGTCACTTTTTATAGCAACGAGTTTGTCAGTGATCTGTGCTGTAGAGGACGTCCCCATAATACTTATTGACAAGATTAAGGAAGTATCCATTAACATTATTCAGATTGTACACCACAAAGCATTACATTAAGAGGTAAAAAAATCACGTTGATCTTAACTGTACCTTCTGTGGGACTCATATAGAAACGGCATTTCTTTTGGCACTTTTTCCAGGACGTGTTTACAATTTCATGTTGTTTCTGGCTAAATTTCTTATTCACAAATGCAAATGTACAAACATAAAAACCCTATTTATAATCCTTGAGAAAGAAATTTAACTTTATTTTAGAACAATCAGGTCTTTCTGTGATATCTTTCTCTTATTTTTGTTATTATTTTGTTGTTATTTTGAGTTACACGTGTTCTTTGCAATGCTATGTCACTTTTTGTTTTGATATTATTTTCTCCTCGTGTGAAGACGAGGAAAAAAATCCTAATTCACTTCCGGGTCACAGGCAGGAGGACCGTGGAAACAAAACAGAGAAATGAGAAGAGGCCAAAGAGAGAATCATCTAAAGTCCGTTATTGTTCTTCTGTCCTCCGCTTCGACTCTGTTTCATGAGCCAGCGGGTAAGTGAAGCTGTCGAGGAGAAATTTGGACATTTAGAGAAAACAATACCAGAGATGGACCGAGGAGGGAGCTGTTTTACCACCGCGGCTAACATGCTAACCTTTTCTGTGCCACGTAAGTTAAGAAACAGCCGGAGGGACCCACCAGAGTCTGGGTGTGTGGATAAACATGTTTAAACGGACTTTCTGCAGGACTCATCTCCTGTCAGCCAAGAATGCTAACTGATGTTAGCGTAGCTTGCTAGCTGGAAATAGACGGGAGTCGGCCACAGTTCTGGTTGGAGTAACGTCGATAGAGTCCAAACTGTATTTTTCATTTAGTAAAAATGTCCGAGCAGGAACTCCAAAGGTCCAAAGAGGAGAACCAGAGACACAGGAAACTACTGGACGCTGTTTTCCAGCCTGAAGTCCGGTTACACAGAGCAGGTTTGTCCTCTTTACTGCTTATTCTCACTGCAGACTGCTGCAAACCTGCTGCAACTGAAAGAGTTTAATCTGAGTTTTACGGTAATGACAGTGATGATTTCACGCTATTTTGTTCTTTAAACAAACAGCATTACCGTCTATTGGTTTTATTTAATTAATCTCTAACGTTATATCACTGTATATTTTTGGTTCGTTGATAAGACAAAACAAGCCTTTTGAAGACAAACCCTCTGTGTGAAAATGTGATGGGCATTTGTCACCATGTTTTGGGGAAATAATCTGTAGCTAGATATGATCACAGTCAATTTTTGGCATTTCTGTTCTGACGAAATGCAAAGGCACAATATACTTGTAGTTTAGCTTGAATGACTTCCAAACATGTTACAGAAAATGTCCAAAGTTTCTCCCCATGTTTCAGAAAGTAGTGGTATCAGTGGTTTAACAGGAAATTACAGTTTCCTAAAACATGTATTTCATTATTCTCCAGACGTCCAGCTGCTGTTGGTGAGTAAAGAAGAGGTTCCCCCTGAGCAGCAGCAGCAGTGGAGCCCCAGGCTGGACCAGGAGGACCCACTAGAGCCCCCATACATTAAAGAGGAACAGGAGGAACTCTGGACCAGTCAGGAGGGAGAGCAGCTTCCAGGGCTGGATGAGGCTGATATCACCAAGTTCTCATTCAGGGCCTCATCACAGGGTAAGATACTACCTGAGCTGGCTTGCCTACGTTATGATAGTGGCATTGAAGTTCCCTGACAATTTGCAGTTTGAGGGGAAACTTACATTTCTGAGTGACAGATTATTTGTTTTTTGCTTCACTGCTTTTAACATAGTTTTTTTTTTCTTACATATAACCCACCTTGGACCAGGTCCAGATCAAAAACTTCTATGGCTACAGCTGTCAGATCTGGACTAGATTGTCCCAGAGGGGCGAAAGTTTTCTTAAAACATAAACTTATATTTATTCTATTTGTGAATGTTCCACAAATGGTCAGCTTGCACCCCCCAGATCAGATCATCACACAAATTGAATATTAGACAAAGATAACACAAGTAAACACAAAATGCAGTTTTAAAATTAAGGTTTTTATTATTAAGGGGGGAAAAAATCCAAAACTATGTGGCCATGTGTGAAAAAGTGGCACATGGTCACAGTTAATCTAACACATCTAACAGTGACTGCAGCGCTGCGCAGCGTGTATTTGCTCCGCATCTTAGTTTTGCAGTGCCAGCGAAGGTCGACTGCTCTCTTGAGGTCATGCCACAGCATGTTAATCAGTTGATGATAGCAACCATTGTAGGCCCTGATGCAATAAAACAGCCCAGTGTCTATTAAGGTTCTAAGTCATCCAGGTCATTGTTCTTCACTTCAGAACTGATGAGTCTTGTCACCCGTGATCCGTTATCACAGCAGCAGGTGAGCCATTTGTGGGCTTGTCAAACAACCGAAACAAACATCTGCACCCTGTGTGTTCACTGCTACTTTACCTGGTCCGTGCTTGTAAAATATCCACCGCCACTTGTAACGTTTTATTTATTAAATTCTTGTACAAGCAAAAAGTTTGCTGTAGCACGTCAGACGTTTTCTTATGTCCTGCCCCATCCAGGCTGTGATTGGTCGGTTGACGAGAAGTGACTGACATCGGCTTTATGAAAAGTTAAAAAACAAACTGGCAGCGATACAGCTAATATTAAATGGTGAGCGAGCCAAAGTCAAAGCTTCTTTATCTTGTCCCTGTTTTCTTCTGTCCTACCGCTTTAGCTGCCACGTAACATAGACCCAGAGCCGTTAAATAGGACATTTAACAGTTTAGACCTAATCTTTAATCTCCTCCCACTTAGGCATTTCTGTGATCTCCTCCACTTTTTTCGCTGACTGCACCCTTTCTGACACATTGTGATGGTGAATTTCTTATCCTCTGTTGCCATCTAGTGGCCTCTTTTGTGTACAAATTGTGTTGTAGTTTAACTAATCATTGTTAATAATTTTACATTTTTTATATTACAATCAGAATCAGCTTTATTGCCAGGTATGTGTACACATACGAGGAATTTGACTCAGGATTGTATTGTAATGCTCATGATGTGCTTACTCATACAATAACACAATAATAAAATAAATCAGACACGCTGCAACATTGTTTTATTTACTTTTGGATGATCTAGTCCTAAAATTCACCATTAGAAGCTCCAGAAGGTCAAATAATTTTTTTTTAAAGAATTCATAATTTGACATCATTTAAAAACTAAACAAATCAGATTATAGTTTTTAAAAAGAAAAATGTTTTCTGCTTACACAGTCATTGTAAATCAAGGTAGTTCTTGAAGTGGTATTTTTGACACAGAAAGGTCATTATTTTGTGCAGGTGACTCCTTTGAACTACTATTCTTATTATCTCCCTTTTCTTGGTGGTGGTGTTTACACTCTTGTGGACACTCCCTACTTTTGGTTGGTGAAAACACTCCTCTACTCCCACACACAGACCTGGTGAGGACTGCCGAACACTGACGTCCCTGCACCCATGCCGACAGATAATTGCCATATTTAAGAAAGTATTGGTATCAGTGGTAGGAAATTACATTTTCCTAAAACATGTATTTAATTTTTCACCACAGATGTTCCCCCTGAACATCAGCAGTCGAGCCCCAGTCTGGACCAGGAGGACCCACTAGAGTTCCCACACATTAAAGAGGAACAGGAGGAACTGTGGTCCAGTCAGGAGGGAGAGCAGCTTCCAGAGCTGGAGGAGGCTGATATCACCAAGTTCCCATTCACTCCTGTCCCTGTGAAGAGTGAAGAAGATGATGATGAGAAACCTCAGTCCTCACAGCTTCATCAAAGCCAGACTGAGGAGAACAGAGACGCAGAACATATAAAAATAGAAACTGATGGAGAGCTCTGTAGAGGACCAGACCCAGCCAGGAACTTTGATCCAGATAGTCATTTACAACCAGCTACTCATGACAAGATTTCACCCTCCTCTGAATCGGATACTGATGACAGTTGTGATTGGGAGGAGACCAGGGATCCTCAGCCAGGTTTCTCAAAAGCTTTTAGCTGCTCAGTTTGTAAAAGAAGTTTCAGTCAGAAAATACATTTGGTCCAACACACGAGAAGGCACACTGGGGAGAAACCATTTAGTTGTTCAGTTTGTGCCAAAAGATTTGCACATAAAGGTAATCTGACTGAACACTTGCGTGTTCACACAGGGGAGAAACCGTTTAGCTGTTCAGTTTGTGGCAAAACTTTTGCACATAAGGGAAATCTGAACGATCATTTGCGTGTCCACACTGGGGAGAAACCATTTAGCTGTTCAGTTTGTGGCAAAACTTTTGCACATAAGGGAAATCTGAACGATCACTTGCCTGTCCATGCAGAAGAGAAACCATTTAGTTGCTCAGTTTGTGGTAAAAGATTCCCCCGAAAGAAATCCTTTTCTGCTCATATGAAACTTCATTCTGATGGAAAACCTTTCAGCTGCTCAGTTTGTAAAACAAATTTCAGTAAGCGACCACATTTGGTCCAACACATGAGAATCCACACAGGGGAGAAACCATTTAGTTGCTCAGTATGTGGGAAAAAATTTGCACGTAAGGAACATCTGAGAGTTCATTTGCCTGTCCATGCAGGGGAGAAACCATTTAGTTGTTCAGTTTGTGGTAAAAGATTTTCACAAAAGGGGGCAATGAGGAGGCACCTGAAAGTCCATACACGAGAAACCATTTAGCCGCAGTGCTTTCAGTAAAAGATTCGCTTTGCTCGAGACTGTCAAATACCCCAAGTGTCCTGGTGAGAGCAGTGGAAATAAATAAATTCTCAGCAGGATTGAAGAACTGAGGACAGGACTTGTCGCAACACTAATCAGCTAAAAACTGTGATACAGACTCCCAAATATGTTTTTCTTTGTCTTATCTTTTTAGCCACATGTTTTACTGGCACCGTTTTTAGTTGTACAATGTGTTTAAATTGTATAAAAGTATTTGACGTCACCTAAACTGTTCATGTCGTATTTGATGTTGTTTCAGACAATTTGCAAGTCTTAAGACAAACTCAACAGTTTTGAAGGATGGATTCAGATTTTTCAGGACGGATTTCATACACTACTCAGATGCCACATGTACAAGTGTCACATGGGCAGAAAAATTAAACACAGACTGACCTGATTTCCTCTGGCAGACTGTTCCAGAGCCTCGGGGTCCTGACTGCAAACACTCATTCCCCTGTAATTTCCAGCCGGGCCTGGGGAACAGACAACACTTGTTGTGTATTATTTACAATATTTTACAGGATAAAGTTACCATATATAATATAATTACCCACTCTTGTTTAAAACCACTCTTTTGGCCAGTCTTTCTATTTGAGCTTAGGCCACATTCCTATGAACCTCTGAAGTAGATGAGAGGCCAGGTGCAAGCGTTGGTGGGGCGTGTAAGGTGTTTTTTTAACAAATACAAGTTTTGGTTTTTCAACTGGCCTAGACCACTAGTACTCAGAGTACATGTCAGTGCTTATGTGGCACACAAAATATTTATAGATAATTGCCCACCTGTGTGTTATTTTATAGGTATTATCTTGCATGTTAAGGAACAACCCCCATTCAGTATCAAACACTTCTATTTGGTTCTTCAATTGGCAGTTGAAATACCAGAAGGAGTAAAACCACTGAGGACCAGCCAACTCCTAATTCGTGTTGTATTTTTTCTTACAGATCACATAGGCATTCTGTTTGTCAGTAATGTAGATCTTCTATTTGGGGTACCGTTATACATTGTAACATATGTAGTTGGTAGTTATTTACGGTATTTGTGCTAGCTAGGAATCCTACCGGGACGAGTTGGAATTTGCTTGCTGTTTACGATGGTCATCATGAGTTGATGGTTGTTGTCCAACTTCACCTGTGAAAACGTGTCGAAGGAGCAGTGATGAGTTCTGTAGTAATTATGCAGAAACCATTGGAAATTACATTAAGGGTTTGAAGATGAGTTAAAAGTATTTTGATAGACAATGTCAGCATAATCCAACATAGGCAATAGTAACTGTGTGACAATTATGGAGCGATAAACAATACTTAGGTTGCAGCAGATTTTTTATAATAGATTGTATATGTTCTTTAAAAGAAAGCGTTTGATCTATCCAGAGGCCTAGTGTTTGAAAGAAGTAACAAGCTTGAAGGGGGATCACTCATTTAAAAGAATATTCTAATCTGAGGTCCAAACAACAAACTACATGGTTTCTTCTTATTCAGTAATAGTTTATTGAATAAAAAACACTGTTGAACAGAGGCAAACTCAAGTTGTTGAGATCCGTCAATTGTAGATATGGTGACATTCGATGTGTAAATTACAGTGTCGTCAGCATATACATGTACTTGACATTAAGAGCAGACTTTGAGAAGGTCATTAATAAAAACAGAAAAGGAGTGGTTCTAGAGAAGAACCTTGTTGAACTTCCATCTCTACAATTAAATAATCGGAGAGACTTTTATTGAATCTGACACACTGCCTTCTGCTGTGAAAGAAAGATTGCACCAGTGAGTTTGCCATTTTCACAAGCAGTAAACACATCATTAGTAAAAGAAACTATGAGAAGTTGGTAAAACAATGATAGAAGGCATCACACTGACACACATGACACAGTCTGCTCCCACGTGCACACACACAGGTTTTTCTCGACTCTCGACAGCATATAGAGAAAATTCGCCAATGGCAAACTGAAACCAGAAAAGAATACAAGAGATAGACAAACATCTTGACTGCTTTTCAAGTTGTGACAACTTTAAATGATGATCCAGGTGGATATACACTGTGCACAACTTGCAAGGCTGTGCTAAGCTCCGACAGCAAGAAAACGGGATCATCACGACATTTTGAGCGCAGCGGGTGTTGTGGACCAACCAGGAGCAGTGATGCGTGAATTGCTGTTGTATGGACATTCGGCTTCATTCACCTAAGAGCTAATATATGTAGGCGCAGCCCAACACCATCTATCAGCTACAAGTGTAGTCCCTGACCCCACCGCAATCTCCTGAAAGTGCAAAGAAATGGTGACTGCTACGACAGGGAACGTGGTTGAAGAGAGTTGAAGGGGGTCACGTCATTGATAAATTTGGGAATGACAACTGACATGCGGCGGCAGACTGGTCCCGAGATGGGCCGACAGACCAACGATCAGAGGTTAATAAAATTCAGTCAAAGTCTTTAGAGAGAGTGCAACTCAAGCTGATTGTCGTTAACGCTAGGTTACCATTGTCTGAACAGAAGACCATAGGTAGATAATTGACCGTAAGAAAGGAAAGGCAGTGCTGAAAAAGTTAGAGAAAGCTAAAAAGGGCTCTGAAGTCAGATGCTGCCAAATGCGTGAAATTAACTTTTTTTCTTTCTTTTAGCTGGATACCATGTTGTGCCAGACAGATTTTACTTTAACAAGAGAGCTTTAATATACTCCGTGGGTGAAAACAAAGCAGCCTGCCCACCAAACGCTCCACAGCCTGCCAGCGTCCCAGAGTCCTAAGGGTGTATGTTGTGAGACATAACCGAAGGGGGAAGGTGGAAGAGGTCATAGGGAGGCTAGAATGGTCCTAGGGTTGGTCCAGGGGGGCCCAGGCCCCACAGAGTTTCCCCAGATGCAGAGATCCAAAGCCCCGAACCACAGGCCCCCACACACACCCGAGGCAACTCAGCACAGCCCTGACCTGAATCCCACCAACCCATAGTGTGTTCTATGGGGACTTTTATACTGTATGAGTTGTAGACTGGTATTTGTAGTCATTCTAAAGGTATTTAAACATATCTGCATCCAGATGTTTTGGTCTGGACTAATGGATAGATCTGTCTCCCACTTTAAGAATGGGAGAGAGACTGAACTTTCTGTTTTTAACAGTAACATGGATACTTTTGATAACAGTTTTGGAGGCGAGAGTTTAAGAAAGTCTCTTATCATTGGATAAGTAAATAAAGTAATAAATCCATTATGGTATCCTTAAATCTCACTGAATTATCAATTTGAACTGGTGATATTAAAGAAATCTATTATTGCTAATTCCATATTGTGCCACTAGATCCTGGAATGGAATAAAGTTACTGCTCTGCATTACATTTTCTAGATGTCTTATCCCTTTGTCATACCACAGTGGGGAATTTAGCATTTTCTTATTTTGCAGGATTTCAGGATTATTCCAGATTGGAATAAGTTTGCATGGGATGGGTACTAGATATTTTAATTCCCAAGGAAGTGCTTAAGGTAATGTTTTTAAAGGACATATGACGTTTGATGCTGAAGCTAATAAATGGCATATTTGAAATAATCTCCTTACAGAATGTTTCTTCTATGTCCATCCATGATTGGTCCAGGGGGCTCTGATTGATCTATTGATATATCCATGATATATTGTAGTCTGTTGGAGGTTGATGTCTACAAGCGAGCACATGGTGAGAAGTCCTGGTCTGCTCTCCAGTGTATTTAGAGTCTCTGGTTCACAAAGAACAAACCCACATTGAAACCCAGAACCGGTGCGCTCCACAACCACAGCTCGTTCACAGAAACTGACCTGCTGACCTCCATCCACATGTCCGGTGGAAAAACATTTACAAATTGAATCTGAATTCTGAGGGCAGAAACAAGTCAAAACCACTTCAGAATTTTAGATTTTAAAAGTAATATTTAGTCTAACGCATTATATATGTAACCATTTACCGTAACTATTAAAATATAGGCATAATTTGAGACAAACTGTGTACACTTTTTTACTCTACAAATCAAAATGACTGATAAGTGAATAGCCTAAGTCGGTTGAGTGTTTCCAAGAAAAGCTTTAATGTCTTCTGTGTCTAAATAGAAAGGCTATCACAAAAGACACATTTCTGTAACACTTAGAATGAACTCTTCATAGGTATCTGCAGTCTTACAGCAGTACCAGAAGTGGCTGCAGATGTCTTTGTTCAATAACTGCAGAATGGCGCATTTGCTGCACTGCCAGGACATATCACAAAATCATTTTTGTGGGATGTAAACTAGGGTTTTGTCAACAGCAACAAACAATCATCTTATCTCCTTATAGGCCTACCTTCAGTCACAAAACAACTACATTAACAATATAAGTCCCATGCCATCATCAATACCTCTGCGTGCATGTATTGTAAGAGGGCAATTACTTACTAATATTCTATGTGCCACATAAGCACCAGCTCGTACTTTGAGATCATCCAGCAGAGTGATGCACAAATAAGCTCAGGTCTAGGCCAGTTGAAAACCCAAAACTTGTCTCAATCACTTCAAAAAATCTTTGCTATAATAGACTTCAACTTTGAGTCCAAGAAAGGGGAAAATGGTTCAAAAAGAGTTTTATTCTTGTACAAGACAAAACCTGTGATCATCTCAGCAGGCCTCAAGGCGAACTGAAGAATCAGCTCATGATACTTTAGCCCTCCGTTCTGGGTTACACGGTTCCCACCTCTTTCTAAGAGGATCTCATCTTTCTGGAACTTGTTAAAGGTGTATTTCTTTTCCACTGCTGCCATCTAGCGGCCTTTTGTATGTACCAATACAATGTTTACATTTTACACCTTTAGTTTCTTTTTAACCACCATTTCTTTAGTAACGTAATAAATTATATACGTTAATATCGGCCGTGCCAGTAGTGGAACTTCACCTCAGTATTGTTGATATATTTTTGGACCGTGGAAACTACCACAAAGTCAGATTCCACTTTTTAAAAAGATTATAGTATTCTAAAAGTTAAAAGATCCATATATTCAAAAGAAAAATGTATTTAATGCCTTTTCTGGTTACATAGTCACTGCAAATCAAACATTTGATGTTTAAAAAAAAAAAAAACTAACAATCTTTTTTATACATAGATTTCTGTGGTTATATAACAAATGGACTTCAGTGGTGGATTTCTGGAACTATCCATTATGCTGGTTCAGTCCCTCCCTCCTGTGTTGTTCACACACTTTTGCTTAAGTTTATTCCACATCTGGCACTTTAAAGA